TTTCTAATAATCGAGAAAATCCGGGAACAACGTAGGAAAAGCGGGCAAAAATTCATAACGAATATCATAAAAATAACGGCATTTCAAAACATGTCTAACCAAATTTCACTCAGAATCGCATGATTTTAGCAACGACGTATGGGATTAATACAGACATGAATTGAATAACTGGTCAATTCAACATATACGAACACGAGTTTCATATTTTCAATTACAATAATCATAATTAGGTATTATACAGTGTAGGTATCACGAATAGAACTGCACGGTGTATTATTCATATCTATATACGAACAACAATGTACATTATGCCACATTATGGACTGGGAGAGTGAAAATCGAAATAATTATATTACACTTTTTAAGAAATCCCGAAATATATAATTATTATTAATGTAGGCGTATCGGTATAAAATCACTAGAGGATATCTTACATTGACATCAGAAGGTTGTCCGATGGTTAATAAAGTTAATATTTCGATTTCGTTATAATGACTAATGAATACTATACGGCAATGATTTTTTTTTTTTTTTATCTAATTAATATTAAAAATATTATAATAAGTATCTCTGCCTGGTGATAATTATTAATGTCCTTGAATTATATATTTGCTTAATAATCTTATTTCTCGAAAAGTCATCCGCCGATCGTTGAAATATTACCGAACTTTTAACGATCATCATTACACTACACCCTCACTCCCGTTTTGAATTTCCCCCCTCCCCTATTATTCAGTACATTTTTTTTTTTTATGGATTTAGCATATTATTTTCAAATTTGTATGCACTTCCTATGACCGTTATGACTGAAACAATGAGCTAGGAGCTCTAGAAACGGTTCTCCAGTCCCCGAAATGTACGTGTATTTTTTTTCTTAGTGCCATCGTATATTAAATCATTTTTGTTTGTATTCGTTTGACATAGTTCAGAATTTTTATGCGAGGTTCCTACGGCAGAAGAAGATGCTGGATCCCAACAAAGAAGTGCTGAGACAGCAATTTCGGTCCAAATATACTTAATTGACGATCCTCACGTCATGAAAACAGAACCAAGTTAAAAACTTCGAGATATTGTTGGTCTAAAAGTGGACAACAGCCGTTTAAGAAATACGATGTGACACTATACGCATATCGCGTACGTAAAGCGAGACAACCGAAACTGGGAAATATTTTTCTTAATTTTAATTCAATTGCGATTCATTACGGTCTTACGATTTTCTTTTGGACAATCCGATTTTACGCGCGAAAAATAGCATTGTAGTTCAGGTTGTTAATCGCCGCGGGATAATTTACGGAGATTTCCGTCATTTACTTTTTCGAATATCTTCGAATGTCAACCGGGACTTACGAATCTATTTTAACCGAAAAATTAATCGTCGTACCTCCGGTCTGACGTGCCACCAGTCACCACATAGATTTCACGCCATCGAATATAATTCACGAGCATCGAGCGTCAAAATTCGAACATGTTTGACTTGACGTTCAACGCTCTCCAAATGTACGCGCGGCCTGTGACTTGAATTTTAAAACAATTAATTTCACACGATTCGGAATTGAATCACTCGGTAAAGCGAACGAACAACAACCGATAATAATAATAATCATAATTTATTACATAAAACTGCAACCGGGAATATTATAATGGTATTATCGGTCTTGAACGCTGCAGTAATCGTCAACCTTAACCCACTAATGCGCATTATTACAGTTAATACAGTATTTTTTTTACTAATAACACTAAATTATAATTGTCTAATATTAATACCTAAGTATACATATCGAGTAATCGTTCAGTGCGTTCAAAAATAATTATTTGTGTACTTACGGTAAAAAAAAAAAAAAAAAAATGTCTACAAAACTATATTATTAGATGTGTAATTATTTTTAACGAGATAATATAATATTATTGAAATGTGAAATAGATAGGTAAATAGGTGCCTGGTACGTTTTTAATCGGCCGACATGTTGGCAGTGTCAATGTCAACGGTGCGAGAGCTGGGGAGCTAAAGGAGGAGGCAAAGGTAGACCCTATTCGTCGTATAATATTATATACCTGTACTATTATTATTTGATAAGATGTACCTACACAATACAATCGACTTACTCGTGGAACGCGTAACAACTCGTCTTTTCGTTTTGTTATTTGATACCTATATGTATTTATTATTTTCACTCATATAACGGTATAACATAAATATTTTAAATTTTCTCCAAGTCTAAGAGCTTTCAAGCCACCAAAAAAAAAAAAAAAAAAAAAAAATATCTCTATTCCACTATTGAAGCGCCACCGTGGGCTGCAAAGAATGATAATATCACTTGACACTTTGAAAAGACGTTATACACATTAACTGTTCAGTACTTACACAGAAACATCGAGTAGGTATGACTTCAACTTATGTGAATTGTTTATTAGAAATTGCTGGTATTTCTTTTTCATAATATATAAATAGAACATTTGTGCACATGTAAAATGTACACATTTTTATTTAATAGGTTAATACACTCAAACACAATGTACTTAATAAATTAATTTGTATAGTTGGTCACATAGTTGGCAATAAAATTAATGTTGATATACCTAGGTACGGTATAGGTATAATTGATTAAACAATTTTTTAAATACATTCTTTCTGCTTTTAGATATAGCTATTTATACTTGCAATACTTACATAGGCATTTTATTTGATTCTTATCGGATCAAAATGAGTATTAATTTTCTCACGATTCTGTTGTAACGTGGTCGGGAACGACCTGTTAAATTTAATATAAGATATTATAGTCTTTTTGAATATATTTAACTGTAGCTCTGGAGCGTAGATGGTTCATACGATCTTAATATTAGAAATACATGTGGATTAATTATTAATCTATAATGTTTTACTAAAACTCACTAGTAGTTGTCGTGTCATCCAACAGAGTTTTATATGCGCGAGATGGTAGTAGCGAAAAACTGCCGTTTCTTGCATAGTGGTTATTGATCAAAGCCCTTAACAATATAAATGTGGTTTAGGGGGAGGAATGTAATATTTAGTCGACATGTATTACCTCAATCAAATTGGAATGAAGGAGAAGTTAGTCAATATAAAAATACTCCTAAAGTGTCTATTAACAGACAATTATCTAGAGAAATATTTTAACAAAACAATTTGATTAATTGAACAAAACTTTAAACAGGTAATTTTCAAATGTCTTCAATTGTTTGATTCCGAATGTTCAAATTATGAATAAAATCCGGTGATATTCACGGACTAAAGTTTAAAATCTGAACTTTACTTATAATAGGTGCGTTTAACACATGCGCTTTAATTTCAGAATAATAATAAAATAATTACTTATATGTTTATGACACATACAAATTGGCTAACACGTTTTTAATATTACCTATTGGCTATTATAATTACTTTTGTAATGTATAAAAAGAATTAAAATAAACAACAGCTTTTTGTAATAGTTTACATATAGGTAATTTATAACATTATCAACTTTAAATTTTCAATTAAAGTATCTTATGGATTTTGATGACTTGTTGAATTAATCAATTAATCTAAGTTAGATTAATTTATCTAACAAAGTATTAAAAAAGTTGAATAAATGATTTAATAAGTCAATATTTTAACTTCTTAATATTCAAACTTGCTAACGTATAAGGTTTTTTTTTTTTTCAAGTCTTAATTAGTAAGTTTATGATTTCATAAAACAAAACAACCAAAAAGAAAATAAATTATTTCAAATAGTAATTTGTCAAGTCAAAATAAAAGATAATCTTATATTGAGCTCAATTTATTAATAGATTCTAAAATAATAATCATAATAATAATTGTATACAAATAATAAATAATTTACAGTAATAATTTATATAAATAATATATATTGATTTAATACACAGTATAGAATTAAATTACATATATGTCAAGATCAATATTTAAAAAAAAAAAACAACAAAATAAAAAAACAAAATAATGATGGGCGAGTTATATTTTGTACAAAAAAAAAAAAAAAATAATAAATTAATTAATAAAAATATAGTCATTAAGGTCAACTTGTGCACATTGAAATACTGAAAAATGAAAATAATAAAAATAGAGAGTAATTTTAATACAAAATACAAAAAAAAATACTATTTTATTAATTTATAAGTACGTATGTACTATTTATATTGTATAATAATATGATAATGCTTGCCTGAATAGTCTACACACACACTTTAAGGATTTTAAAAACGAAATGTTTATTTAATATCCTAAAATACCCATTGTCTACTCGTTCAATAATAACATTGCATTTAACAAAGTAAAAAATTTAAATAATATTTTTTTTTAAAAAAAATTGTATACAGTGTTGGTGTATATTTTAAGTGTAGAATATAGTCTGTTGGTAATTGAATGTATTAAACAAAAAAAACAAATTAACAACATAATTCTAAAAACATTCACAATCACAAAAATAATTGAATAAGTATCAACAATAATTAATTATTGAATACTTACATTTACATAGGATTCGTAAAAGAGTGGGACTCAGTCGTTTTATAAAAATGTTCGAGAAATTTCTGTATATTTGTATATATTTAGTATGTATTTATAGTCAACTCTTTACAGGGAAAAAAACAGAAAACATATTCGTATTGGGAGTTAGTTACATACTAAAATGGCAAAGTTGATGGCTTCTCATTGGTCATCATTTACATACAACTGTAGTACTACTATAATAATAAGGTAATATTATATCACATTACTTTTTTGTTTTCATTATTTAATCTGTACACATTTATAACACATTTATTGTATACACATAATTTTGTAAACGCCAATAAATATATATATATATATATATATGTATATGTATATATATATATCAAATGCTTGATATTCAATCGATTTCATCGGTAAGCACCGTTTTTGTTCATCAGTCATCGTGAACTTTATACAAAGTAACAATAATAATAATTTCAATAATACAAATAATAATAATAATAATAATAATGATAACTATCATCTACCGCTATGATGAGGTTTTTACCCAAGTGGCCGGCACCCATTGCGGTTCTCTTTCTAAACTGTTGATTTCATTTAATAGCTGGTGATACGCTCTCTCGGTGTCGTTATTAATGATAATCATATCGAAATAATGACCAAATTTATCTTCCATTTCTCTAGCCTTTTCTATAATCTCTTTCAGTTCTTCTTCCTGATAACAAAATAAAATGTCGAAAACAATGTCGTTTACATTAAAATAACAGATATAAAAAATATTGAACAGTAATATTTACTTTGTAAGGTTCGCCATTTTTCAGTCTCTTCTGACGTAGTTTTTCTAGGGATGGAGGTGCCACAAAAACGACAAAGGGTTTCAAATCAGATGTCCTGAGGATTTTTAATGACTGTGGATGAAGGTTTAATACACATATTTTGCTGTAGTTAACCACTGACCTAATGGCATCTAATGACGTGCCTGCACATTTAAAAAATATATATATATTCATATTATTTTTAAAGGACTTTTATTATTTTATATTATACCATAATAGGCCTTCTCATATTCGCCATGTTCAACAAACTTTCTTGACAAAATATCTGATTCAAATTGAACCCTTGTGATGAAATGATAGTCTTGGCCATCTACTTCGCCTTCTTTTCTCGCTCGGCTGGTATCTACAAATAACATAATGCAAATTTAAGAAATATACCTAATCCAGTATTTTATATTATATTCAATCATTATAACTATAATTCAAACTTACGAGGAATGGCAGCTGCGAATCTATCCCGGTCTTCCATAAGTCTTTGTCTGAGCTCGTGTCGGCCAATATTGGGCGGACCAATTAATACGATTGGCCTCCTATGATTTGCCCGTGGGTAATATAAAGCCACTTCTTCGTAAGTTAATATTTCTTCAATTTCATATTCTATAAAATATTATTATAGATTGTAGTTATAGAGTTGTATTTATTTCAATAATCTAGGTACTAAATGAACAATAATTGGTATTTACCGTCAGAGGTAGAAGAAGAGTAAATAGGATAACCTCCGTCTTGATACAGTGACTTCTTTTTCCTTTTTTTAAGATTTTTTTTGCCACAAAGGAACGTATTTTGTTTTTTAGGTTTATCTTTACTAGGCTTGTCGCCGGTTATAGTTTGTTTTAAGGCTTCGCGCTGATGTTGGAAGGACTTGCTAGGTATAAGACCTGCTAACGTTTGATCTTCTTCGCCCTCTCTAAACGCCTGCCACCAGTTAGCGTCTTCTTGAGATATTACATGTAAAATATCGCCTTTCTGAAAACTAATACCTAACTCTCTGCACGGAATGTAACCATCATCCTCTGGATCATAATCGAAATGAGCCTTCATGTGCATCTTTAATAAAACAATACAATAATATTTAAGCATCATAACAAGATTACATTAATTTTATTTATGTTTGAAATGAAGTGAATATTTCAATATTTATAGGTATTAATATTGGTCAACGATATAAAATACAGAATTATCGATGGTGTTTCAAAAAAAACTAATGCGCATTCATAACGGTTGTAAAAATACAACTTAAAACTTCTTGAACAATACATAAACAGAATCAAATCGCATAAGTAATAATATTATGTGTATTGTAGCTACAATGTATGCTTAGCATCGCCACAGTTAAAAGTGGCGTATTTGGGGGGAGGGTAATGGGGGCATCCCCCCGAGACCCTTTTTTCACTGTTTTGCAGAAGCTGTAACTATAAGTTACTATTATTATGAGTATTATGATTAGAGCCATGAATTAAGATATACCTTAGTTATATCTTAGTAAGTAAATCTTAATTCATGATTAGGACATACTCGCCTATCATGCATTTCCATAAAATAAGGTAATCAATTTTGTAACTACAATAGAAACAGTTTCCAACATCAATGGGTACCATGTTCTGTTTAAGTATAATTTGAATTAATAATTCATAATATAATTTTCTTATCTGCTATAACTGGCCAATTTTACACTTATCTTCAAATAGTGACTTGATTATTTGCTTATGCATGATAGTTTTATTATTTTGTTACGCTTTGCTTTTTCAAATTAGGTTAAAAACTTAGTTGCAGTCGAATATGAGATAAGACCGTTTAGTTGGATTGGCTTTACTAAATATTCATAATTAATATGTTTACTGCCACGAAAAAAAGAAATATGGACCTTATATTATAATTATTTTATGACTATGACTATGTATTAAAATTTAAACTTTTGAACAATAAATAATGTGCTTTTTATTGAGTTGGATATTATTTGGATAGTCAATGGATAAGTTGAAACCAGTGTCTAAAAACCCTAACCAAATAAAAAAAACAAATAAACTATTAGCATTTGAAATTTGAGTTTTTTTTTTCTACTCATTTAGTTTTTTTAGTTATAGTCAATAGTTTATGATTCAATGTAAAACAATTGTTTTTAATAAACAATAAATTATAATCAATAAATTTACCATTCGTGAAAAGTGAATAACGAAAATTGCTGGTAGAAAAATTGTTAACAGAAAAAAAAAATAAACATCTTTGTACAACTATAAGCTTTTTTGCTCCACTCAGAATCTAAAGTTAGATAAAAATAGCATAAAATGAACCAAAAAGGATAAATGTATTTAATAGGTAAAAAATGACCTAACAAATTTAAAACGTGAAAAAATAAAAACTCTCAATTTGAATTCGTTTTTAAATGATTCAAACTTTGTGTTCAAGAATCCGACTTCTACAATCGACTAAAAAAATGTACAGCCCTAGATAAAAGTTAAGTTGTATTTCAAGCAAAATACTATAACTTACAATGAGATTTTCCCTACTTCCGTTTACGTTCTGATACGAAACGCGATTAGCGCTCGGCACGATCATAAACGTTAGAGGTCCGGTCATTACTGACAAGATATCACAGACGTCGTTTATGGACTTGCCGCGCATTTCCACGCCGTTCACCTCTAATACTTCATCTCCTTCGTGGAGCAGTCCGCTTTTTTCGGCGGCGCCACCCCTCACTATTCGACCAATGATCACCGCATCGCCGTCGTTTCGAACAGTAGCGCCCTAAATATAATTGATAATCGTGTTTATATTGTATTATGAAAAAAGTATTACATGTTAAAAAAATAAAAAAATACAATTGACCTACCAGCGGTTCGTTGGTTTTTTCAATGTTGATAATGATGATATTAGGAGGATGATTTTGATCCGTGCTGTACATCGCATCGTTAATCGGTAACGTGACCGTTAGTTCAGTGGTGGCCTCGTCTTGCGGAAGTATGTCTTGAGCTATAGTGTCGTGCGCCCAGAGTACTCCTTCGATTTCGTACTGGGACAACAATTTAGCGAGTTCCGACGCTTCGGTCAAATCGCTATTCTGAATACTTTCGACGCACTGTTTTTCAAAACGAACAATTTTAATAATATTTTAACGTTATTAATATTTCAACTGAACAAATGTAATACTTACGTCTCGGACCAAGTTTTGCGCTTCCAGTGTCACCGGCCTCGTGGTTGTGGTGGGAGGCCATAATTGCTGCACTTTATTGTGTACGGACAATACCCCGACGAATTCCGGATTTAATAACAGAGATTGGATCACACTTACGCCCGGATCGGACTTATTGCCAAGGTAGATACCGTTTTTTTTCAATTGCAAATGTATCCTCTGGAGTGCGGCTATCAGTTCGCCGTATTCTATAACAAAACCGACACGGCTTACAACAAGTGTAGAATATAACTAACGAAATGTTGAATCTACGAGCAGGTATATATTATATTATGTGAGTGTATATGCCACGCCGAACGCCATAATATTATCGTCGTCACGAGTGCAAGTGACAGGTTACGTTATTCTGGGCGTGCTCGTGGCTGTGTAAAATGACGTGACCTGAATGCTTGGCGACATCGTAGCATTCCATTATACGCCGTTTCCGACCGGAACACAATGGGGATACCCCTTGCCAGTTTCCCAGCATCGAAATGTACTTTTTTTTTTTTTCTACGCGAAGCCCGAAAAACGTGTATACTGTTTAATAAGAATAATGATATGCACTTACCGACAACCCTGTATATCGGTTCGTAAGGATCGTGAGGTTCGTCGAGCGTAATAGTTTTGTCTTCTTCGTGTTCCGACAAAAAACCATCGTTCACAATTCCGGATTCCGGCGGTTCGTGTTCGAGTTCCCGGAGTTTTTTCGATCCTCTCACCGACCCGTTGCGAAATTGGGCGGCTTTTTCCTCCTCTTCTTTCTGCTTCCTGAGTTTCGCGTCCTACGGCAACAATACACACATTTATACGGGGTTAATCTATGTGAAAACCGTCGTAATTATAAAACTATACCAATTTCGAAACCATCGTCGATCGAGGGTTTTTCTATATATATAAATATTATATTGGAGAACATGAAAACTATTTAACCGTTGAAACAGCCACCCACGTGTCACTCGGACGTGCATAGAGTATTATACTGAAGTCTGACACGTTAAAAAGCTATAAATCCGACGTTATATTTACGGTCCGGCAGACAACCGGATAAAGCTGCGTGCAGTACATCCTATTGGGAGGAGTAATGCACGCTCTCGACAAAACAGTGATATTTTCGATTTATTCTATGTTTTTTTTTTCCTTTTTTTTTTCTATAATTGGACGACCACAAAATAATATCGCCGTTGGTAAAAATAATAACGACAAAGTTATTATACGTACAAGTAAGTACATTTATTCGTAGGTATAAGTATACCTATAGGGTCATAGAAAAAATTGGACATAAGGTCACTGAGCCGCAAAAGAAATTCGCATCACGAATTCCGTAGACTACCGAAGAAAAATTATTTTTCTTTTATTTGTAACTGTTTTATGTACCTATTATAATAACGTGCGTCAATTTTTATTTATTCTTTTTTCAATAACGAATCTTCCGTAAATAACAATAAACGCTTATAATAGTTCCGCACGATTCTGGAAATGATAATATTATTACCGTCTATAATACCGAACTATAGACAATTATTGGAATGTATTCGATTATTTGCATATACCCAACTATGGATATATCTTGAGGTATAAAATAAAAGCAGCTTACAGCTAGTCTTGTAAAAAATGATTGATATTGTTTGAAAGTACTTAAAATACGTATTTGAATACTAAATAAAAAGTGTATTTAAATATAAATACAGATGCTACAAAATAGTATTTATGGATATACTTGCAATTACTTGAAAATATCTAAAATACAATTTTTTCTTGTCATTTAAATCAACTAGTTTTTTTTAGCATTTTATACATTACAAGTATATTAATTGTTTAAATCATTTTTATCATTATATCATCTGGTGTAATTAAGAAGTAACTATAATTTCTCTCGGTTTTTTTTCCGTTTATTATGAAAACAGCTGAAAAATTTAAAAAATAATTTCCCTAAAATACCGCCCCCGTCAGATTTTCTTTTAGAAAAAGTGCTATAATTCAAAATCCAAGCAAAAATTCTGGTATCTACAATGAAAAAAATAATAATAAACATCGTCGTAAAACGAGTACATTCTTCGATCCGCTCAGAATCTAAATTACATCCAAAATAACAGATACTTAAATAGAGTATGTAAAATACGTATTCGAATAATTAAAACGTATTTAAATACTTTACACCGAGCACGTTATCCAACACTGCCGCCACCAACGGAATTGGCGTATTTTCGGTAATTCGGTTTGAAAACACCGAGGACGGAATCCTATGTAAGATTGCAGGGGAAATAGGGGCGATCACCTCCTCTGTATTTATGTAGGTAACTGTTATTAGTATTTTAATATTTCGATGTTTACTATAGTCATCGGAATATGATGATTGAAAAATATTCAGTTTATTTCAGTCGTGCAATACGAACGCGTAACAAGTAGATCCAATAATGTTTCGAATCCGACAATTTCGTTTTATTTGAAATTGTATTCATATACCTACTCGTCTCGATTATTACTGTAAACAGTATGGATATCAAAAAGAAAAGAAACGCGATTGAAACGTGCATAGGAACTTTGGGGTTTTTTTTTTTTTATTATTATTAAAAAACTTATACATCGGCGACCAAAACTGGTGTCGTTTGTAGAACGGCCGTAAAGGGGAGAGTCGCGCCCGGAAACCGATCGCGGCGTTCGCATAGGAAAACCCGCGGGAACAAAATCGAACAAGCGCGGACACCTTCTACCGCCTAGGTGCGTTACACGGCGGCGCGGCGCTCGGCCACGCCGGATTTCCACAAATGCTGCGACAATAATGACGCATTTGTTTTATTGCTCGTTTTCTCCGTCATACCCAATAATAATAATAATAATAATCATAATAGAAATTATCATTATTGTTTTCGTTACATCACGGAACGCGTCAGCGCGGCGCGTTTCAGATAAGATTACGGGAGCGGACCGTAAAAAAATATATTGTATAATAACGTGGTGGGTATTCTCTTGGAATTATAAATTATACCGTCGTCGTATATCCATTGTAAGCTCGGCGTAGTAGGCGCAATACGATATCGTGGTTTTTTTTTATTATTATTTTTATTTTTTTAATATTCAATCGGGTCGACTGGAAAATGAATAGAAATCATTGTTCCCGCGGCCGCACGCCTACGCGACGCCCCGGTAACGTGCCTACATATTACACGAGTGTATACCTGGCCGTGTGGAAACAGTCTGCGATTTAATAATGTCGTCGTATATCCATTGTAAGCTCGGCGTAGTAGGCGCAATACGATATCGTGGTTTTTTTTTATAATTATTTTTTTTTTTTTTATAATAGTCCAAAAAGTAACTCTGGATAAGCTACAAGTTTAAACCATAGTCCGTGTGTAGATCCGAAATACAAAGTTTTAATTTGCGTATTTTGTGATATTTCGATGTGCCCAACATATTTCTGTATTTTACGATTTTCCATCGCGTTATAGCAGCGCAGTCGAATACCCAAGTGTTTCAAACACATTTGTATTACTATTGTTCGTTGGTGTACCTATACGGTTCTTGTAATAAGGAATTTGTTTTCTTATACTATTATCTAATCTCTTCTAGATAAAGATAATTCGGTGGGGACTAGTAAGTTGTTGTCATCATTTTTGTTTGCATATTTTGAGTGCACACTTTAACGATAATCAGCGCATATAAATGCACGCGTATTTCGGATGTTTTTGGTGCACATATAATTCCGGGCCCTAGTTATTGTAATAATATTATTTCCGTCCCTCGCGTGTAAAATTCAAATAATTATTATCATGCGACACGGGAACAGACCCGGGAAAACAACATACGCATGGCAACGCGTCGAATTTTCTACTCGGACGTTTATTTTTTTTTTTTGTGTTTTTGACGACCGATGTACGCGATTATATCGTTAATCGCCTATAAACGTCGAAAACGTCCCCGTGTTGCGACAAAAATACTATTTTCGGTAGAGGGAGCGCGGCGGTTATGACGAAATTCGATCGCGATTATGTATTATTTTATACAAACGGCCGGACACAGAATATTTCGACACGCGAATCGCCAAACGCAGAAGGGGCGCGCGTTCGAATTTCAACGTTTTTCAAAGAAAAAAAAAAAAAAAAACGTATTATTTAATATTTGAAAAAAAATCGCCCGTTAATAACCGATGTTATTACAGCCCCGTATAGGTAAATGTCGTCTATATGCGTTTCCGCGATCACGCGAAATATTGTACAATTCTAAGCGCTCGACGAGTCCTCCTTTGGACTTTCTTAAAAAGTCGAACGAGCGCCCTTCCGGCATATTTTGTCGATTCATCATATGCCGTATTGAATTCCGTCCGGGACTCGCGAGAAAAATTTGAACGTTTAAAAAAACCGATAGCCTCTGTAGTCTGGCCGTTCAATTATTATATATTCTTTGCGGAATTGTTTTTTTTTTTTTTTTTTTTTTTTTTTTTTTTTATATTGTTATTATTTTTTAATAGAACATTTTTTAAACTAATATTTTGCGACGTGCGATAAAATATCGGAAACCCAACAATAATATTATTGCCTTGTAATAAGAAATTATAAATATATAAGATAAAAAAAAAAAAAAGAGAGAATCCGTAAAATAATAATTAATAATGCGGTTATAGTTACCAATCCCATACGAGCCATCGTCAACTGTTTTCTCGGAAGGCGCACACACGCGATCGCTCAGATGTACGACCGAAACCGTAATGAACGAAAACCCATTAAAATAATTTTTTTTTTTATCTCTTTGAGTACGTGTAATCTCAAGTAATAGCAAAATGTATTGCAAATGGAAACAATGATAATATACTGCAGTACAGTACGCGTAAACTACCAACTGTTCAGATGTTTTGTACACACTACGCGCCATGTACATGATGTTTTTGTTTTGATAATTTTTTTTTTCTACAATCGAGACGGTCAATAAAAAAAAATTAAAAAAACATTGACAGAATATTCGGACACCGACAGGGAAAATGAAAATTATGTTTACCATTGACCGATAATACCTATAATACACATCTGCAATATAATATGAGCGTTACGATCGTTAAATTACGTTTGGAATTGTTTTTGAAAACAGACGATTTTTTTTTTATACACGCCGCGTACTTGTTGTATACGTACAACCGTACAGGCAAACCGGGGGATATTATTTGTTTATTTACTATGGGGCGTGTGAAAAAAAAAAATGAAAACGTTTGTAAGTAAACGCACCTGCATAATATTATACAAGTGCACCTGCTACGAAATCTCGCAACAAAAGTCCCCTTTTAATCTTTAGTCCCCGCGGGTCACTCTCTCTTTCTCTATCTCCCTCTCTCTATTCAATACTAAGTCATCTGGATAATCCATACATTATTGAAACGCTTGCATTCTTCGCGCGTATATAAACCGTTCTAAAAAAAATAATAATAATAACGTAAAACACGAAACGTCTTTTTTTTGAAATCGTATTTTCGTATGATTTACGGACGACACACGAGACAAATAATGCGTGTATACTGCGTACGTAAGTACGCAGCGGTTGTAGCGATTCAACAGCTAGAGGCGGGGGAAAAATGCTTCTATCGAAATACTTCTTTCGCAAAGCATCTTATATTTCACCTGGGATGTTATTTATTTCTGCGCGAGTTGCAAAATAAGAAAGAAAAAAAAACGGTGTATTATATGGAACTCGCGCGAAATAAATGATAAGGAACGAAGTAATGAAATATTTTCCCTCGGAAGAAATTCGATCGGTCGAATATCAATACGCACAGTCGTATACCGAGTATGCGTTTGCCGGCGTGGTCACACGCCGACAGTTCTTGTGCATCGGAATTATTATTATTATTATTACATCGTCAGACAAAATATGTAATGCATTTCGTTTTTCCCTCCATTTTTTCTCGCGATGACGGGTTGTCGCGAAAATTTAAACAAATTCGCGTATACCGCGGTTCGTTGACCGTAATACCCGAAATTACACAATAATAAAAAAAGAATATACGCGGTACAGTTCTACATTATATCCGTCTAATAATGAAACCGTATGGATCACTGTAATATTGCGCGAGTGTATAATATTATAACCGTAAGGGAGAAACCATCATCGACCACGGTGGATCGCGCGTTTCCCACGTTCGGCAAAAATATAATAACAATACGAAATTCGTGAGATTCGTTACTTATTTGTATATGTACAAACTGTACATATACAAAGTACTAGGTAACTGTAAAAGAACGTCCCGAAAGTAAAACATTTTAGACGGTTCACCTCCAAAATAGTGAAAATAAAAAATCGCACACAACATGTTGAGTACAATTTTAATAAATGAAATAAATGGAAACAATAAAGATCTATTGAAAATAAACGATAAAAATTATTATTTTTGTCGTACATATTTACTAATCTTCGAATCCGTTCAGTCGAAACCCTGTACTTCTTTTTTTTCTCATATAGTTATCCTGCCGGATCGAGACCACTCGCATGTAATTTCCTCCAAATTCAGATTTCTTTCAAGGCATTCGTTTCCGTTGTACGTATTATACTGCCCGTAATCCCGTTCGTAATCACGAATTGGATCCAAAAATAATTCACTTATAACAAAATTCTTAAAACGTTTCCCTACATAATATAATATATTAAACTTTCGGCGCACACACTATTATATTTAGTAGACGAAAATTGAAAAAAAATCACGAAATGTTTGTACAAAACTGTACAAAATGATGGATTTTTCGCTCATTTGCGTTCGCTCTTTTGCTTTCGCTCTATTGTAAGGATACCATTGTAGACACGAATACCAGCTACATCGAGTGGATTTCAGCAGACCACAACAGAATATGCCCAACCGTAAGACTGAATTATATTTTGTTAGTAATTATAAAATCGTCCGATGACTTGGGTACATTTTTATCAACTTTTTTATACTGTTCGCATGCGATTTGTTTCCTTTTATTTGTCGGTCTAAACGACGTAAGTGTGCGTATTTTCAAAATTACCTATTTATGTGTAGGTAGTGCGTTATTGGTGTATGCATTTTAAAAATTTGATTTACTTGTATTAGAAATCAAACGAAATTGACCAGGAACAATATTTTTCTACGTTTTCTACGATTTACTTAAAATTTTAACGTTATTATTATTTTTTTTTAATCAAGAAAAACCTCGATCAAAAACTAGACAAATAAAAAAACCAAATTTAATCCGTCAATCTACCGGAACCTCGCACTTTTATCTGGACTTTTGGTCGCTTTACGTGTTTTTTTCTCGACGTGTTGTCCGTCCCTCCGGGAGCCAAAGAAAACTCGACAATCGCAAGTATAATAGTATTTACTATATAAATGGTAAAAATGAAATGACAAAGAGCAAAATTTATCGAAATTTAACTCAAAATACCGAATAAGAATAATTATTCTCAATCCTGTTAATTTATTTTCCAAGACCGTTTCGTTGCTTAGACATATATGTAAGTAAGTATTGAACTATTATCATGAATTATTGATTTAATACGCCTATATATTCGGTGCCCATATTATAATACATTTGAAGGAAACACATTTTTTCCCCCCGACCCCCACGCCCCTGTCATAACATATTCAAAAAAAAATTCTCGCCCTTGAATACTGCGTAATATTATTTATTATATTTCGGTACGTCGAAATAATTTATAACGTGCAATGCGTCTTCTGCGAAATAGAGACGATTGTTTTCAACAATAAGGACGTTATATTTCTATTCGACAAGATAAAAAAAAAAAAAAAAAAACCAAAAAATATCCATAATTCCCCGAGGAATACCGTACATACAACAATATCGTATATGGGTATATGGGTGGTGGTGTTAAAGAAGACTGTTTTTTTTTATTATTATTATTATTATTATTCTTTTAGTCAGTCGTACGATCATCGTAATATATAATAATATAATATTATTATTATTATTATATCGTTTATATAGCCCCCGGTAACGGTTTGGTGTATTATAGATGTACGGTGGAATGCGAAGGTCACGCGAGAGATACCTATGGTAGAGGTATACCTATACCTGCAGCCCGTGGTGTGTGCGTTGTGTATACGCACACACAATGTGTGTTGCGGTGCAGTGTATAGGTTGTATACAGCGTACACGGCGTTGTCGAAAATGAAAAAAAAAAAAATAACAATAATAGTAATAAAAAAAAAAAAACCTAATCAATCTGTCCGTGTCGTTCGTATCGTCTATATGTACCTATCGTTCCGAAACAAACCGTCAATGCGAATTTTACAGAGTACCGATGAGTATACATAGTAGTAGTAATAATAGTAGTAGTAGTAGTAGTAGTAGTAGTAGTAGTAGTAGTATCATTGTCAAGGTAATTCGGCGGGGGGAAAAAAAAACGTAAAATAAATTAAATTAAATTAGTCGTTAACTGAAAATAAAACCGGAAAAAAAAAAACCGAATCGCATTCATTTAAATTACCTATACAGACGCTCGAAAAATCACAAGCAAAAAAAAAAAAAAACCGGCGTCAACGATTCGTTTCCCGCGGGCCGCGATTTTTTTTTTTTTTTAAGAATATACGAAAAACTTTAGGCACGGCACTGGTACTGCACCGATAAGACAATCTGACAATATATTTTCGACAACACGAAATTACATAACCAAAGTCACTACAATATCGGTTATTTTCGTTTCGATTATCTCCTGACATTATGTAAAAACCGAACGTACTTCGCGCGCCGCCCCGTGGTTACTGCTGCACAGTAATAGGCGAGAGGTGTGAATGGTATAGGACAAAATTTAGTCTACGGACTTAAAGCGACCATTCGCGATCAAAAGACGATTCTGAGCGGAACGTTGTATTGGTCGTGGTTTTCTTCCGCGGTGTATCCAAGGTTACACAGAAATCAATGACAATAAAACCGAAGTGTCGAGGTATTTTTTACATTCCGTGGAAAAACTGTTGACGGGCTGGACATTTTTATTTTTTTTTTATTTTCAAATAAAGTATTCACCGCCGGACGATGTACCCGCGGCATTTAAAATCCAATACGAATAAATTGGAGCATTTCTACTCACCGACATAATTTTGCCCGAGCAATAAATGCACCTAGAGAGGGTGAACTGTTGAAAATGTCAAAACGTCTTTCAAATAAAATACCGGCGGTCAGACATTTCGCATCTTTTACCGTACTACGTAGATGGTTATATTTACTGATCGAAAATGTGTTTCCGAGGGGGAAAAAAAATACACATCTTTGTAAAACTAAGATACACACATTACGCTCACTACTCAGGGTTTAAAATAACAAAAATGTTTTTGTTTTAAAAATATTGTTTCCCTTCTCCTTTCCTCCTTCTCCCTCGGATATTTGTTCGTGTTGAAATAGGTATGTATAATAATAATAACAATACGGGGTCGTTTCTTTTAAGGCGCGACCACGTCGTTATATTATACATTATCGTAGTATACATGTCGTCGCTTCGTATGCGTCTCATACGCGCACTTATTTACACTCCTCGAGTGGGTTTGACACGAATGGTGGAAACTCGTACAAAATTTACCTGGTACTTCTTGATGATCTCCTCCTGTTCTGGAGTGGGTTTCTTGGACGATATGGTAACGATCGTGTTGTTGTTGATGCTGCAGGCCTGTTGAAGCTGCTGTTGTTTGATCGCGTCGGACCTGGGTGGCGGAGGCGGCGGAACAGAATGCCTCTCGGCGGGCACCACAGAACCGTTCTGGAAAATATTTCCAAGCGTAAATATTAAAACAAACATAAGTATATGGTATAACGTAAACGAAATATCCAACTGTTTTTTGTTATGAAATAATAATAACAAAGCGACCGTATCATCGAGTATAACAAAAATTGAACTGTCGAGAAAGTGATAACTGTGAATTCAGTGGAATACAATATTTACTATATACGACTAATACGCGTAAGTGTACTGTACACTGCTATTAAGAATGGGGCTAATGGCCATTGCGATAGTAACTTATGGAGTTTGACCTGTTGTAAGAATAATAATATATTGATCTGGAGAAAGGCACAGTTATGTACTATACGTTTACATCGCCGTTGGTCTAATAATATATAATAGTGCAATGTGCAAAGACAATAGCGTTTCGCATCGATGTCCACGATATTCTATTACGGAAACACAAATAACAATAATATCGTAATAATTATTATCGATATAATATTGTTTTTTTTGGATAGCTACTAATTATAACTAAATTCGAAATTAGATTCACGCAGTTGTTGCGATAATTTTAAATTATAGCGAAACGAGGAACTTTTTAGTTTTACTATATTATGGTATTTTTTTATTTTATTTTTTATTGTATCTGTAAATAACTTTTCTACCAGAAATCTTACTCCAATCAAAACCGTTATAGGTACGGTGGCATTTTTATTATATTTGGTGCATTAAGGAAACCATATTTTTGATTTACCCTTTTTAGTTTTCTCAATAATTAGGAAGAAAATGGCAATGTTTTGTTAATTTTCGGGTTACTTTGGCAACAATGGAAAAATACGACTAATAATACTCTGCTCATTAGCAAAAAATTATCATTGCCTACAAACATGAATCAAATTACTCTGTATTATATCCTCTCTTTCAACTTTCCTACTAAAACAGTAGCACACTCATCAGCAGTATCAACCTTTTATTTTATTTTTAACATGTAATTTGTACAGGTACTTCAAAGTATATAAAAATATTATCCCTTCTATTTAGCAATTTGACGGTATTTTCAGTAGTGCCACTAGTGGACAAGATGACAAACTGAAACTTTCCAATCTGAAATTGTAGAGCCTTCTTACCCCCCCCTCCCCCCCCCAAAAAAAAAATCAAGCAATATATAATGATTTTATTTTTTTTCTTATTTTACAATATTTTCTTATTAATTATTTCAACTCATCTACATAAAGCGTAAGAGGAAATTTAAGAGATTTGCTATACGCTTAAAGATTTACAGTGTCAGTTTTAAAATATAAACTAGAATTATTATTGAACGACTATCATTTGTATCCAATATAATGTTTAAAATTAACCGCCAAACAGACGTTTCGTTTCGTTTTTTTCGTTTCGAAAATTAATTACACATTAAGTATACACATCACGTCATAACAAATACGAGTAAAGAAGACGAAGGTATATAGTACCTACTACATGATATTATAGACGTCACGTTCGAAAATTTAAATTACTTATACTTCGACAGCAAAAACGACGACGATCGCTTTGGATTCTTGAGGTTAAATATTTCGATTACACTTTTCGAATAATATAATATTATAATGTTTACCTGTGTCCCGGTGTTGCGGTTGGCTCGGGACGGCGGTGGATACCTCGGAGGCGTCTTGTTGCGCGCGATAAAAGAGTCCGGAACATCGACGGCCATTTCGCGGTGTGGCCCGTTGTCGATCGTAGTCATCATGACCATCATGTCCAGCGTTTCGCCCGTCACGTCGTCAACGGCTCGCTTTTTTTCCAGCGTACCAACGTCGCTACCCACGCGAACCAATCCGTTGCCGCTTCTACGACGAGACCTATCGCAAACATAATAAAATTTCACGGTTTTTTTAATAATTTATACTATACAAATAAAACGGTTTTTTTTCATTAAAACTTTTAACCGAAATAACCCGACAATATTAACGCACAAACACGAGATTAGATAAATTAGATGCGCATGTGCGCCAACTTCCGGAATAGTAGACATTATAGAACAAAAGGAATTAAATGTAATGACCACCGGATCAAGAAGAATTTTTAAGTAATTTTTTGAAAATGCGATACCGCGGCGCGTTTGTAGGACAGAGAGGATAATCGAAAGAGATCACGGACACTTACTTCAGTATAATATTATATTATGTGAAGGGTTTAGCGAAGAGAATCGTCGAAGCCGAGTTTTTTTTGTAAGCGTGAAACGGTAATAAAATGAGAGATCCACGCGTGCAGACGATTATAATTTACGATAATGTACGAAGATGTTTAGGTAAATTGAGATTCTTTGATCAAATTTTATTCGGCGTACCACTGCATTAGGATCAGGGTGAAAAACCAAATTAGAATGTGGAAATATATTGGCTGAACATTTTAAACGCACTATTTATATCCCCTGTAGTAAAAGACGGAATTTTAATTGGAAAAACAAAATGTCGACATTGCTACATATTTACATAATAATATGCAAATTGTCGCATGTAAGACAATTTTGGCGGATGAACGCGGTGAATTAAATGTAACTATTATGGTGTTGTAAAGAGCTGAAAACGACGACCCAGGTATACCATAAAGAATATTAGGATGGACATTAATATTTTCCCAATAGAAATTCCTTATTCTCGCGGTTAAATTTTAAATATAGACACATCTGAAATTAGTTCATTATTTAGTTTTCCCTAGATTTATGCCAATAGCACGTGTTATAACATTAAAGACGAAATTATTATAGCACTTAGTTAAATTCCATTCAGATATTGTATTTTGAGAAAGCCGTAAAAAAATAAAAAGTTGAATTCAAAGGAAAATAACACTTTATATTTGTTTTGTTAATATAGTAACCGTGGTCCAAAACAGTACTTATTTCATTTTTTAATGTTTATTAAAATAGTTGAACTTGTAAATTAGTAAATAAATATCCTATTTTTATCGAGTAGAAAAATTAACACAAAAAACTGAAAGTCTATTCTAACTATACTTATATAAACCTACACGATTTGAACAATTGTAGAATACATATTACATATTATTTATTTACAATTTGGGTGTTTAAAATGTTAAATGTATCGTTACTACACTTATGATATGATCAAGCAGAAGTGCAGTTGGTTCTACACTATAAAAAAATACCTAAATGCCTTTATTTTTTTTTTTCTATAACTGTGTTATTACAATAATTTTTATTTGCTGTTAGATAATATCAGGTGAATACACAATAAAGCAGTAGTACCCATACGTAAAAATGTAACCTTCAGAGGCAAAAAAAAAAAAATGTTTTAAATGTGTTTACGTGGAATTTCCATATACATTCTTGTAACGTTATAATAATAGTATAAAGTCGGAGAATCGCATTTTATAATAATTAGTAAAATGAAACGTTATTAAAATATAATTATTGTTCGACAGTATATAAACGCAGTAGTTACACTGCAGTTACCAATGGAAATGAAGATTCTCTTATTATTCGTGATGCACAATTCGCGAGGAAAACAAAACTTAAGTGAGTACTAAAATAATGTGGTCGATTTTATTATTTGTTTAGTCTTGAAACCATAATTTATATTTTAAACTAAGTGCATTTCATTTGTATAATATGATATTTCTAATATCGATATGTCATATCGCATATTATTCTATGCACGAAATTATTGACAATGTGCTAATTTGCCAATTTGTAATTTTAGTTGCCTATACACCGACTATTATGGGCGCATGCAAATTCGATTATTGTTTTACAAGGTAATCATAGGGAAAAAATGTATATTTTTTCCTTGAACTCAGTAAAAAATAATAAAAATAATAATTGTGCGTGTCAGAAAATTTATAAAGAAAAATAAAAAAAAAATTACCTATACAACCGTAACACGACCAGTACCTCAACTATACACAAGACGGCGTTATATTTTACGAAAATCTAAGATTTTATCATTTAGTTACGGTATAAGTACACTTATATTATGCATATGAAACGGCTGTGGTAGTTAAGCAACTACAGAAATAAAACTGCCAACAACAGTAATATGCCATTTAGATCCCTCACGTACAAACCATATGAAATCGAGTATAAAACGTATAAATCGATGACGTAAAAATCTACGATGTTTTATATTTCCTATAAAATATATATTTTAGATAAGATTCAAAGAATATAATATATTTAAGGAAGTAATGCTTATTTACATAAATTTAAAATGTATACAACAATTTATATTTTAAAGTATAGGTATACACGAAAACTAAAAAGGCACACACTGTATACAATTGTACAGTTAACACAGTTTTATGAAAATATTCGCATTTTATTGGCTATGGTAATGTAAGCAGGTACAATTAATGTTCAATATACTGAAATATATCTATATTACTGAATTGTAATTATAATATATAGCAGAGAAAAAATTCAGAAAAATATACAGTGATCAAAATTGCATTAGTAAATACTACCTACCTATTTACTAATTCACCTATAATTGTGCTGGATAGGAACTGCAGAAATTTGAATAAACATAACGATTTTTCGTATGAAAATATAATAATTTCGGAATATTAAATAACTACGAGTGTAAAAATACTATTTGTACGAAAGAACCTATTTTAATAGACATGTATTTAATTTTAGCATCAGTAAAACATTTCTTCTTCTTCTTCTTCTTCTTTCTTGGTTTCGGCCATTCAAGACCATACCTCTAGATAAACAAACTGCCACCTATCCCTATCCTCTGCTACTTCCTGTCAAAGACACTCCACTGTTTCAGTGTCTCTCCTTACGCAATCCTCCCATCTTAAACGCGGTCTTCCAAGAGATCTCCTCCCTACTGGGTTTTCCTCTATTACTCTTCTTATTAATGAGTCATGTTTCCTCCAGGCATGTCCAGCCCAAACTAGCCTTTTTTTCTTTATCTCTTTCAGTATATCCGGTCGTTGAAAAAGGGATTGCAGTTCTTCATTGTGTAATTTCCTCCATTCATTTGTGAGAACATCATAGTATGCCCCATAAATTTTCCTGAGTACTTTTCTCTCAAATACTGCAATTCTTCGTTCTACAAACTTTCTCAGAGGCCATGTTTCTGCTCCGTACAGGAAAATCGGCCTTAGCAAAGTTAAGTACATTCTAACTTTTAAATTCTTAGAGATTGCTCTTGATCTAAAAATTTTACTAAGTCCAAAGAAACATTTATTAGCTCAGTAAAACATTTAAGTAAAAATATTCATATACTTGTTCAGTATTTGAATATGTATTTTAAATATTTCTGCAAAAATTATTTTGTATTGTATTTCAATAAATATGTTTCAAAAGTATTCATATTTTGAAATCGAATACAAATTTAAATACTATTATAATTTTAAAAAAAACATTCCATGTACTAAATTGAAATACATCCCATTTAACCACGTTTTAAGTTAAATGGATTCAACATTAGCATTTTCATTGTGGTATTATACCAGTACCGTACAAAAGAAAAGATCAAAAAATACCCGTATTCAAAATACATAAAGTATCTTATATAGAAGTCTGTTTATACCAGAAATACATTTACTCAATTGTATAAAATACCAACAAATACTTTTGTGTCGATTTATAGTTTACTTAAGTATCATTAAAAACTCGTTCAGAAATATTTGTAATTGTCCGCAGTTTAACGCACTTATCTATGTATGTCCACAGAGTATCTTAATGCGCATTCACTGAATATATATTATACCAATATATAGTTTCCACGCGAACTAAATAAGTTGTTAATTTTACCGATAAAGCGATTGTTTTTTGATAAAAAAAAACTTTTTACCGTTAACCTAACCTAACCGAGTACAATATAAAAACTTTTTGTATTTTTATAGATAGATAATTAAGCATATTAAAAGCAGAAGCGAAGGGAGAGGCAATTATAGTAGTTCTAAGATAATAAAATTCGATTTTTAATTGAATTCATAGTGATAACTCATATCTTGAGTTCTTAAAATTATTATTCCACGGATTTAGATAGAATCAATGACTTTGAGTGAGAATTGGGAATGTAGACAATAGAGTTATGTAGAAGAATTTAGTAGAAAAGTAAAAGGCCTTAATGGCATGTAAAAGCTAAATAAAAAAAAACAAAAACAAAAAACCATGGTCTTTTAAGACCATCAAGGTTTTTGATCGTGTATCCTACTAAACATAATATCAATAAATGATATTCTAAAATTATTATTACAAGCTTTTTAAATTATATTTCTAAGAAAAAACATACATTTTTGGGTTTCTTTTTTAATGGCAAGAAAGTATAAATTTTCTAAATTAAATTGGAATTAAAAGGGTTTTTTGTGGTGATTAAACAATCTCTAATAGCGCCTGTGGATAAAATGGATTTTCGAGAAAAAAAAAAGCGTCAATTAAGTTAGTTAGGCACCTAAAACGCGAAAATCGTAAATAGCACTCTAATTAGAAGCTTAAATAAATATTCATCGTTGGAAAAACTGAAAACCAATAAAAATAAATATGTAAGAAAATTTTGTATGTTAGCTAAGGTTATGTTATGTTCATTTTTTTTTTCTTTATAGCGTCGTTGACTAATTTATACAATGAAATAGTTAATTAATAATGTGAATTTTAAGTAACTTTAATATAATTTGTTTATATTCTTTTTAGTTATTAATCTTAAGATACTACCAATGGGATTATTATTATATAATTTATAAATGAATTTGGACTTATGACCATTAATAAATATTAAAAAAAAAAAAATTTGAATTTAAATATCATTTCATAACTAACTCTCTTGGTGGGTTCGTAATCAAAAACTACTGGTTTAATGCATACCAGTAGTTTTTGATTAAACAAGGAACACTGCGCTGTTCACATAATTTTCGCGGCACCCCTAGAGAATGCTCGCCGCACCCGGGTTGAGAACATCGCCTATAATACAATATTTGAAAAATTGGCTAATTATTTTTATAGCCATAGTTACTCCGAAGCCAACTTCCCCAATTGCTAGTAAGAAGCCCCACAGCCCCGAGTATATTATACTTATAATGCAATCACGATTGGACTTAAAGGACTTCAATTATTGGCTTTTACACGGAATTGCCAAGGGCAAACATGCGGTTAATAATGACACTACAAAGTACAACTAATAACTAGGTATATAGGTTATGTGAATTGTATTATTTTTTACCCGACAGATTGTTCGATTTAATAATAAAATGCATTTCAAACAAAGAATCGTTCAACATCAGCAAATGTTTAGAAGATAAATGTTCCAATAATATTTAATATGTACATTTTATATTACTCCTACCTTATTTTTTTCCCATTTTATACCGACAATAGTGGAGGATCTCTATTAACATTACAATGCCACTAAGGCGATCGTTTATTAAATACAATAATCGAATACAGCATTATACGGGGATGAGTGTTTCGATCTCTCACAGCATTCCCTATTACGATAAATAGTCGGCAATAATGGCTATAGAAAAAATTACCATACCTAAACAGAAATGGTCAGATGGAAAAATTGAATTTCAATATATATTTTTCAAATATCCTGCAATTTTATCCATATTTTCTTATGGTCACATGGACATTTTCCCGTGGTCTTTGTGAGCTAGGTTCTTCAAAATATGCAACAAATGTCCATATCGAATTTAGTGATCTATTAGCAGTGCTCATATATTATTAACTTAACTATACAAATTGTAAATTTTTATATTTTTATCATTTTCATACAATTTTAATATTTTTCTTCTATAATAGTAATATCAGGGTTGATTTTATATATTAAGAAAACCAAATTTTAACGATTAATAAGCTAGGTACATAATAATAATATATACCTACCTAGTCATAAGAATTTTTTTTGAATATTTTTAAATAGAAAATTACGCGGCAACGCGTGTTGTTTAAAATAATAATTTCCCGGTACTTTGACCCCTTCTTTGTACTTTACAAGACAATATATGACCGATTTTTATTATTGAAGAATAGCGAAACGAATTAGGTACAGCGCATCTACATGCAAAAATGTTTTCTTTTGTCTGTATTCGCATGTGATTAGATTAGGTATACCTATCGAGTTTGAATATTATTATTATTATTATAAAACGACGAACACCACGTTGGTATAGTAGGTATAGAGTAGTTGGTATAGAGGTATCGCGTTCGTATCGGGAAAACAGTCAACAGCGTGTAACAGTATATTATACGAGAATTCCGCGTTTCGTATTAAACGGATCTTATTGGGCCATGTATACATATATATTTTTTTTTTCAAACATACCTCACGCAGTTTTACCGTTTAAAACTGTATTATTACTTTAGAAATATACGTCACTGCTGCCGCGCGAATAAACAAAATTATAATTCGGTAATAACGTACCGATGGTCAGTAATACGGTACACAATATACTATTATAACAGTTGAACCTGCAAGGACCACAGATATAGATAATAAACTAGATTGCTAACTATAGTGATAGGACGTGAAGTTATTATCCGTCATTTTGAGTAGACCAAATGGATTAAAAATAGTACCCACCAAAACACAGACAATATAGATGGTTAAGTAAATTTAGAATTGGATTTTATCTAAAGGTACCCGTGTTAAAACGGTTATAATATTGTTATTGTTTATAGTGTAAATAATAATTTGTGTTATTTATTATTATACTACTAAATATTATACTGTACATATTTATAAAACTATACCTGTGTAACCCTTTGGTTCAAAGTACATTAGTCCCATCATCAACATTGTTACAGACAGTGACGCCACTGTAACAGCTCACTAGGAAAGGGCCCTGGGGCAGTTAAAAACTATGCCTTCTAATATAATCTTTTTGAAAAATATACCTACCTACCTACCTACCTACACGTAACATTGATTTTTCAAGTGTGATTCACGCTGTGTGAATACTTACTATGGAGCAACAAATAACATGAAATCATTCGATGAATCACCACAAGTTTAAATTAATTACGACAACAATAGAAGATTAAGCAATTAATGTCAATTAATATAATGGATTTTTTGCCTTCACGAAAAAAACGCGTTGTTTAAACATTTAAATATTATCCATATCAGTGATAAATTGTGTTTTCGAAATATTGTGTCATGACAAGATACAAATGGCCAACTAGTAATGGCGGATATGTGACTTCAAACGTTTATATGGTCAATACAGGGAACCTAGCAAACTATAGTTTATTATATATATATCGGTAGTAAAGAATAACTATTGTTACAATATATTTTGTTACGTTTCGCGTACATTTTATCTGATCAGAAATGTCGGTACCTATAACGACTATTATAGAAACTACTAATGCTGCACTAATCCCCCGGCACAAAGGATACTATTAGAAAAACATTAAGAATAATAATAAAATAATATTATGACGCACGTTTTTAGATAATATTATATCCCCGTCTAGGTAGGCATAATATTAGTACTACAGCCGGTAGGTGAACTGATATTAGAATACCGATGACATGACGACGACCGTACCAAAACCATATAAAAGAAGTACAATAATAATGTACGGGTATAGAGGTAGAGAGGTACCAATGGGTGTAGCAATCCGCATAGGCGGTTCGTATTTCTTATTGGTACCGAACGAACGATAATATCGTTAAATACCCGGGCACTTACAAACGTATTCTCGCTTCGTAGCGACTATGTCGATGATAACAGAATAACACTTATATACATGGGGTAAACGGCCAAATCGGTGTACAACTAATGTTCGGTAATCGCGGAAATCGTCGTTGACCGTTGGGAAAATCGTGGTATTCGTGAAATCCGGCGTACACACATTACGTTAACAGGCGATTCGACCCCTGCGTATAGGTATCGTGTCTGCAGTGGCGAGCCAGGATCATTCTTTGGGGGGGGGGAGGGGCGATATAAATTTGTATTGAAAATTACATAACTACAGGTTATATAGTTTATGCAGTTTTCGCGCAATTCCGTTAACGTTTAACAGTATAATACTAGATACTGATACTCGAACAAACAGTGATTATGTGGCATGTTTCGCACACGATAGGTAGTTTACATTTTGTGTTGCGAAAAAAAAATAAAGAAGAAAAATGTCCGGGGTCTAGACCGCGTTGGGGCCTGGGGGAGTGACGTATCGTCCACATCACTCCCCTTGAGAACGCCACTGCGGTGTACGGTGATAATCGATCGGCCGAAGACCGCGGCGTTGTAGCGGACGGTAAGAAAAAAGTCGCGCGGATATAATACGACTGTTATACACAAACGGCAACATAGGTGCGGGCAATTAATATTACTATAAGCTATACATATTGTACGTCGAAAACAATAATATCGAGTAGTAAACTCACCACGTGTGCCAGTAATACGGTAACAGTTTCATGATGTGTACCGCGGATATGATATGTCACGGAGAGCCGGAGAAGATGAGTGCAGGTACAATATTAATAATATGACAATAACAACGCGCGGCGGGTATAGCGGCGTAATATATTTTATTGTTTTTTTTTTTTCTTTTTTTTCCGTTAATGGAAATCCAACAGGTGGGCACGGCGCACGAGACTCGCAAACTCGCAAACTGCCCGGCGACGACGGCAGACGACAACAACGTGCATAGCGCGAACCGCACGCGAACGACACGAACACCGAACTGGCGCGCGTCAATATCGTTATGTGCGTCATGGAACGCGCCGGGAGAACCGGACTGTCGGCGCGTCTACGACGAGAGACGCGGCGGGACGGTTGGGGGTGGGGTGGAGCGGGGAGAGGGCAGTGTTATTATTGTACCTGTGCGTTGTTTTTTTTTTTTTTTTTTTTTTTTTCATCAACGACGCCACACCGTATACGCGCACGCGCACGCACGCACCCCGTGGAATATCGTGCGTCCGGTGCGTGCGCGCGCGCGCGTAGCGTCCAGGTACGCGGCACAAACCGGTAACCAACCCTCGCGCCGACACAATAGAACGACCGCGGCAGGTCGCCGGGTACCCGGCCGGCCCGGTGGAGGGGGGGCGGGGGAGTAGGGGCGAACGAGATTGCTAGTGGTGCGTACACAGGTACCCGTCGTATTACCTCCTCTGCAGTGTATACACGCGAGATTATTATACCTGTCGTGCCGTGGCATTCCGGACCCTTTGTGACAAACACCCACCACCCGAACGTCGTGCGTATATAATATAGAGAGAGATACGCGGTTCGTCGGCGCGCAGTGATTGCATTTCCAGACCGTTCCCTCCGCGCCTCTTTTCTTCGGCGATTTATAACGTGGACGTAGGTACATAAAAAAAAAATAATAATAATAATAAATAAATAAATAAATAAATAAATAAAAACACAACGTATCGTTTTTACACGCGTGTTCTCCGAATAAAATAACAATAATGATATCGGAGATTACGGGGTTTTTTCGTCGGTACTTGGAAATTCTGTAAATCCATTACAGACAGACGGTATAATATCGTTGGAAAATCATTATTCGAACGCGGTAATAATTTAAAAACAATTAAGGGTTGTCACGGGATTTAACGTGTAAACGCGTCCGACCGCTCATAACAGTGTTGTGTTTCTTTAAACAATTTAAATACACCCACCGCGAAATTATCAATGTATATTGTATGCGGTCTTCAAATGCCGAAAACCGTCGACAAACCTTGACATTCAAATACCAGTTATTATTTTTAGTTTTTATGTATCTTGTATTACAACTGTTGATAATATTTCGTTTATCGAGTGTTATTATACATAATATATATATATATATATATATATATTTTTTAAAAAAAATAATAAACACTATACCTATGTATTATTATTATTATTATCATTGTTCACAATAAAGTAATCATTACAGTATTTACAACGTTTGTCAATATAACCTTATCTATAACGCCTCGTGTACTTCAACGTCAGCTCTAGACAATGTTGTTGTTGTATAGAATATAAATTATAAAACCAAGTACTTTTTATAGAAATACATATTTAAATTTAATGGACCTGCGTGCTACGCGTTTTTTACTCAAAAAAAAAAAAACGAAAAACTTCCGTGTCTCGTAGAGTAACCTAATTTCGATCGTGGTTTTTTTTTTCTGTAGAAAAGACAAGAGAAACATCCCACAGGGCGCAATGGATTTAAATTTTGAAGATTTTAATTCTAAACGCTATAAGTAATTCGATTTTGTGTACGACCAATTTGCCCCAGTTTATAACTAAATTTTTTTTTTTGGTTTTTGCTTACATAACCAAAAGTCAAAATCCAACACATCCTGTAGGAAGTTTTCATCTTTCCAACCGATTAAATTATTTGTTTGTTGGCTATAAAAACCACGAGTAGAACGATCAACGTTATTGCAAAATAATAACGATTTACTTTATTATAACGAAATAATACCGAATGATGATGATTTATATTAAGTATTCGATTCGCTCCCATTTATTTTTTGCAAATAAACAACTAAAGTCGATTCATGTTTAAACAATTATAAAAATATAAACTCGACAAATCGATATTAGTATTTTGAAATTTTAAGAAAGCGAATTTCCAAAAATTGTTTAATAAAATCGCGTTTTTAAATGAACCCGACAGAAAACAATAAATTATACTTATGGTATTTAATATAATATATTATAATATAGCACAATTTTAAGTCTTTAAACAGTAGTTAATTGTAGAATTTGTACAAATATGGTACCTAACCATAAATTGTAGCAACAATTAATTATATTCATAATTATATGTTTATATTATATAAGTTACACGAGTCCGTTTGAAATAAATTACTCCGTGAATTACATACTGAGTATGAATAAATTATGTACTGTTTATGTGAAAAAAATATTTTAAAAAACTTAACCTAATTTTATAACCAAATACTTACTAATAATACTTGAGAATACGAAGTATATGGCTGATTGAGTAAAAGATAAAAAATAACTATCCGAATTCATGTTACCAACCATAGCACCGGATACAAATCAATTTTAAACCATTTCGACCCCGGATTTAGCAAACGTAATAATTTTTATTTTTTTTTTCATCCGATAATTATATTTTAGTTAGACATAATACAATATTATGGCAACTAGCAAACAAGATATTATAATCGTTCATAATATATATCTGTATACGTAAATAGCTCTTGTTGCGTACAGACGCGTATTATGTATTATACTATAGGTACACACATGACATGGTTCTGCTGTTCTGCAGGTTTTATAATCATTAACTGGTTATGTCACGTGTGCGTGTATGTATATGTGTATGAATAGCTGTAGCGTAGCACGGTGCTGGAAGGGATAAGGGGGAAGAGGTGCGTTTTTATTGATAATTTTCCTCTCCGTTTAGTATGACCAAGTCAAATTTTTCGCTAAAAAAAAAAAAACAACTGCAGTCACGGTGCTACTAATTTATCAACCATGTCGCATTTGACTAGGTACCTACCTACCCATACCTACCTACATACATACATAAAATACTGCACTTATATACGCGCTGGACGGATCACTGTCCGATTTTTGTTACATAGAAATCTGTCAAAACGTACCGTGATTTAAAATGTAATGTATACTGTTGAAATTTTCCGAGAAATTTAACTTCTGCGACAAATTACCTACCTGTAAGATATATTAAGTAATGCGGATTTTAGAAAACGACAATAACGTTAATGCAATATTATACGTTCGGCTATTCGTATACTGTAATAGATAGATTATACAAAATACAGCCATTTCGTTTACAACTGATGATTTATAAACGAAATTCGATACTCGCAGCATAAAAGTAAAAAATAAAAACATAACTATATTATGTGTACCTAAAGAATACAAATTAGATCTAAGATGGAGCAAAAAAGATACTATTTGCAACATAAAATATAAAAAGCGTCAGACATATATTATAGCTATATAAAATATAGTATACCTAATATTATTTTACAATTTTTTTACGGCATTTTTTTTAAATATTCGATAAAAATAAAACGTATTGTGCGGGTATTTACGAAATCGTTAAACGATTCGGGCGTATATTATATTAAAAAACCACACTGAAAATAAAGTCGGTAAAAATACTCCCCGTGGTATATATATTATGACGTATTATATAATATAGGTACCGAGCAAAGTAAAATAAAAGACAGGTGGGCCGTAAAAAAAAAAAACTGCCCTCTATGAAATCTCGTAAAAATTTGGAGGGGAAAGTCTTGAAAAACATTTGTGCTCAAGCATATAACTCTTCATTGCCTACACGGTCGCTAGTTTTTTATTATTTTTTTTTTCCAACTAGTGGGCGGAATCATGAACTGCACTTCTCTCCCCATTGTACGCGTTTTACAAGTGGGTATATTATAATGGTAGGTACGTATAAGGAACTTATATAATTTCAAACAACCTGCACACACACACACACACACAGCAAAAACACAAAACTATGTTAACTTAAAAATACAATAATTTTCCATTAAGTAATGTCAAACAATAATATTATACTGTAAATATAATAATATTATAGTTTTTAAATGTTTGATGAAAAAAATCTATTAAAAATCTGATATATAATATTTATTTTTTTCTAATTGAGAAGGTATATTTCACCTTTCCATGGGATAATTTAGTTGATATGCTGTACCCAACGATAAATCATTAAAAACGAAAAACGATATGAGCAAAGTTTGGTTAAACAGTTTTTAATAAATTTAATTTATTTGTAACTACGAAATAAATATTGTTATATTGTTATACATATTGTTCGAGATTTTAACGAATTGTATCCATCATTTGTACCTACGGATTTTCGATATATTTGGTTCATATATACAAAGTCAAACAATTGTTATCCACATAAAAATAAACAAAACATTTCAAATAGCTTCAACTCAAAAACGACAAAATATTTTGAAAATTGTAGATATCATTTCTAATAAGTACTAATACAGGTATCCGATGTTCATTATAATCTCTACATTTTTCACTGAATTACAAAATAACAAAAAAAACAAAATCGAAATTAACGAAAATCGTTTTTGCGTAAATATTCCCTGGTTTTTCCCCATTATTAAGAAAATTATCAAGATAACCAAGAATGACCTAATGAATAATTTAATTATTTTCAAAATTCGACAAGAAAGTTTCTATGAAACTTTTGATTGGAGAAAGATTTCAGGTCAAAAAGTCGTCCACACTCACTGCAGAAATAACAACAGTATTGTAAAATCAATATATTTTGCACTTCGCTCAGAATCTAAAAATTGTAAAACAGCTGATAATTCATAAAAATGTCTACAGTATTATCCATCTACACATGTAATTTTAAAAAAAGTAAAAATTGTCGACAGTATCTATCAGATACTGTCAGAATATCAGATATCTATCAGAATCAGATCAATTGTAAGTATATGGGTATATGGGGAGATGGAAAAAAACCACAGTGCGAATAATGAAAAAAAAAACTGAAATGCATATAATATAGTTTTAGGACCACCTATTATAACTGGAATCTTATTTTTTTTTCTCTTTGATAAACCCTTGACAAATGATAAAAATCTATAGATAATTCAAATATACAGTTTTAATACAATAATAATGATAATCTATTGGGTATAATATTTTAATAACGACCGCATTATTTAATAAATCTTTTCAGACTTTTTTTTTTTTTAAGTAGGTAGACGTAATATTACATTCGTATTGTAACACAAAATCTCAAAATTGCAATATAATTACGACCCGAACATTCTTTTACGCACCTTATCCTTAAATATAAATATATGTATTTATTTTTTTTTACGATTATTATAAATTTAGAAAGCATTTATTTATTATTATGCTCGACGCTACAACAGCTATACGGTATGTACAATACTGCTTAATACTGCACACGGTTTAAAACGAATATATAGGTAGCTTTCTATCTAATATATAGTGTCTTCAACGAATAATGTGACACGGATAATAATATAATATTTTAACATACATTTTTTGTAGGTTTATTTCTATTTTTATTTATTTATTTTTTTTTTTTCGGAGTGGGAAGCCAAATTATATAATTTCTGATAGAAATAGGAATTTACGGGTGACCAATGGATCGACAATGGAAACATCAAGGGTAATTATTAATTGGCTAGAGTTCGTTAAATTCGTTCTTAATTTAATGTTACTGAAAATTAATTGATTTATTATTATACTTATTGAGAAAAAGTCAAATTTGAAATTGAACAGAAATGTTCAAACAAATAAAAATATAGGTTATAATAATACATCCGACTAAAAATTAAATAACTATATAGATTAATAATTAGGTATGTATACGTATAATAATATGTAACTATGAAATTATTCAAATTATATTGATATCTTTTAAAACCTGTTATAATTCATTCATATATTTACTAATTATCCATAGATTAGGTCAGGTTCGGTTACGTTAGGTTAGAATGTCAAATGTCAAAACTCAAATGCCCCTAATAGCATTTATTATTATGTAATTGATAATCCATTACAGCGTGTACATTGTCGAGAAAAATTTTCGCTAAATCATTAAAATAACCACTATTATAACAATCTAAACCGACTCACCTGTTTTGGGTTTCAATGGTCTCGTCGACGGCTTTCAGTCTATTATTACTCTCAGTGCCATCTTTACAGATAAGGACCTCCGTAAGACCATTGTTGAACGGTGAACTTGGCCTTCTGGATAATATGGGATCGGCTTGTTCGATTATTTTGTTTCCGTTGTCCGACGGGCATGTGGAATCTACACATTCGCTGTGAATTTTATTGTCCAAAAATTCATTCAATTCAGCTGTCGGGTGCAATTGACGCATCAACTAAATCAAAATCATAAAAAAAAAAAAATTGTTTTTTTAATTTGATATTGTAATAATATTTGCGTAGTTGTAGGTATTGTTTCAATCTTTCAACACTGTTGAGATCGCTATGAAATATTAAATCTCGTATTCTTTTCAAAAATTATAATAAATATCAATATTTATAAATATAAAAACGCTCAGAATCCAAAAAAAAAAAAAAACAAATTAAATTAGAACTAAAATATCTAAACGACGGGAGATGTGTACCGAAAATAATAAATTATAATAGTTAAAAATTTATCAATTTCATAAAAATAAAAAAAAAACAACGACAATGTTATATTAAGTATAGGCAGATAGTAAAAGTCAAGTAAAGTAAAATAAGTTAAATTAAGTAAGTAAGTAGGTATGTTAAAATTTTTTAAAAACGTATTAAGTCGTAATTTTTAATATAAAATATTGTTATTAATTATGTTACTGTAACTTTATCTGATTGAAACAACGTTTGTATAATTTATGTATAGAGAGAGAGAGATGACACTAAATAAAAATATTATGTACCTAAACAGTTTTACAAAAATCTAATAAGTAATGAAATATTGAATATTATATATATGAAAAGAAAATATCTTGCTAAATTAAATTCTCAGTATTCGTGGCACGTCTTTATATTATTACAATGTGTTTAATTATTGCAACCGAGCACTACAGTTGTAGTGATTTAACACAACATTATATCAAAAACGTTTTAAAAAAAAAATTGTGTTTAAAAACCTATAAATACTAATGAGAATATTAGTCAAAAAAACTCGAGATTATATTTCGAATGAATCTTTACAATATAATCGAGGCATTTTTGTAAAAACAAAACTATATTTCGCTATACATTTTAATATAATAATAATATTGGCGTACGTGTAAAAGAAAGAAAAAAAAATGCATGAGTAACAGAGTGCGAGAGCGAGATTTCCAGACGGTTCGGGGGAACAAACATTTCGGCGCCATGTTTGAACCTTTTCGCCAAACCAGAAACGTGTCTAATTAACTGGCTCATAAATCTCTTGACGGTACAAAAACAGACCGAATTTATTTTTTTGTTTTATTGTACGGTGTCCAATTTCAAATTGAAGTCTTTGACCATCGCTCATATTTCACTGTCGGAAATCATTTCCCATTACAGTAAACCACCAGCAAATGACGAGTAAAAATAAACCAGATTCTAGAAATTCTAGCAAATTTTTAACTTTTTCACTAATAAATAACGTGATGCCGTAGAACGAAATTGTTAAATTCAAAGAAAATAAAACGAGTAAGTATTATACTCGTACTATATAATTATAATTTTGTCAAACATCATAAAAAAAAGACATATAAACTTTAATCTATTTCTGGATTTTATATTATAAAGTAGATGCCCATTTTTTGTCTGTTCACGCGTATATTTCGAAAAGTATTTAACGGATTTTAGTACGGTTTTCACAAATAAATTAATGGAGTATCGGGGAAGGTCTTTTTAATTATAGTTAATGGGACGGCCAAAAATAATCAAAAACATAATATACTATAATAAATCTGTATCGTTATATTAAAATATATACCGAAAATATACCGTTGTACACTATAAATACGTCGGTCCAGCCACATTCCTGTTACATTCCTATTTCCTATAAGGTCTCACGTTCGAACCCCAAACTTTTTAATGTTTTTTTTTCCCCCATTGTCTTATAAGACTTAACTTCTTTAATTTAGTTATTGTATACATTAAAATAATATGCTTTAAAAATGAAAATTTTGGGTTTATCAATCCGATTTATTCACTTTTTACTTAAAGGGTGACTTATAAAATGATATAATATGACGCTATAAAATCTTGTGGTTCCCAGTTATTGTTATTTAATTTAGTTGTCATGGACTATAAAATACACCGAGTGAGGATAGCTATAGATGCGCAAGAACTGACATTATATTATAGTGGTGAAAATTGGATTAGGAGAAGGGTGTGTGTGGGGGAGGGGATACTTCGACTGCCATTTAACTTGGCACAGTCAATGTCACATGAAGATTAACTAAGACAGGGGCAGGGACATAAACAGCGAGACACGTTATATTAAATTTCATTAATTGATTTCTGTTTTGAATAGATTTTTCCAAATTTTAGAAATTAAATTGACACGGATAGTAGATATTTGAAAGTTTGAAAGGATAATGTTCTCACAAAATTGAATATTTTTTTAAATACCAACCGAAAGTGATAACATAATACAATTCCGTTTAAAATATACCTATACATTGTCATTTTAAATTAAAATACGATTTTACTAGTCATTTTAATTAATATAACTATAGTTAAGTTTGCAAAGAATATATTCTATTAAAATATAAGACATATGGACTGTTACCAATAATGTGAATTGTATTAATAAAACATCTTGAAGGTATATGTTTTATTTTTAATTTAAATAACTATATTTGATTTTTCACAAATTATCAATTTTTGTTTAACAAAAACGTGTAATAATATAAAACTTATGAGTAATATTATTAATTAATACTGCGATTATTGATTGATAAGCTATAAAAATTATTTATCTAGATTTGAACACATGAATGATTATGACCGTTATGCGTTTATGATTTAATAGCATTTAACCTTTTGCCCTTTTTTTGAACCTCTAACTATACATTACGAAGAAAAAATTATACGGACATATTTTGGACGATAGGTAAGCCACTGTTGTAGGTTGAGGAGTTGGAAAACTAGGATACATAGAGAAATTTAACATATATCTGTATGCAATGATTAATCTTTGCTAACGAAAAACGTTTCTGAGAAGAGTTCGGTTATAAATGTGTTGAAAGGCCATAATAATTACGACTTGAAAATAATACATTTCGTAAATTTTCCCAATTTTTCCCATTTATTATGAAAACCTTTGAGAAAATAAAAAAATAACCTCCCTTAAGTACCATCTCAATCAAATTTTTTTCCAAAAAAATTGTTACACTTGAAAATTAGAACAAAATTTCTTATAGAAAAGTTGTTCACAGAAAAAAATATATCATTGTAAAACTAATAAATTTCTCGCTCAGAATCTAAAAATTACTTAACCTACTGGAATATTATCCGTTTTTGATAATATCCTTGCAAAATACTATTATCATTAATTGAAAACACTAGACACAGACAATGTCACGCCGGGCGGTACAGCGACAGATAGCACTGATAGAAAGTAAATTTATATTCGTGAATATTATTCACTTTTCTTCGAAACTGCATTTCACCCATCTCGTGGTTGCAGTGGTGGTAAATAGATCTTAGAGTAAACCTTTAGTACCTAGCAGTGGTTGTGCATGAGTTGAAGTGGACGGCGAAAATGTTTTTCTGATACATACAGTTTCAACTTTGCAAATAAAAGAGGATATTATTGAGGAATAATAATAAAATATAATTAACTTCGATTTAATTTTTTAAATTTTCTATCCTAAACATTTATATATTAAGGATTTTGGTTTTTTTTTTTTTCTTTATAGATATTCGTTACGTTTTTGTTATTTTCATTTTTTGAAACCCTCGGCTATCTTTTCTAGCGCGAGAAGATAAACGTTCACCCAACTAAAAATAATAGGCCAAATAACATATATATATAATCAATTTTCAACTAAAAATTAAATTCTGCTTTTAACATACCAACCGAATTCGAGTTTCAAACATTTACAAAATAAATAATAATATGATTTCTCATTGTCATTTTTTTTTTTTTTTCTGTGAAATTGCACATGCATTTTTGTTCTATACACAATTCGTGTAAATATATTATCATAATATAATACGTTGCAAAATAAATTTAAGCTAATGAAAAAGAAAAAAATGCAACGTGTGTATTGTGTACATATTTCCTAATGTATATAATACCGATATAAACGCTTGGGGTTATTCAACTAACGACTAAGAAAAATGCCAGCGAAAACGAACAATCACTGATTATTGATATTTGATAAGGTGGTTAATGAAGGTAGATGCCGACGACGCGCGACGTCTCGTAGTAATAATCGTAAATAAAACTGCGTGCGATAAACGAGACATTGAAAATAATCACCTAGGTAAAAATAATGTTCAACCCATCACGCGTCTGACTAAGGGTTTTTAAATGGGCGATTAAGAGGGAAATAAATTGAAAAACAAACAAAAAAAAAAAAAATATAATTTAAATGACGTATAAATACCGATATAGTATACAAAGTGATTTTTTTTAAACATAATCATCTAATCGTTATGGTTACATTTTTCACGGATTTTTCAAATTTGTAAAACGATATTTTCGAAAACAAAGATTTTGCAGAAAATACAAGGATACTGTGGCGATACCAATTTTGATTTTTCAAAAACAAAAACCTACATATTTTAATGAAAATTGTAAAACAAATGATTTCTCTGAAAATGTCTTAATTATTTTCTTTTAAATAGTAAATACTAAGGATAATAGTTTATTAAATACATTGTAAATGGGTACGAGTTTAGTAATATTAATACACAAGCAATTTGTAATATTAAAAAATTAACAGAGTATAATTGACTAAATAGTAACTATTTAACAAATATTTTATACTGCATACCTAATTATAATTACCAAACTTGTACTTTTTTATAATGTATGACCGTGTATAAGTAGCGATTTAAAAAAAAAATTACTATGATGATAGTTTTCAATTTTTTTTCCAATTTCGTAAAATTTTAAAACAATTTAATATCACACGTTAATACCATGACTTTTCCACTCATCTAATGCACGATGACGTTTTACACCGAGAACCAGAAAAAACTGTAGGAATTGGGTTTGACGGATTTTTGAAACATATAATTATTTAGGATTTTCACTAGGATACATTGGAATTTTTTCCATAATGTTCAGTTGAACAATTAAATTTATATTGCCAATATATATACCCTAGTGTAGGCTATATTAAATCATAAACCGTTCTGAAAATCAAAATCCATCACACACAATTCCAACAGTTTCGCCTTTGGCTTTCGCCGATTTTTTGGTCAAAATCCACTAAAATATTTACACAGTTAACAACAATTCCCTTAAAATAAAAATTTTTTTTTTCCGGCCGTAACGATGAAACGATGTCATATTCTGTTACGAATGATATGATAATTTCTATTCTTAATTTGTATAGAACAATATCTGTGTAAAGATGATTCCCGAATTAATATTATGTAAATATTTCTTAATTGCAATAATATTTCGCTAGTTATTATTAACTTTAATGAAGTATACCGTATAAATAAATAATCCGTACAGACTATACTAATTAGATTGCTTTTGTGTAATTTAAATTGCATATACAAAAAGCCGTCCATGCAACAGAATAATAATATAGCAACAACATTGTATTTCCAGTGAAATAATTTATACAATTTTTACCGGAATTCTACGGAGAAAAAAAAATTAAAATTATTTTATTTTATTGCATTAAATACGAACATTATGTTGCACAATACTTTATTATGTAAATTACTTGAATACTTGTTTACACGAAATTTATAAAAATATGCACGCAGTGATATACATCCTTCGGGACATCTTAATATAAATGTTACTTCAGTCTGCAGTGTACATTAAATTTTCAGCCACGTACTCGTAAATAATTTTAACTTAAACAACTCGTTAAAATAACAAAATGCACTAATATAAATGTAATTTTTATTATAATTGTAACATGTGTGAGAAATTGTATAAAGAAAATAATAAACTCAACACATTACTTAACGTTAAAACGCATATGCGTACCTACGTAGTATGTATACGTTTATTTTTTTCTTATTTTAATTGTGTCTGCCACCTACCTGTACAATTATTAATTCAAATTATTATCATACATCACCGCCTTTTAGTTTTCATTATGTTCATTTCAACTTTTTACCTATGTTTCAGTATAATATAAGAATGGAAAGTAAACGACTCGTAATAATTATTACATTATAATACTCGTGTATACATATATATGTTGTTTTAATTGAACGAAATGGTATAAATGTAACGATTTAAAAAAATATACACGGGCATAGAAATTTTCAATTTTGTACTATTGTAATAATTACACGAGTCGGCAAACAATTAACGTTATTTCTTTAGGTAAAAATAATTATTAATATAATCGCTACAATAATCATGCTTACTGAACACGATTATTAATAATCATTAACAAAATATTATATTGTATATTGAACATAATATACCTGATGAGCCAATTTAGTAATGTCAACTGGTATGATACGTTTGCTAGCAGCCAGCCGTTCCAACCGTTCTTTAGCTTCATCTTCGATCCCGATGAAAAAGGCATCGTGAACTTGACCTAGATCGGAACCCGCCGAGTCGATGCTGGTAGTGACGACTAAATTCAAATAAACAAAACGAAATACAAATTACTAACATGGCCATACCCATAGCATTTCCCTATATTATGTATTATATTATATACTCGATACGAACACTGCGTTGCGTTTTGCTATTAATTATTATGGTTAATTTTAAACTGAACTGCCTTCTTCTAAATGTATTTATAACTACAATATTGCCAAGTAAACCGGTTTTTTTTTTCTTTCAACGCCACAGAGAAGAAATTGATACCGGTCATCGTTCTGGAGAAATTTCGATGTTTTCGTATGACCTACTATTTTAAACACATCCGATTTCTATGTGTAACGATTGTTATTATATATTATATATTGACAAATGTACCTATAATACCTCGTGGCTCGTACATGTATTGCAATAATATTATTGTTATAAACCTAGTTAGTTGAAAAATATAATATTTATTTTTCCCACATTTCGATAACCCGGAAAGTGTTGACTTTTTTCGGATTTTTTATTTTATTTTTTTTTTTTGGAAAATTTAAGATATGTTTAAAATCAAAAGTAGATGGTCGAAAAATAACGGTAATTTAACATGTTAGAGAGAGTTGCTTGTTTTTTAAATTGTTAAACAAAATTTCGAAAAAAGTTAATTCTACGATACACAAAGATATTGCAATGGGTTAGACCGACCAGTGGCGTGCACAGAGGGCAGATGTTATGGGAAAAATAATATTATTGTACACAAATATTTTAATTACACGCATTCTGTTAAGAGAATTTAATACATTTTAAAATTGCGCGTGATTTCTATGTTCATATCAAAAAATACCAATATAGAAGGTGAATCGTATGAAAGTGAATCTTCAGACGGGCGTTTACAATACGTATAGATTGTAAAAATGTCGAGAGTCGTGCACCACTTTCCATCAAGGGTTCTCAACATGGACGTGAAAAAAGAGGATAAATAATACAAATCAATATGCTATTAGGTGTGGCCAGATTATTGGCTCAAAAACATGCTTGACGGGAAACACTTTCATGTCTCGTATCATATATAGGTTTCTATGATAAATTATTTTTTGGAAAGAAGAAGACTTCTTATACATACTGCACTGATTTCCGTTTTTCAATATGTTCGATTCCCATCGCAAACATTATAAATTATAATATGTATTTTGAAAAATGTAAATATTTTACTTTTTTTTTTTCATCAATTTGTTCATACTATTATTTGAAATTGAATGAAAAATCAGAGTTCAGTGCAATCTGTGGACTGTTGTTTGTCGAGTTATTCGATGAGTTATCCTTATTCTCGCAACCATTTTCGTCCGTAACAACGGTCTTATCACTTCCCCTCAAATGGGTATTGGACAGTAGATAAGTGGAAAAATCTAACCTTTAAGGTGGTCATTAAAATATTGAAAATAACTATCTAATTTTACAAAATTGGAAAAAATTCAGTAAATCAGCGCCGGCACCGGGTTAAGTGAAACTTTTAATGATATTATAATATTCGAAAATCCATATAATAGAACTATGATGAAATACATTACATTGTGTGACTTGACCGTTTGATAAAAAAAAAATCACTTTTTCGTTTAAATCACACGCAATTTTTGTAAATGTATGGAAATACTCATGATGGTCATCCGTAAAAGCGTGTCCGGTTACTATTGTGTGTTATTATTACGCCCGGCAACCGCGTCGTATAATATTGCAAATCCAAATCTGTTTCTCAATCTGTATCACGCCCAAAGGTGTTTGACAAATATTTTAAAATAGTCATCGCATTACACCAAGAAAATCGAATTAAAATATATTAACTTGAAATATTTTCGAAATTGTTTTTAGAAAATATTTAAGAGGTTGCGTATAGGTAATTTCTTTGACATTTTCGAAAATTAAAAAATTGACCGACTCGAAAGTATTCATGTTCATTTTAAAATTAACGATCTAACACTGCTGTGTCGTTTTTACGAGTATAATGTAATTGTGAAATAAACTAAAAACGTGTACGGAAAAACGGGTTTGCACATGATAACTTTTTTATTATAGTAGAGTTACTAAAATTGCACACAGGGTAAAACATTTTTCGTGTAGTAACGAGCTTATTATTATTAAAAAACTGCTAAATAGTTATTATAAGCAAATGAAAAAACCAAAAAAAAAAAAAAAAAACACCTTTAACAAAGTTAATAAACATAATACATGCTTAACTTTAATAATATTGTAAGTAAAAAATCGTACGTAATTTATACAGCATAAATGTATCAAAAATATTTACGGCTATTATTTCAGAATAATCTACAAAATAATTCAATTCAGAAAAAAATTTCCGGTGTGTTTTCAATGTTTTTTGCTGTTTCACAATGTAGGTGTGTCTGTACATTTCACAATAGGATAAATGAGTACCAACCATTGCAGCAGTAACGTTCAATTATTAGTGACTAATACGGACATTTTAAAATATTTGTATTTTACGAAATTGAATCGATTCAATTACAGAGTATAACCTAACCGCGTACAAAAAAAAAAAAAAATAATAATAATTCTAATTTCATCAACAATTCTTTTCGTATTCAACGAAATTAATATATTCCGCGAGGAAATGTCCAATTAATATTATAATCACGTCAGTTCAATTTTCGCCAAGTTAAATAAAATACGTCCTAAGTTATTGGGATCAGGTGCAGCCACTGTTATAAATAATTTAATGTATATCTGTAAGCATCGATAAACCATTGCTAACGAAAAAACGATTCTGAGTGTAGTTCAGTTGATAGTGCTGCTCTGTCAACAATATATATATGTCATGTTAGAGTAAAATAGGCATTATATATATATATATTTTTTAATAATATTTGTTTAATGTACCGATTTTTTCATTTTTCCTATGTTTTTCCCGGTTTTCCCATATTTTTGCATGGTTTTTCACATTTGTTTGGAAACCTATTGAGAAAATCTAACAATGGTTTCCCTTAAGTACCTTCCCAGTTAGATTTCCTTTAGAAAAAGTGCTATTATTGTAAATCAGAGCACAATTGCTGGTAGAAAAGTTGAAGAAAAAAGAAGGCCGTAATATTTTTAGCTAATACCAACATTTTTTATATTTTCACGTTTTTCCTTCATTTTTTTTTTCGGTTTTGCACATTTGATGAGAAATGAGAAACTCCTAAGAAAATCGAAAAATGACCTCTTTAAAGTACCTATCCGATGAAATTTCCAGTTAGAAAATAGCTATTATTATAAGTTAGAGTATAATTGCTGGTAAAAAAGTTGACCACAGAAAAAAAAATAAACATCTTTGTAAAACCATAAGTTTCTTTGCTCCACTCAGAGTCTAAAATTAAATAAATAAATTACTCGAAAAAAGTTGTTCGAATCATCTGATGAATGTTATTGGATATTTCGGAAAACGGGTTTCGACGAAAATAAAATATTCGTAATCGATTTGTGTGCAGTTATAGATACGAAATTGGACGTAGACGACGAGTTCGAAATAAAAGCAACAGAAAAATGTCTTTAAACACCTATTATTTATTGCACTAACGTTTTTTCTGGTTGACTGTTTTTAGAAGTAAACAACGAGCTATACGCATCCACAAAAATTGTTTTTTTATTGCTTTCGGATTTGGAAAAAAACAAAAATGTTTTCGGTTCAGTTTTGATTGAGTATGGATAAAATGATAATCTAATCTTAAATGTGACGTTTTATTTTCCATTTAAATTCGTATAGCCTGTACGCGTTTAAAAAAAATATACATACGAGTATACGAGAAAGTAATGAATAATATACTGGCTTGATACGAATGCCCAACATCCAATCTCTAGATTTATCATATTATTCGTATTGTACATATTATAACGTATTACGTTATTTTTTTCTAACTCATCATTATCGACTATGATATACAACATTATTATAACACGTCTCAACGTATAATAGTAACATTCCAACTGTGAAGTATAATTGTATCTATTTGGCAAAAAAAAAATATACTTATAGATATTATATATATATATATATATACCAATAAAACTTAACTAACCTTAACATTTAAAACGTTAATATTATCAACTAAGCTCGCGTGTGGTATACAGATACTTTTGTAGAGTCATACGACTTACATAAATCTATTCAACTCCGTACGCTTTCCAATAAAACTAAGTATAAGTCATTATCATGGAGTAAAAGCTGTATTAAAGAGAAATTTTCGTGTTAATTTCCAAATGCATTAATGCATTATAAACAGAGTTATATTCGATCAGTGCGATTAGTTTACTGAACATCTTTTAAGTTATATGTTTTATATTATTACCAACGCAGGTACAGAATATCTTGTATCCCATCGATTCATCACAGTAGTAGTTAATAGTATGGTCACAGAATAGATTAACCAGATTAACAGTACATTATCAATAGTGATGTTCGATAATAATAAAGGTGGGTTCACATTACACCGTGTCGTGTCGTGCCGTGTCGTCACAGATATAGATAATAAACTAAATTGTTAACTAGTATAAATTTACAAGCAGGCCGGGCGACGCTACTTTTTCACCGTGTTGGTTGAAGGCTATGGTATTTTATCAATTTTTGTATCGTTGTGATTATACACAGATAAATTTTATCATAATTCATGAACTCGAAGTATTTTCAATAATAATTAACGTAATTATTTCTATTTTACATAATAATTTATTTTATTTACACATCAAAAAAAAAACTTGTTACTTAAGTATCTCAAAAAGCCAAAAACATTTAAAGAACTAACTTTATTTCTATAAACAAAGTTATGACTACAAGTTATTAAACAGAATTGTTTTATATAACTTTTGTCTTTTGTTGACAGAAGCTTTCAAAATAGTAGAACTTAAAATTTTGCTGTGAGAGTGTGTACCTGCGGATATTTAAATACATACGGCTTACTAGGTTAATAATATTTATCTTGTGTGGACATGAATACATATCAGTGATTTCAAAACATTTATTTTTTTCTGGAAGTAAATTTGAACATAATGCAAGAGAGTTTAGAACCATTATCATAATTTTTTGATCCATACTTTTTATAAATAATTGCTTTTTGTCAATAATTATGCATTTAAAGTATTGTTCAATAAGTTTGACGATTTTGAAAACACTTTTAGATGCTAGTTGAAGACCACTTCGATTTAGCATACCCAAGTACACAGCAAGTTAATGGCATTTAAGTAACTTAAACTTTTACAAATAAAAGTCAAAACACAAGGTTAAAATATCATATATTCATTTGCTTATTCTTTTTTTTTTAAGAGTGTTTAATATAATTTATTTTTAGATCATATTTAAATCAAATGTTTTTTTTTACATCTTATTATCAAATATTGTTTATTACTAATTAATAATTATAAATAATCTTATTTGTTTATGCAATCATTTCGATTAATGATTTACATGTATAATTTATTTTTCATTATAATATGTTTTTATGTATATAGGAAATACCCCCCGTCAAATGATAGATTAGGTATGACGTAGTTATGGTAACACTGCAGAGCCTACAACCAAGTTAAAAACAAGTTAACACAAGCCATAGATGAATTGGTTTAACACCCACCGTCTTTTTAATCAATTCATCTAATTAATGTGTGATGCAGATTGTTCAGAATCGAATAAATGAATACAATATTTTGTAATCATGATATGGAACCCGTTATAAACATAGTTTATGTAAATATGTTTGATATTCATAGTTTTATTAATTCTAGTACAAATAAGGGGAGGTTTAAAAAAATTAATATCAATGAATTTGATATTAATATTTTACCATTTAAATTGTTTAGTAAAACAAATGTTTTGAAATTATAAATAAATTAAATGATACAACACAAGCGTATGGTGGATTTAATATTGAATTTTTGGGAGCTATGGATTTAACATGTATAAAAAAAATATTTCCCAAGAATTTGTACTACAATTATGTATTATACAATTATGCATTGGGTCATATACATAATGCATAATTGTATACTGACTTTATTGTTAGATTTTTGTAAGTAGAATAATTTAGTCAATAAAAAGCATCCTATACACTCTAATAAAGAATTAGATAATAAATAAAGGTCCCTAATAGACCTTTATTATAGGATTATTATTATTATGTGTTTGTATCATGCATTATTAATAAAAAATGTTACTTTAAATATGTTACATTTAAATTGTGTATTTATATGAGTTGTATTAAATTTAAGGGATGATGTTATATGGTAGCACTGTCGACTATCAACAGCAGACATAATCTATAATTTTTTGTATGAGAAACACATTATACCGTTTCCCTAGTTATGTATAATGAAATAGCATTGTTGTAATGTAATACAATATGTCGTTAATATTAATATAGTGTTTAGATAATTAATAATGTAATAAAATAATATGTTTACATTTTTCGATCCATAAAAATGATCAAAAATTTAAGTCAAAATAAAACGAATAACTCAAATTAATTTTGTGGTTGCAAATTAATACAATTTTCAATTCAAGTTGATCAAATCACGTTTAACAGAACTTCGCTCAGAACCGTTTTTCATTAGCAATGATTCAATTTCTCGGCTACAACAATGGCACGCTTATGGTGCGAAGTATTTCATTTTACCGTTTTCAAATATAAAGTCATTATAATTTAATACGGATTTTCATTTTTTTTTTCTAGTTAAACACACTATATATTTTTATATATGTTTACCTAATTACCTAATAATTACCTATGGTGAAAAAGTTAACTATGCCTGTATGCATGCAAACATATTTATTAACAATTATATTATGCAAAATCAGATAAATAAATTAAAGTAAACACTTTTACCAACGTAATTATTGTGATACATTTCTCCATATGCAATTATTATTGTTATAATTTCTTATGTCCGGTAGGAAGAGAGTACAGTTTTAATTACGAATGCAATAAATTCATAAACAGTTCATTTTATTGTGTATAAATAATGTTTTAAGGGGTAATATTATTATAAAAAAAAAAAATCAAAATTATTCATAATGTGTATTACTAAATCTTAATGTACGGTTTATGTAATTGTTTAAGATAAAATTACTTTTACAATTATTATCGTCGGCATAAAAAGTGTTAGTACAACGTGTGTTTATTTGGCGTGTTCAAAAATTAAAAGTTCAGAACAGACTATTTTGCCGTTTAGTGATTTGTATAAGAACAAAATATCATTATAATTTCTTTGTGATGATAAAAGCAAAATATTGCATTTTTTTTTTCTATATCAAATGGCAATGGATAATGGTAAACTTTTAATGGTTATTAATAGTGTTTACTATGTATTATCGTTGTATCATATTATACGAGTTAATATATTATATACACATACAAAATAACCTTGAAACGAACAAATAAAACTATTGTAGGTGTAATTCCTGAAGCTAATGATGGGTCAATAGAAATTTTAAAATGCGCAGTATATTATAAAATAACATTGACCTAGCCATCGCAAAAACTATATTATACGTATCATGTTCATTAGAAGTCACATTTTTTCTTTTGAAATTAAATTATCATAGAAATAATTTGTAATATAGGTAATAACTATAACATAGGTAGGTGTAACCTACCTATGTAATATACTCAACGCTATAAGGAAATTTAAACATTTTCATTAAATACGATACCGATATGGCGTACCAATGTAATAAACCCAAATAATTCCAACAAAAATATATTCGGATTTTTTGTGCGTTTGCTGTGAATTCGAAAACACGATGGCTCACTTTGTATAGTTAAAATTCACACAACAATAATATAGAGATAAAATATCGTCATAAAAAAAAAAATTCGTAGCAAAAGAAAAAAAAAGGTAGGAAACGCTTTACAGTTTATACCATGGGAGTGCCACCGATTTACTTGGGAAGGTGGAATAGGAGTATGCAGACAATATTATTACTGTTAGAAACGTTAAAACATTGCGAACAAACAATTATTCTGAACACAGTTAAACATATTATTTTCACCAACACTTTTCTATCTATCGCAACAATAGACTCGAACCAACGCTAACAATAGCATGGTGGCCGAATTTACAACAACGTATTAATTATAATAAGCTAATAGTTTGCTTTATTTTTCAACGAAATATGATTTTCAAACTAACTGGCCCGTGAAAAATATTAATTAATTAATTTTTTTTTTAATTCGCATAAAAAATGGTAACCAGAAACCAATAAAAAACAAATTAAATGTGTCAATTTTGAATTATTCAAAAATTTAACATTCAATTGTGAAGGGCTTGAAATTTGTTTAATCTAGAAAAATGAAAACTATAAAGATAATTGAATTTTGGTATAAATTACAAATAAAAAATCCTGATATAAGGTACCTTCTTTCATATATTTTTTAGAATTTTTACCTTTAGTATAATAATAATAATGGTTCTGATATGAATTATAATATGTTTACGTACAAAAAACATAAAATTAATTATTGTAATAAAATTGACGAGGTTATGTTAAGTATTGAAAAACAATACTATAAAAAATTCAATGGCAACTTGAATAGTTAGAGATAAAATCATAAAACTATTAAAATGTGTGAAGGCATGTATGTTATTATTCTAATTTATTTAGTATTTCAATATGTTAAATAGTTAAAGTTCCTTGGTCTTAACAAGTCATTTCTTAATACCATAAAATAATATAAACTGTGTTTATTTATAATAATATTTTACTCTCACTTGCATTTAACAATGCCCGTCATTGAAGTCACTACAAAATAAACCTCCACACGCAACGTCTCTTAGAATTTTTAATAAAGCTATCTAATCCTATCTACCCATCACTGTGCAACGTATCGTTCCTTTAATGTTTTAGGAACATTGTTCTGTAATTTAACTAAAAGTTTCAAATACATCTCAGAAACGCATTTTCTAAACCATTTCAGGAACACTCTAAGAATGTAATACATTATTGTAACTATTAAAATAATTTGAAAAAAAAAACAGCCCTAAAAACTCCGATTTCGGTAGGATTCAATTTCTCGACCAGTCGACCCCTAATTATTATTCTCAATTTGCCAAATTGGTTTAATACTGTAACACACGATCATATTCATTACTCAATTTTAAACAAAAGTACACATAATATTTCAAAAACAATTCGGTAATTCAAATAATGAGCTTAACTATAGGCGTATTTCTAGATAAATTAAAATATATTCGATTGTATTTATTATTAAAGTTCATATTAACGCGTAAAGTATATACAATGTTTTTTATAGGCTTTCTGTCAGGCATATAGCACAAATTTACGCCGGTCCCGACGAAAATCGGATGTCGAGTAAAGAAAAAAAAAATACCGACGTCGTTCAGCATAACAGCATGTACCTGTAGGTATAGTATAACGAAATCCACACCTCGATTCAGACACTGCAAGAGTTCATTACACCCACGTAAAGAGAACGCTTATAGCCGCGACGGCGACGGTATGTCCACCGGGTCCAATCCACTGCCTAGCATTGTTATAAATGAAATATGATAATAATCCATTACGAGAATATATATATATGTATATGGGTATTATAATATAATGCCCACATAATATTATATAGTAATGATTTTATGCTTGTATCATTGACGAATTTGACGTACAGTTAGGTAAGCTGAAGGGGCGTTAATTTTGGGATCAGTGACGAATTTGTTGTAAATGCTTTTCTTTTTTTTTAACATGTCGCTGGTACAAAATTGAATTACATAATGTGTTTAAATTTAAATAAATTAAAATTATTATGGCTTTTTTTAACGATTCCGAAACACCCCCTAAATAGTGGCTATTCCGGAGGGAACTGTATAAGAAAACATGTCTTATAGGTGGCAAAAAACCAAATATGCATCTCTAATTATCGAATATGTGACCGAGAGATATACAGAATCGCGTTAAGCCATCTGGCACTCCGGTTAAAAAATGTGCAAAAAGTGTCTAACTAAAAATTGTAAAATAGAATTTATAATTTTCTTTAAAACTTTTTAAACTATATAAGTGTAATATTTATGAAATATAAATTGATAAAACATAGAGGTAGTTGACAAATCATACAAATTATTGTTTTCTTGCTTTTTTCCCCCTAATACTTACTAACTCCAATCGATATTCTTTGCAATTGTTTCTGCTCGCATACATAAAAGTGATACCAATAATGTATTATCATTCGCTAGTGACGAACGAAAGTAGGATTTAACTATTTTGAGTACGGAATATAAGTTTTCACCACTGCGTTTGAGCATAAAATCATATGGTGTAAATTTATTTAGCGCTATATTTCAATTGATGGAAATTTGTAAGGATTTTCAATATTTTTTTTCATTTTTTTTTTGTATTTATTCGATTCACTATAATTAACAATATGGGCACCTCAACATTTTACCGTGATGAAACGTCCCGGGGCAAATATCCTCATTTCGCCCTGAACCCCTTATTACGGCCCCGAGGGGGTAAAAGTACATGCATATTATATTCGCATGCGAAAAACGCGGTATAATAATATTATTATTATTATACGAGTAGGTATATAAACGGTTGGTTATAGCGGGCAGCGTGGTGGTTCTCTTCTTGGCGCGGCGCGCGAGAAGGAAGACGCGTGATGGACCAAAAAAAAGAAAAAAAACGCGCTTTGCTCGATGTCAAGGGCAACCGGTCGCACGCATACATAATAATATAGTATGGCAACCTCGCATTACGTGAGCTCAGTCACTACACAGGCCTCTGACAATAATAATATAATATATTATTGTTCCTCGACTCGTAATATACACACACACACACACACAAATGCGCGCACGTGCATTGTTTCTTTCATAATTTAATTCCCATCGTGCAGCATCACAGGAGACGCGTACGTTTTCAAGGTTTTGGGGGAAGTCGGCTGTTATAAGACGACAAGACGTACGAACCCGTCATATAGTTAATCCCGAATAGGTATACACCTAAAGACTGTTGCTGCCACTGCTGCTGCCGCTGGGGGGAGAGCAAGGAAGCGGCTGCCGCTGGCCAACATCCAAAATAATGGACACGCGTCTTATGTATACCTATGCGACGCCGAAGACTTTACACGGTTCTCTTCACCAATGCCAATTTAATATAATATAGATAAGTCATCGCTCGTCACTAAAATATATTGTATACAGTATATTACAGTGACGTAGCCGCAAGCAATTGTCGGGAAAAGGGACGGGGTTAATTCAACAACCGTTTACATTCGCTAAATGGCGCCGGTATTCCAAACCGCGCTGGAAGTGGAACTTTTAAGGGTAAATAAAAGCTCGTAAAAAACTCGTTCAGTAATTTAATTAGACGATAATTGAACAATCGTATAAATGTATTAATATATTATTTCAACGGTGCAGTAAACTGCATTTAATTACTTGCATTGTGTACTGTTTAAACATTTTGAGGGGTAGCCGGGAGGGGACATTCTTCCGGCTACGTCGCTGTATGTGTATAACATTCCTTATGACTTCCGAAGAAACTTTTCTTTTCTTCGCTTTTACAATAATTAAGAAATCTGTCAATAACTGCACACCATAATTTAAATATGTATAGATATTTTTCAAGCAAATGTTATTATATTTTGTTAAAAAAAAAAATTGAATTCGAAAGAGAGTAAAATGCACTGAAGTTATGCAATAATAGATAATAACTTTATTATAGTATACGCAAGGATCTATAAATTCGTATTTATTAAAACCGTAACAATATAATTGCCACTGCAATCCGATACGCAATATTTTAAAAAAATTTTCATATAGGTACTAATTTTTTTTTTTTACATTTTTGCTATACTATTACTCGTAGTATTAATACAGGTGCCCTTGAGACGCAAATAAAATTCATTGAACGTATACTCGTACACTCGTAACTATATGAATATTTCAATTTTTCTACGAATATTTTATTGTTTACGTAACAACCTGCAGAAATTCGTTTATATATTCACATAATACGTCCCATATTATATGACTAGAATATTACAGAAAACAATATCGATTCGACAGTGTGTGTTTGTAAATTGCGTAAAACGTGTTATTATTCCGTTACTTAATTTTTTGTTTTTGAAAAAATAAAAATTTGAAAATGTTATCGGTATATACCTATAAGTATATAATTTATATTTTAAATTGCAGATTTAATTTGTGTACATAACATAATAATATCAACAAGAATAATAATTAAATACAATTATATTCATCCTAACATGAATCATTATTAAATCCAATGTACAAATATATCATAGTAGGTGGGTAATATGTTAAATTATTGTGCAATGTAAAATGGGTAGGGTACCTTAAACTTCATTAAATACTACGTCTGAAAATTAAATTTTAATCAAATTATTATTTTGAAGTTTCGTAACTAGGTTGGTACTAAAAATGTATAATTTATGCAGAGAAAAGTTATAGGTACTAAAGCTATACGAGACATATATATCGTCAAATTAAATAAACTAATAATAAGTCAATTAGGTTATCGTCCAAAGTTAAACAACTTTCAATGGTAGGCCAGATTGGTCAGTTACTGAAATACGTGAATTTTAGATAGACGCCTGAATAAGTTACATTTGTAACTTGTATCTTGTATTTAGATACTTTTTCGAAGAACTTGTAATTAATTCATAATTGATGGGTACAAGACACTTTAATATTATATATTTTTTTGAAATTTAAACTTTAAAATATTTATGTAGGTACATATAATATAATACATAATGTAAAAATTTTACATTATTTATAATATTATTAACTATGATTTAGTTATTTAATATAATCGATTGAATTTTGTATCTATTAATATTTCACAATTTATTTCTGAACACTCACATTTGTTTCTATAATTTATATTACGTTATTTAAATAAAGGTAATTATTTATAATGAAAAAAGTTTTTTTTTAAATTTTTGATGTAACTTTTGTGTCTTTTATGTAACTGAGATACGTAACTTGAATTTTGTATTTAAGCACATTTTTATGAATTAGGCCACTTGTAACTAGTATTTAGATATGTTATTTTAGAGTAACTTTTAACTTGTATCTGGTTACAACTAATAGAGTAATTTGACCAAACCTGATGGTGGGTTTAATGTAATCCGTGGTTTTAATGTAATTATTGGCAGTTCGTTACAATGACGATCATTTTCGGGGATGTGTTATTAGGGATATATCCACAATATGAAATTGTATTTAAGTAATATATTACGTACCTATTATTAAAAATATATTTTGAATCCCATCAGGTACGACGTTAAATTAAGTTTACAACATTTCATATTGAATTATATATATATATATATTAATTACTAATTATTTCAACAATTAATTGAGGAATAATTATCGTTTAAAAAGTTGACACAATAAAATAATAAATTATTTGAAATATTCGTATAGTTCGAAACAATAAATACCGTCGTATAAAATCGATTTGGTTGATCTCCTATACAAATTGACCGTGGCAATATTAACTCATCGTTAACGGAGCATGACTTGACGTTGGAGGATCAAAAGACTCCCGAGTGCATTTGAATAGTTTTCATTTGTAAAAAAAATATGATATAATTGGTACTTATATGAATACTAGCTACTTTTATACATAACACATTCAATTTATTATAATATTAAGAAATGCATAAAACATTTTTAGTTCCGGACCGACAGTTTTTAACTCAAATATCTGTAATAACAATAATCGGGTTCTTTCGAAGACGAGCGAAATATACGTAGACGGAAAAAAATACACGCTAACGGATAATTGAGCCGGATGATTTGCTTCGGTCGAGGGCATCGAATTTTATTTCGCAGTGTGCAGTTACTGTCAACGGTTCGCGATCTAGCATTATTTCTCTCAAGGTGGATACAGATTGGTTGACAACATGCGAAACTCAAGAGTAATGTTCCAAACGGTTTACTTTAAAAATTCTTCGCGACTAAAACCTTTTGTACACTTATTAATATACTGACTAGTGACTGTATTTACAAATATATATATCAATCCTTTAGGTATGCTGAATATGAAATGTATGCACTTTTGTCTACTATTTGGAGAGGGGGAAAATTATTTCACGTAAGTACATCTAAATCAAATAAATACTTTTCAGTCTTTTCGCTTTACAAACAATTCTTGAGCACGCTAGTTTAGAGTAAGTTAGTATAATTAACATTTAACAACATTACAGAAAATATTTATACGTCACAAATTTATACACACAAATCCACAATAATTATCAATTAAGACTAATAAATGTAATGTGATGTTAGTTTTTTACACTCCTGGGGATAATTATATTCCACATATATATATAGAAAGAGATTATTGATACAAAAAATGCGTGCAAGATAATGGTACTACCCATTTTTTGTGATCGTCATTAATAGTCATTACAAAAAAATATAATAATGAAGTAAAAATTACTAGCAAACACTCATGAATCCCATACGAGGAAATACTGTATACCAGATACCTACCTATATCCAATTTACAATGTCCAAAACTAACGTAACATCAATAACACGTAATACATTTAAATACAATATGTATTCATAAATTATAGGCTCACAGTATAGAGATCAGCCCGGTCCCGGGTCAACTCAGTCAACATGCTTTTTATATTCTTGGTTTAGGTGTTCGGGTCTGAGATAGTCATAATGGGTTAGGTTTGTTTCAAATCATGATATGTTTTTAATACCACTGAAGTGGTCCGGTCCGGTATTTTAGTCTTTTGATCTTCCGGCTTTTTGTCTGGGTTTTATACTTGGAAAAATAGTATAATATGTCAATTTATTTCTAATTATTTATAAACAGCATGTGTTCGTATTTCTTGAAACATAGCCATTTCACTCGTCATATCGTATAGCTTATTAAATATTATTTTCCATCAAAACAGGAAATCATAAAAATAAACGTTGATTACCGTCAACAGACATAATCTAGGTAAAATAAATACCTTTGGTGGAAGTAATACGAAAGCAATCTTCATCAGGTGTAACGATTCAACCAAGAAAAAATAGATAAAATAAATATTAAAATATATAATACTGATTAATACTTAACTTGATGAGTAGTCAATTAAACGACCAATTTTTTTTTGGTTTCTAGTTGAATAGTTTTATGTGGACGATTTGATTTCAGTTCTAAATCACCATATAGATCCGGGAATTAAAAAATGTGTGGGCTTGGTTCAAATTGGTCTAGGTTGAAAAATTTATTTTAGAAATTGATCTAATTCGGTTAAACAAATTATCTTAAATATTTGGTCTGGTCCCACCCCATTTTCATGATACCGGGCTGTTCTTTAGTTCTCATTCAAACACAATATTTGATAATTTAAAAATAATACTGTGATAGCTTCTCATGTATTATATATTATACAAAAACTACAACAAATTAATTAATTCAAACTTCAAGTTTTTATTATAATTATGCTTATGTATTATAGGTAAACAATGAACGCAATACGTATATTCGATTTTTTTCTATTTACGTTTTACTTAAAATATCCCGTAAAAAAGAGTGAGGAAAGCAAGATTTTTGGTACACTTTATCGCCGTTTATCAATTCCGGAGTTTTACGGTCAACTTATCAGACTAGACACCGATAATTTCCTTCAAACCCTATTTTGAAGTAATTCCGTGGCCATTTGCAGGAATCCACCGGGCCGCGACCTACAAATCGCGAGTTTAACACCTTAATGACTTTGTGTCAGCTACTGAAAATAAATTATACTAGATATATAAATAACGATTTTTCAAGAATACAAAATGTATAAAAATGTCCTCGTCACAAATACAAACATAATATTGTACATAGTATCTACAGTCTATACACATTGGTTTATTAAACCTACATAAAAAAAATAGTAAGTGGAATCGGGAATTACACTTGATACAAAAAAAAAATGAAAATAATATTACACTAGAATGGTCCCTAACAAACTAAAAACACCACACGATTAGATTAGGTACGCAACAATATACATCATCATTACCTAGTGAGCGCAGAACATACGAAAATTAATGAGAATAACTACAAATATTAAATATTACTCCTGTACATTGCAAGCGACACTTAAACATAATACAGAATAAATTTCGGAAATCATCGACTTTGTCAATTATAGTTCTATTGTAATTTGTATCTTTCAAAATATATTACAATATATGATATTAGTATGTTACTATATATATATGCACCTCATTATAATATTATGAAACAAAATGAATGACAAAATTTCACGCCATACTATAATACTCCTACAGTAATATGTTACAAGTTGTGCCTACCAAATTAATACAAAAAATACGGACATACATCGAACGATGGGTAGGCCACTGTTGTAGGTGAAAAGTTTGAAAGGTGTGACATAAAGAGGAATTTAATGTATATCTGTATGCAACGATTAATCATTGGTAACGAAAAACGATTTTCAGTGGAGTTCGATTATACGTGTTTTCAAAGAACGTAATATTTATGATTTTCGACAAAATTTGATTTTAAAACTCGTATGAAAAAAAAAAAAATACTGCATTACACAAATTTTCTTTTCATCAATAAGTACGAATTATAATCAACCTCCAGTAAAATGTTCAAGCATTTCTGTTTGGTCTAACAATTCAATCAATGAGTACTTACCGAATAAAAATACGGCAAAATTAAAATGCCTATAAATAGCTCAAAAATGACTAAAATATTTTGAAAACATTACTACGCCTAGAAAAAGCAAATATAATTTTTCTATCTAGATTTAAATTTTCTATAAGAATATTTTCAACTGTATTGCATTAAAAAAACAAAAATTAGATTAGTTTCAATCTTGACTTGGTATCGGCAAGGTCGATAGAAGTATTTAACTATGTCCAATAAAAACTTTTGAAAGTTTTGTGTAGGGCAGAAGCTGCAGGAAAACTGGATAAGCCTATACTCCTTCAAAAAGAAGATATTAAGCTCGTCTTTTAAATTTTGATTGAGAAAAAAATAATAACTTTTCAAAATTATATATAAATATACGTAAGCACACCGAAAAGTTTTTTGAGTGTTATCGAATGACGGTCATATCATTCCTCTTCTAAATACAAAAAAAACATATTAACTGTTTAAAAACGAAAACATTTTAAATTGTTAAGTGTATATAAAAAATAAATACTCGTAGGTGGAAAGTTGGAAAGGTAGGATACAGACGGGAATTTAATATATATCTGTAAGCAATGATAAATCATTGCTAACGAAAAAACGATTCTTAACAGAGTTCAGTTGATAGTATTGCTTTGTTAATAATATATGTATGTCATATTATGGTAAAATGATTACAGCAATGTGCGGTTCCATGACAATGATTGTTTAAAAACGATTTAAAATAATGAAAACTTAATAATAACAATAAATAAATAAAAACGGTTGCCAATGACAAACTTATTTTTAATCTTTCAATCTTTTCTAACCTAAATAACCAGGTTTTCCTCATTATCTCGAATATTAATGAGAATTTCAAAAAATGACCTCTTTAAAATACCACCCAGAGAATATTTTATTTCAGAAAAGCCGTTATACTTGATAATCGGAGTAGACTTTCTAATAGATAAAGTGTTTACATAAAAAAAATAAACATCTTTGTAAAACCAATACATTCTTCGCTAAACTCAGAATCTAAAATTGAAAATAATAAATTTCGTAAATTTTCCCGTTTTTTCTACGTTCTTTCCCAGTTCTTAACTATTCTGAAAATTGCTAGAAAAATCAAAAATGACTTGCCTAAATTACCACCGAAATAAAATTTCCTTTCAGAAAATGTACTACACTTGATACATCGAAGCAAGATTTTTGGTAGAAAAGTTGTTTACAAATAAAATAAACATTATTGTAGAACTAATACATTGGTTTGCTTTGCTAAGAATCTAAAATATGTAACGAATAAATTGAATATATTGTTAGAAAATAATAAAAGGAATAATTAAATTGAAATAAATTTAAAATTATAAAAATCACACTGATTGGCAATCATGTTATTATCACCTATATAAGCAGACGTGTAAATTAAAAATTATTTAAATTTATTTAATTGCAAATAGGTATTATGAAATAATAAACAAACACTTCTAAGAGTACGTAGAAACAAAAATAGATATTATGAACCTTAATCGGTTGTATAAGAATCATATATAAACAACGTGTAATCCGGAAGTTGATTGAAACTATTTAGGTTTGGTTTACTTAACTCACTGTAATTAAACCATATTTATGTCTTTTAAATATATAGGTACATATATGTTATATAGAATTAATCGTTATTTTTAATATCAGGACTTCCAAATCTGTTTTGTAGCCAGCACAACAGTACCTACAGTGTATACAAATTTTCCAACGTGTGGATATCATCCAGTATTTTTCCCTGAGGCAAACTCGTTTTATTCGCCACTGTCCGTTTGAGATTCGAGGTTAACAACAGCACCAAAGGCAAACTCGATTGACCGGTTCCTCGCATTCTTTTTCTTTCTCTCATTTTGTATTGTACATTTATATTTATCTGCGAGTCGTATATTAAACACATAGTACTATATAGGTACACTTTAAAAAATATAAAAAAAACTACTACTAAACTACTGTATAACGCTTTAACACCAACCGGAACAATTTAAACATTTTCGTCATTTGATGTGTGCTTACGTTTTAGTATCGTAAATCGTAATGTTTTTATAATAATATAGGTTGAAATGATTATAATTTACAAACCGATTATGGCATCCGTGTAGTTAATTTTAAAATTCCAATTTGATCACAAAATATATACTTGTGGTTTATTGCGCCATGGGGACAAATAGGGGGGGGGGGTTTCATAGGATTTAACGCCCTCAAAACTCAGCCAAGCCCACTCAAATCAAGCCCTTGACAAGTAAATACTAAGTATACTTAATCTATATCAATCAATATTATGGCGGTGTTAAGCCCTTCAAAATATTTAGGCTATCTGCGTTTATGACAACGTCCTATATTGTTTATATGCCTTATTAGTTCTGCTATCTAACTTTTTTTGGTCAGGCTGTCATTGATTACAGGTCCAGGTTGTCCTAGGACGGCTTCCGCCAGTCTTTCACAACAACCTGATCTAACATAACCCTTTTATCAAGCGGTTTTAAATTCGTGTGCAAGTTTATTTTTAATTAAAACGGTTTTAGTAATAACTTTCAAATAAGTTCTTAATTTGTATTATGTTTGATTTTTGATTAAACCATTAAAATGTATTATAAATTAAAATTAAATTTGAAATAAAATCATTGTAATTAAATATAAACAAGAATTCATTAAAAGATTATATAATATGCCATCGCATTAAATATAAAAAATGAACCTTTTTTTTTTCTTAAATAATTAACTTATACTGTGGTGTTCGTGAAAATTTAAACTTGGCTAATACTTCAACCAAATGTAAAATAAAGCAAGGAACTAATTAGCTAATAAACGTCAGTTTCGAGCGCCCTACTTATTTTGAATATGATTTAACAATATTATTAAAATATTGTGAACACCGAGGTGCCTACATTATAGCTAGGTTGCGGGCCGGAAGCCGGATGTTCGTATACACACACATTGTGTGTAATTTAAACGCGGGGAGAAGAATCGATGGCATTTCCATGGCAACCAGGTATAATCAAAACATCCGAAATCCCCTCCCGCCAAATATCGTTATTAAAAAATATACATAGACTACGGTTTAAATGCACATACAAATATTCTCAGTCCGTGTCGTTGAATTTCATACCATACATTATTATTACTATATTGCGGTCAGTGGTTTACTGACCGCTGATTAATGCAGCTGTATGTATGTCAGAATTATTGAACTTAAATTATATAAATTATAGTCATTTATTAAAAAATATTTAGAAATAAAATACACCATTTCTTTTTTCGGAAAATAATATAGCATTTGAAACTATGTTTATTATATTTAGATAAAATAGGTAGTGTTACTAGTCTGCTATGATAATATGGAGATAAACGAACAGAGTAATCACGAGATAAATCGTACAAATCACTTGTATTCAAGGATACAACTTGTATCCTAATATAGTATAAGACCTTATACAAATATATTACAACGATTATTATATTAAGTTAAGTAAATAAACCTATGCATTTGCATAATAAATTGAACTTACAAGTATCCATCATTTATCATATGCTATACAATCGTACAAAATATTTGACTTGTTACTAAAAATGCGTGCACGTATTCTGTATAAATCGAAAAATTAAATCAAAACTTATTTTCAATGTGTATGTTATTATATTATGTGAATCCTTTCAAAGTATTGACGTCATCGAGGCCAAGGCAACATTATTTCACCTTACCAAAGTAAATCTAAATAAATGCACCCAAAGTATACCTGGTGCTAAACTTTATAAGCATAAAAGCTCAATAGTGATTTAACTACGGTTCTAGAAGTATACGTGTTGTACATTAATTAAATAATTTCAACTGATTTAGTGAACGTAATTTAAGTTACTTTCTTTATTATGTTATTGACAATTATAAGCTACGTTTCAATAAAAATTAATTTCATTAGTGAATTATTTTTTATATTGATATTTATGATTCGCATAATTTTACAAAACAAAAACTAAAATCAATCAAATATAAGTTCCACTGAAACCTTTTTTATTTATGGTTTACAAGTTATTCAGATTTTTGCATTTAAATTTAAATGTTGATAAATAATAAAATATCTACAAGTTTGATATTTTAATTATGGATTAGAAATTAAAACGAAAACAGAACTTTTTCTAACTAAAAAAATTAATACCAAATTGTTTTAATTTTAAATTAAGTACATTTTATTAATTTTTGACTTTAATAGGCAATTATTGTTAGAAATTGCTCAAATTCGACGTATTTATTCAATAGTTTTACGTTAATTTGATTAGTATTAAAATAATAAACTAACGTATAAAATAAATTAGAGAGGGAGGAACAAATTTTATTTAAAATCAGCTGCCCACCAAGCAGGTTGCTGTAAGATACAGCATTCTAATCAATATTTGAATACATAGGATAATTTTAAATTTACAATACAAACAAACATTACTAAATTTATGATACAAGTGGATAAACTCTATTAATTCCTTAAAATGTACGGCTTAAAATGAATAATACAATTTGTTCAAATATAATATATACATATTTTATTACTATACATTTTTTAAAATCTTCTTCCGATAATATTTACATGATTCAAAATAAAATGTACTTATAATTATTACTTTAAATTAAAAAATAAAAAGATCTAGTGGCGATTATTAAAATAGGATACATTTTTTTTATGTTATCTCCGAGCAACGAAATTATTTCTCAAGTGCCTTCCTTTTATGTATATGTACATTTTTAATTAGTATACGAAATATGATAACGAAACTTGGGAGTTCTTTAATAACTATGGGACACATAAATAAAGTGTTCTTACATTTAATATTACATACAAAATAATGACAATTATGTACTCAGTACTTACTTTACATGATATATTCAATCCAAAAGTCTACACATATAACCAAAAAAAAAAAAAAAAAAAAAAAAACAATTTAACACAATCACTATACACTAACAATACCTACGAGATCCCGATAAAAACGCGAACTCCGAAACGTTAGCGGTACAAGTAAAAAACACTGGGTGTAACTAGGTAGACTAAAACATAGACCTGTTATTGGTGTTACCTGGCGTACCTGTTGTGATCACTCGAGGTCGCTAACCGACTAGAAACGACAGTCGTCGACCACAGACGATGTAGAAATTCTCATAAAAATACCACGATGATGAGTATAGAGAGGCGAGAGAGTTATTTAATTTTTTTTACACTTGCTCTTAGACTTTTACAGAAATTATAGCGAATATTACCGTACGAGAGTGAAAGTATATTATTCTATTAATAAAAATAATAACTTCTCATTTTAGAATGTTAATAATTTCCAACGGAAGTGATGTTGGCGGCTATAAAACTCTTGAAGAATTCTGGTGTCAGGGAGAATAAGAAGGAGTATTTCGCGCGATAAAAGTGATACATTTTAAAGGGTTGATATAAATATATACGAGTTATTAATATTGAAAAAGTATTCAGAAGTTTCAAAGATACAACCCATTGTTTATATTGCATTATTGCATCATATCATACTGGATAATATTAATATCCCACGAAGGTTTACCAATTTAAAACGGGGAGTAAAGAAATATTGCTTTGGCATTTTGAATTAATAAATCGTAGAGTGATCAGAAGGGCTGTACGTCTCTGTCCACCAATACTTAAAATATCGTAGGCTAAACCGCAATACCACGTAACTCGATTTTCCATGAAAAACTGAGCTACGTGATATTGTGGTTTGGCCCATGATATTATATAATTATATTTCTTTAATAATTTGTATGATATTCGAATCAAATAAATTTGTATGTCTTATTAGAAACAGTGCCTGCAATTAATATTATCTTAGACAAACGGAAATATTTAATAGACCTAATCCCGATCACCCAAATATGTCTACATGGATGAATATTATAATTTATAACTGTCTTATAAGCATATAATAATGTATTAATTTAATATTAATTCACTTACCCTTTTTAACTCGAGGTTTCAAATTCATGCAGATGGTCCTCGTAACAATGCACTGTTAACAGTATTATTATTTAGTTTAACTTTTTAAATCATAATAGTTTTTTTGTTTTGTTATGCATATAACTCGCCTGATATAAATAAGATAGTAAATCGTCACGAGTCATTTCTGCAATTTGCTGCCCATTGATTGCAAATATTTCATCGCCGGTTTCGAAGTCTGCGCGGTCGACTTTTGAACCTATTAACCAACAAAAGTTTAGTTCAGAAACCGTAGCATGACATATTATTATATTTTAATACATTTTTTACATCGAAAAGAATAATTATTACTCAACAGTGGTTTATATAAATAAAATATCGAATCGAATAATGTTTAAGATATTAATTAATTCTTAATTATTATTAAATATCATGTAGGCAGTGAGCAGTTTTATTTTATTATATTTGTTTTTAATTTCAGTTAAGATACGAGTATATTGCATAATATTATTATACTTTATACACTTTTAGTATATCTCATTAACATATTATATAAACCAACTAAGCATACGGGTATCGTATATCATTCGCATAGCTTTAGAACGTTTCACAAATTATAGTATTCAATTATATTATAAATTTAAACAGTCAAAGACAACCGAGACTATTATTAGATTTTGAACGTGTCGAAATATCTATTTTATATCAGTGTTTTTTTTTTATTAGGTAATACTTGTTTGCTTTTCTCTCGAAACACATACCTACCCTGAGGATACCTCGCGGATACGTGTACGGGATACGTGTTCTTACCTACGTACATTACCTACAAAAATAATAAACCGGATTTCCAATATTTACCTAAAAGCTTGGCTTTATTGTCTTCAGTTTCTTTGAGTATGAGTACGTATCCACTGAGATCCATGATGCGAATTATAATAATATCAGGCCAAAGCGTGTTGAACACAACAGCCTTGATAAATAACAACAATACGGTCTTATCAATTGGAGTTCTTCCTCCTCTTCATTGTCGCTCTCAGAGTCCGAATCACAGTTTTCAGCCATATTGGTCGTAGCACGAAACTATTTGGAGCATAGCCTACAAAATTATTTCTGAAAAAGAAAAATACATTTATAAATAATTATTATTTACGTAACAAGTGTTATTTTATTTTTATAATTATTTTTGTACGATCAATGACCATATATAATAATATAACGTGTATCATAGACGCCATGTAGACGGATGATACTCGAGCACCCCATACAAACCGGGATCAATTCATAATAATACGTAATGACTATTGGACTCGGAAGTTATATAGGAGTTACGTATTGTCCTGTATGCTCTCGGTTTGTAGCAGACGAAGCTATACAATGGAAAGTTTAAAAATCGAACATTTGAAATACATATTTTGTCAGTTTTAGAGAAAATGTGTATATTTCATCGATTTTGATTGATTATCATACGCATATTATGCATATTTAATATTTGTTTTTAAAACAAATTGATATTTTCTTTTTTAACCTATTTACTTCATATTAAATATTATTTAATGTATTTATTGTCATCGTACATAGGTAATATCCAATAATACCAAAAATATATATATATATTTTTTTTTTTTTTTTAAATTCGTATTATTCTTTTACATATTAAATTGTTTGCATATTTCCGATTTTTTGTGCGCATATTCACATGACCTGTTATTTTGGTTATTCTGTTATTCTTCACTTATATGAAATTTAAATATTTAAATATGATAATTTGTTTATATTTACATTTTAGTTTGCTTAAATTTTCAAATATCTATATGTAAACGATACCTCATTGTTTAAACAATTTATTGTTATATATATATATATTATATATTACGCATATATAATTTGTCAAATTTATCTCCTATAACTTTCAAACCCTAACAATAATTACCAATTTTCTTGGAAAAAAAAAATTAATTTTAAAAAAGTTAAAAATTCAATAAAGTAACCTTTTTGAAGAAATATAAGCTCTTTTTCTAGAGCACCCAACGATTTATTTTGAAAACTTTTTACCTATGATGCGTATATAATAGTTTAACAAGTAAGTATACGAGGCAAATTATTAGGTACCTAATTTAATTTAAAACAATTTGATTAAACTTTGATATGTTTTTTAAGAAAATGGAATAAAATCTCATTCGGAATTGATAAAATATAATTTTAATAACAAAACATAATATATGTGTATAAATATTATATGGGTGCCTCAAAATTGTTGAATCGTCAGCATATTTTTATGTGGTTTATTCAAAATTCAAGAGACTCTCGAAACACTTTACGCATATGAAATATTACATCTCGTTTGGAACTTTTAAGTGTTGGATTTTTTTTTTTTATTATTATTATTAACCGTTTATATATTAAATGATTATAGTTAGTGTACAACAATATTATTATATATTAAAACCTGTAAAAAAAAATGTAGTTATATTATATACCAGTACATAAAAAAATAAATAAAATAAAATGTAGAAATGTTTAAAATACGCTGTTAGAATATTTTAATTTGGAAATAATTTAATCAATAAAAAGATAATACGAGAGGTAATTTATTTTTATTGCAAAAATCTTGGATTCAATTATTGTATTCAACTTTTTCTGTGTGATATTTTATAAAAAAAAAATTTGCATGTGTAAACAATAAATTAAGTATCTGTATAATACATTACCCTCACTCCCACTAGATTTGTACGTATATAACAATATAATACAATTTATCTAATGTTTGAATTGATTATACTAATATTATATAAATCGAAACTGGTTTGAATTTTTACAATTTTACCGTACAGTTATTGCTTTACTACATCGATTGAGCTAATCCTATTGCTTTAAATGCCATTGCTGCGTAGTGCGTATTGAAATACTTATTGTTAGATTAAGAGAGAAAATGTCGGTATCCAATCACCAAAACAAAACAATCTGGACACATTGTTAAACTACCATGCTTAGGGGCTTTGAAGTTTGTAAAAAATGTCGGAAATATGATAACAAATTTTAAGATTTGGTTTTAATTCCACATATATATTTTTCATCTTGCGGATATCAGCGTATAACGCGACTTTACTATCAATTCATTATTACTTTAAATATAAGTATATTGTCTATCTACAGTAAGTACACAACTGTATTTCTTTATTGTTTGTTTATGTAAAAATGTGTGGATTTTGGTAAATTGTTACAAATTACAAATAGAACCCTAGGTGAGAGATAAGATAATCAGATTAATTTTTTTTTTTATCACTCATTATTATAATAATGTTCAAATAATATATTTAGTTATATAGGTAACCGTATAGATTTAGTATAAAATATTAAAACGTTCATAAAAATATAAATTAATCTATTACATTATAATATATTGAATCAGTTAGTTACTACGATTTACATATTTTATGTAGATATAAATAAATATTACAAAAACAATGTTTCAATGTATATTAAACCTTACCTAATCGTGAAAAAAAATATAAACAACACGATTGTGGAAAATATTACTCAAATTCATTGCTAACGATGTCACAAAGATAAAATAATCAGTTTGGCTATTTTTTCAGAAAGTTTGCCTAAAAAATTGTTTACGAAAACTAGGTTTTTTTGTAAGAACTAATACTATACCAACAGTTACTATGCATGCAACAGTCAGAAGTTACAAAATAAGTGGAAATTATAAATAATTCGTGATTTTGTTGCCAATAGAATTGTTTTTACTAAGTATTAAAATTATAGTTTTATAATTAAATTACGCAATCCATCTTCAGAATCTTCAATCGATATAATTCATTTTTTGACTAGTTTATAGATGAAAATGTGTAAAGGAGTTAAAATGTTCTCAAATTGAAATTATTTCAATTTTTCGGACTATGTACACTATCCCTTTTTAGCAACATAGTATTATTTTAACGATTTGGTTTCTTTTGCGAATTCAAGTTTTCAATTCATAAATTATTTACTATGACATATATATGTAGGGATTTTTAGAATAAAACAATGGCAATAGCATTGGTATACAACCATTGCTCGAATCGGAAAAATAAAAGAAGAGGTACTATGAAGCTTAAAAAAAAATATTTGCGTCCTTTGCAATTGTTGAACTTAAGCTAACTAGTGGGATGTTTCGCCCCAACACTTCCTACACCACTTTTCAAACACAAACACACTCCAATAATAGCATTCCTGCAGGCTACGTTTTTGTTTACATATTTTATTGTAGTTCCTGAATTAAGTGAAAGAGGCATTAGTTTAACTAAATTTTTTTTTCTCCGAAACACTTTTTGGATTAGTAAATATGCTCCGATATTGTCATGTTAATTCTTAAAAGGTATGGATTTTTTGTCCGGCGGTAATATATTTGAATAAAAAAAATTATCGTAGGATTTCGTGATTGCAGATAAATAAAATCATCATTCCTGACAGTTTTTCTATTAAATTTAAAAAAAAAGAACAGGCAACAAATTTCGATACATCAGGTTTTTGTTGAGTTTTCCCTGGCTATATACAAGAGAAAAACACGAACCCTAATACTGCTCCGGTCTGCAGAATGGTTTTTTGATTGCAATTTTTTTCCATTGTTTTCAATATAAAATTAAATCACTTTATATTACCTGCCTTCCTAACTACTCACCTACAATAGATGACTACTCGTGAGCAGTATTAACTTTATACAGATGGTTCTTATTTTCGTAAAATAAAAAAGATTTTGGTTAATTTACTTAGATTATTAATTAGTATTACACAGGGCAAAAATACAATACAAAAAATATATTTATGATATTTATAATAATTTATGATCGAACGATAGTAAATATTAAATGTTAACAATTATACAATGACTTGTTTCTTTGAAAATAAGATTATTTTCAAAAATAAACGTACCAAAACGGAGATCTCTCCGCTCCAACAGAAATAATTAATAAAGGGATACAAAAAAAAAAAAGAGAAAATCCGTCCTGCTGTATCCCCCCTCTCAATTTAAGTATGGTATAATATACCATTAATTGTCTTGGGATTACTACAGTAAATTGACCATTCAAAATTGAATTAATTACAAGAAAACAAGACAGTATACCTCTATTTCTTGTATATCTGTATATACAATCAAAAATAAAATATCGAAAATAAAATTTAAAATGTAAAATAACAAAATATTCTTCAAAAATTATTACGGCATATTATGTTTATTATTTACATTATATAATTACCTACCTATTATAAACATATTGATAAAAAAAAAAAACTATTTTAATATTAACGCTGATCTAACCTCAAGAGCGGCTCAAGAACAAGATAACGGGAGGGATGATTTTTGAAAGTCATATAAGGTGCACACTGATAATGAAAATCAAGCTCGGAGTATAATAATTAGGTATTATCGATGTAGTAGGAGAGTTACAGTTATAGCGTATATTGTAGCAGTACATTTATCAAAAAGATAAAAAAATTGTCAAAGTAAAGGTCTTAATAGTGTAGATAAGCGTTTTAAATTGTAGATAAATACTGAAAATACGTTAAAATATTGTATACATAAGTACTTTCACAAATTATTTTCACATATAAAACTTTGAAAATACAATGCGTGCTGTTTGAAAATAAACAAAATTGACGGAAATTATGATTTTTTTGTTATAAGTATTATTTTTTTTATATATACATATGTAAGTATTTACTAGCTATTACCCACTATTTCGCCCACGTAGACTCTTATAATACTTTTTCTACAGGATACCTTAAAACTTAAAGGTAAATTACGTTATTGATGTAGATAAAATGTGAATACATTAAAAAGTCAGAAATAATAACAGATACTTAAAACTATTTTTATTAGCTTAAAAAACGAAATAATTTTCATTTTCCAGTACTTGTACACTACCCTAAAGTTACTAATCTACACGACGGCATTCAGTTTATACATCCATCTACAAAAACCTAAATCTTTTAAAATTTAACATCGTCGTTCCGATCAATCATGTAGAGCTACACCCTTTTCCAGCCTTTAGAGGATGCATTTTCAAAATCCACCAAAATCCACGTGTTTAATTGGTTATTTGATAACTTCTTAACACAAATTTTTGGATTATTAAATGCATTTTTAATTTGTCTCCATATAAACTTCGACACGCCTCTAAACCCAACGTATCGGGTTATGCGTTTATAAGTATACACCAGTCAGTTTTTTCTTTTATATACGGAGTGATGATCAATATAAAACAAAACACTCATTATCACCACTACACAAATGACACTCCATTACTCTCCCCTACTCACAAACTTAAAAGTGTTATGTCTCGTCAACGGGTTTAAGGAAATTGAAAATGTCATCACTAAAATGTGCTCAAACTAAAAACTAATCTATTTATAGAGTTTTAAAATTTGAAAATTAAAGTATGGCAGAAGTTACAGAAAGGCTAACAAAAAATAAAGGCAATATAGAAACATTTTAAAGATGTTTTACAGTTTTCGTGTGATCACACGAATGACACTTTTGTTTAAGCTTTCTGTTTTCTTCACTGCGGGTAAGCCGATTAAGGAAAGTTTGCTACGGAAGTGCGAATGATTTTTATAACGTTATTTTTACTACAGGTACAATAACTACAATAATAATAATTATATGGACTATGGTAAAGTTTCATCTAACCAATAACCATATAGCCTACATAAAAGACGATCTTTATATTAAAGTTCTGAATTTATTTACTAATATTGAAATTTTAAATTATAGACGTGTCGTATGATTATCAATAGTTATTATCATTTATTTTAAATGTTAACCTAATCTTAAACCGTAATGTTAACTCGAATACTCATTAATAATATGGCTATAATACTCTACTCTACGACGAGTCTACTCTAGATTTTCGAACGTAGCTTATAGCGTAGTACATCTATTGTAAGTACTTACTTATGTGAAAATCAAACAATTTTCAATTGGTTAAATAAGTAACGTTGATAAAAGAAAAATGTTTAAGTAAATGTAAGTAAAAGTAATACATACATAAATATGATTAAAATGTTAATATGATACAAACAGTGGTCGATCGTTTACATAATATTATTCGATTGAAGTTTTATTCGCGAAACTAAACTTGATTAATCGAATGAAACAAGAGATGGATTTGAAAAACGAATCGAAAATTACCGTCACGTATATTAGTACATAATAATAGGAATACAACTTCTTACTGTATACTACTAGATATATCCATTACACTTAAACCAAACTTATTTTAGGTTCGATGAGTTATAAGTTGTACTGGGTGGGCTTTGCAAAATCATACTCGTATTAGTTTAATTTTCGTATACTTTTATCAATTTTTTTTATATCACATTTTATGAGAAGTATACATTTTAATCTTGTGACAAGCTCGTGCGGGTAAAGAATAATTTAGCTTTACAAATACGCTGTACGTGTAAACTGTATGTTAATATATCGTACAGCGATATATCATTTCATTTTTAAAAAAGATCTGTTCATATTTTTGGGGATGCGGTAGAAGGGGGTTAAACTCCTAAAACTTGACAGGCCCATAAAAGGGGTTGTTTAGCACTGTGCCTACGTATATTCAACGCACATGGACAATAATAAATAATAATTTGTTTACAATAACTTTCAATCTGCGTATTGAAAGCCGTTCAGAGATAAGAGGGACGAGTGGCATATTATTGAGTAAAAGCGGTTGACTCATAGATAGTTAGTATTATAGGTAGTCAGTGCCGTGCCTATAGCAAAATCAGCGCTCAGTGCTAGGAAAATTTCCCCCCCTCCCAAAAAAAAAGTCATCATAATCTTTTAAAATTTTTATTGGCACCTCTCTGAAGGTCTCTGTTAGTCACTCTCGTGGTCGTAGCACCCGGTGCTTGTGCACCCTTCGCATCCCCCTAAGTACGGATCTGCAGGTAGTAAATGCGTGCCAGTAGTGTGATATTGCAAGAGTGTTGCACTAGTGTACCAAATCATTTTAGGTAGCTTTTGGTGTAGTACATTTATTGAAGGTATATAGCAATTGTAACTGAGAATGATCAGGAGTTGGACTACGAGTGAACTAAGTGAACTTAACATCAAAATGAACGCAAATAAGATAAAACTTCTTGTTTGTAGCAGGGAGGGCGTAATAAAATCCGTAAAACTGAAAGGAAATAAGATGGTGGAGCAGGTGGATAACTTCAAATATTTGGAAAGCACTATAAACTCTGATGGAAGATGTAAAAACGAAATAATTAGGAGAATATGTCAGGCCAAAGTAGCATTTAACCAAAAACAAAAAGTATCTTCACATCAACAAATATTAATCTTTATTCTACGTATTATTAGGAAAAATCTACTAAATACGTATATCTGGAGCATTATGCTACATGGATATGAAACGTGGACTATTGGAACAGAAGATAAGAAAAAAACATTAAAAGCGTTTGAAACGTCTTACTACAGACGTGTGCATAACATTAGTTAGAACAATAGGGTCACTAATAAAGTAGTTTTTAAAAAAAGATCTTCGTGAAAACATAAAAAGTTAAAAATAATGTTTATAGTTTCAGACACGGAGGGTTGATAGGGATAGACTTGGATGAAATGGTAGAAAGAAAAAATCGTCAAGAGACTCACGATTATAGACATTATTGAGAATCAATCATTAGATTAAAAATTTCAGACAAAGGTATAGTGAAATTGAGGTGTTTTTTAAAAAAAATTAGCTATCAGCGAAGATATTTAAATTGGATTTTTTATGTTTTTTGAAACAAACTTTGTTACATGATGTGGACAATTATTAATATGACATACAAAAAACGTTATGCATTTATAGATTTGTTTAAAAATCACCCATCTGATGATCTTTACTTGTTAAGTAAAGATGTTTGGTAAATATGGTAAATATGGTAAATATGTTTCCAAAAACAGTCATGTTTAAAAAAAAAAAAACATAAAGTTGTTGGTGATTAATTTTGTACATGAACATTATTTGAATGAAATTGCCAGGAAAAAGCCAAAAATTGGCAGTATGGAGAACCTTAAACCTACTCAGAACAGGAGTTGCCAGAACAAAAATCGACCTTGAAAAATGGAGATATATCGATGGACCAGTGGACTGTGAATGTGGGTAGGAAGATACGACAGAACACGTACTGATATGTGCTCAGAATTTAGTGGCATGCTCCTACGAAAACACCATTACAGAAACAGACGCAGCCATACCCGTGGCCGAGATATGGAAAGGGAAAACTTAAATTCGAACGCATCTTTAACTTTTGGATACAATAAGAAGACTAGGGAAAACAACCACAGCATGTCAGCTGGACACCTTGGACACGTGTTCAGTAAAGAAGGGTTCAAACCGTCTAAAAACTTAGGAAATTAAACGGTAAGTAAGCATACTCTATAAATATATATATATACAGAGTTATACGACATAACTTACAGTTAAATAAACAAGATGTAGATTTTGGAAAGAAGATCGTTGCGGACAAACATTTTGTAAAAAAAAGAAAAAGAAGCTAAATAAATAGATATTGGGTACACGGAGAGGGGTCGTTAGGACTAATTTCGAAACGTTTTTTTTTTTAGAATTGAAAACGGCACGATGCCGAGATGACATCGTGTTCGGGAGCTCCGCGTACAATATTCTCGTCCCGAGTTTGCGGGATTTCGTGGCGGACCCCGGCGATCGTGTCCGCATCGAGGCGCGTAAAACACGGAACACACCGTAACGTGTAGGTCGGGTACGTATAGTGGGTATTCGCGTACAGTTTGCGGAACGTTTCCGAACAATTTATGACCGCGGTAACGACAATGTCAATATATTATTATTATTATTATTATCGTTATCATGCGTTGTCCGAACTGTCCGTGTGCGGCGTACCTATACCGGACTGTCTACGGCCGATTCGCCCCCACCCCGCGGTATATTTCACTCACTCGACCCGAAGAATCCCGGCGGCGGTGTCGTGACGGCCCACGACGACGGCTGCTGCGGACGCTGCTGACGTTGTTCGAGTTGTGTAGCGCCGCTCGGACCGCGAGCACATGTACCACCGCCTGTAGTGGGTTTATAATAACAATACGATACGGTCACACGCACAAGAAGGTTCGGCGGGCCCCCGGCGGCCGTGGGCCTGTGCGCGAAAAACAGACGGACGGGACGACGCGACAACGGGGAGGAAAATGGAGGAAAAAAAAAAAAAAAGGGGGCCACGTTTTGCGATAGGCGTTTTATTGTCGTCCGGCGGCGACGACGGCGACGCGTCTGTACGGTCCGCGCGCGCACTGGTACGCACACCCCGGCACCGAAACGCCGTGTACGCGCGCGCGCGCACACACACACGCACACACACACACGCGGACACGCAGACGCACACGCACTACGCGCGCGTATTTTATCTCCCGGGGTATTGCCGGCTGGACGGACGACGACGACGAGCGCGCGAACCGACGGACGGCCGGGAGGAGATCTCGAGCGCGAGACGTTTGTCCGCGGACGGATAACAATAATACAGTAACGGGCGCCGCGCGACGTGTGTGCGCGCCGCCGCCGTTTATTGATCAGCGTCGCGCGTCGGGTCCACACGCAGCGGCGGCAGCTTCGGGCACGCCGGTGTCTCGGGCGGGCGGTATTGTGCGCCGCGGCGGACGCCCTCGACGGCGGCGCGGCGGCGCGGGGGACCGTAGGTGGCCGGGACGCCGGCGCGCACGCTCCGGCAACCAGAGCGCACGTGGACGGCACGTTACATCTAGCGGCGGTCGCCGCCACCCCGTCCGTCGCGCCACCTCCGACCGCCACCACCCCACCCCACCGCCGTTCCACCGGTCCCGGAATCCCGTCGCGGGATCGGTTGGACGTTTCCGACGTGTCCGCGTCCAACGCCGGCAGACAGAGAAAACAAAACCCGTTAGACGAACCGTACCAGACACACTTACGCGATTCATACCCCCCTCTCCCCCCCCGAATGTTAATAAACGAAATCCGGAAATTTCCGACCGTTTAATTGACGGTTTGCAGCCGGCAAGCGCTGCACAGTTTACAACGGAAATCGCACGGGCAACCAGTTTCCCCGGTCTCTTTTCTATGGCCTTGAAAATACTCGTAAGATTCGTTTACCGCGGAAACCCACTGAGCGCCGTCGTACAAATGCGTTTATTAAGTACTGATTATCTCATTCCTCTCATCGCTACTCTGTGGGGAGGGGGGGGTTTGGAAATATGCGATTATACAGGGCGTCATTCATTTGGCCGAATGACCCAAAATTTACCTGTGAAATCATACATCGTTTGGGCGAAAAATTAACCGATCGTTCGGGTGAATTTATCTTTGTACTATGTAGTAAAATTTGTTCTTTTATAATTATGGTTAATATTCATTTTTAAATAAAAAACGTTAAAATATTTTTTTGATTTTTTTTTATATTTGTATAGGTATTTCGATGTTTTGTAAAAAAAAATTGTACGTTACCCATTTGGGTACTAGAGGATAAAATGGGTTAATATAGGTAACTTTACGTAAGAAACAACGAGAGAATTTTTTGAGAGAATTGAATTAATATTTTTATATCTTGTATCTTGTAAAACTGTGTACAATGTATTATTACAAATAGTAGGTATTATACAAATTTTGACTTCAAAAAAACATGATGAACTTATAATTAAATACCTAAAATGGCGAGAAGCTTATATTTGTGAGACAGTAAGACCAAATAATGAAATAATTACTGCAAATCCAATATTTCAGATTTTAAACACTATGTTTAATATAACTTCGTAAGCTCACCCAAATTATGCTCGAGATACATTAAAGAGCCTCATAAATTTCGCTTAAATGCTATGTATAAGTTCACCAAACGATATGTGATTTTGGGTCGATTCGCCCAAATGAAAACCGCCCCTATAATAGATACTTATGTATACCCGTGTATAATACATGCATTTACCGGGTGTATCCAATAACTATGTTTTTTTTTTTTTTAATCAATTTCTTATTACCCGCCACCAGAACGAAATTACGTAGTCCTTTTCAGACAACATTTCGAAAACTGATCATATTTAATATTACGCAATATAGCTTCATTGTTTAAGTTTCTTCGGTATACAGATTAAATGCGAAACTAACATCCGATACAAAGTGCATACCGATAAAAAGTTTCATATTAGACATTAATTCTCTATTGTGCGACCCGTCTTACCGGCAAGGTAGCGATACCTACCTTACATTCCTTACAATATGTGAACATACCTACCGTTCGGTCGCGACGAAATGTTTTATTCCGGATAATAGGAACCCGTTATTGATTATTAGGTAATCCAGGCTGGTTAAGTTAGGTTAGAGTGGATTACGCGTGCAAGACGGTGTCTTCAGCAACGACTATGACAGGGATTCCGGCCATACACCTGCTGTTGAGGGGCCGGAAGAGATTCGTGGAAATTAAGATGAATGACGCAGCTGTTGTGCCAGTGCAGATTAAAAGACGAGCGCGTAAAGACGCGTCGGTGAGACAGCAGGAAAGGTGGGGCGTTGCTGAGCGGCGAATGGGCGAAAAGACCGATAAAGGAAATCAAACTGTGGATGACAAGGGAATAATATGGAATGGTAAATTACCATTTCATACATATCCTAACTGGACATGGTTGCTTTGAAGCATACAAGCACGGAATTAAAAGAACAAGGTTACCCATTGCATGTGCTACGACCGTCAAAACGACGACGTACACCATACGGTTTTCGAATGCGACAGATGGTAGCAGCAGAAGAGGGAGGCGTTTGGAGAAAACCTGAGGCACGACTTAATCCCGGGTGATAACCGTTTTCGCCAAAATAATATTGGCCGTTTTCGCCAAAAAAGAAAAAAGTACGATTCCCGTTTCCGCCGAAAGACATTTCGGCAAAATATAATTTGGGGACCTATAGTTTTAATATAGCGATAGATAATCATCGATAGCGGAAATATAAACAGCATCGAATAATCGATGAACTCGTAAATGTAGCAATAGGTAATTCAGAGTTGGTATCAAAAATACAAGAATTAGGTTTAACATTTGATTATAAAAACAATTACTGTTTAAAACACACTGTTGGGCTGATATGTTTGGACCCTTCCGAAGTATCGGACTGCAACTATTAAAAAAAAAGCCCAATGAAATTAGTAGGTACACTTTTGTCAAAACTGTTTCTTTTAACTTTTAGCTGTAATTTTTATAAAAAAAATCTCCTATAATTTAATTTTAATATTTAACTTACTATTTATATTATGAAATTTTCAAATATTTAAACATAAAATGTGATTTTTTATAAAAAAAATCCATAATTTAACTGTATTATTTGACTTATTATTATAACTTGATAGTACATAATTAGGTACATGGTTCCCGAACTGTACTTGGCGGAAACGTCTTTTCACTAAAATACATTTTGGCGGAAACGGTAATTGTACGTTTTTCGTTTTTGGCAGAAAAGGGTCATGCCTTTTTACCCCAGACAACACAGTAAGGACAATGCTGCGACGACGGAGCTCGCGGGACCTCGTGAACGGTTTCATTGACGAGATGAAAAAAATTGAAGGAGCAACATTTAAGGTTTATATAGCTTGCGGAACAATGGGGTTTTCTATAATATAGTAAACGTAATTATAACTAGTACGTAAGAGATGTAAATGATAATCACGTTGCTTTTGTTTTTAAAGGTTGCCCGTTGACGAGGGACGCGTGGTAACGAAAGAGATTTACCCTTCAAGCCGCGAATCGTGCGCAGCACTAAGGCTGAAACTTTCTCCCCTTATATCTCTTATAGAAAAAAAAAAAAAAAAGGGGGTTAGTTAGTTTAGGACTAAGCCGATATGCCACTATATACTGCTGCAGTAGGCCCCGCTAATGGCTCGTGACGTTGATAACACGCTTATAAAAATTCACTGCTTTAGGCGCTTTCCCTGTGAATCAATTTATTACCAACGAAATTCCCTACAAAACTTTTTAAGCACCATATATTTATTCTGTAGCAGTGCTTCCTAAACTCTTTTGACACGCGGCGCCCTTTCGAACTAATTTTTCTCAGCGCACCCCCTCGAATAATTACGATCGAAAAACGAATGAAATTATATTTTTCTCATTGTATAGTCAAGAAATTCCAGAAATAATTACAAATAAAACCAATGTATCGACAATGTTACTGACAGGTTTTTTTATTTTCATTTTTAAAAAATGATTAGAAATCTAGTTATTTTATTTCTTTAATTATAAACGGATAAGCAAAAAATCAGCATCATATACGGGTATAATGCGAATAAGTTGGAACATTTTTAGTAATCAAAAAAATGTTTTTTAAGAAACCAAGCCGTTTCCGCTGTCATTTGGGTTTCAAGTTTATTTTTAGACCGGATAATATACCAAAAGGTGGGAACCGCTTTTTTATACGATAATATAAATTCAACTAGGTATCCCGTAAATAAAAACAGTTTATTGACTTAATCTATTGCAATCTACTTATAATTTTTACTGATTTATAAAATATATTCTGTATTTATTTAAAAATTAAAATTGAACACAAATCAATTCCTGACGTTCCTGTTAATATAATGTTTTATCGAATATTTTACGTTCACTTTAAAGTATAATAATAGCTGGTATATAGAACAAATCCCTAATATTATTATAATGATTGTAGGGTCGCTGATATTATCGTCAGTGAATCCAGGGAGGATTTATGGGTTGATCTTCTCTCCTCAAATATAAAGTACCTTCAATTTAGAAAAATAGTTGTATGGGTGTTTATCACCCTAATATTAACTACCCTCGGATCTATCACTGTCAGGGCCGTGTTGCAGAAAAGAAGGTTTTTGTAACGTGAATTCTTGTTTAACAAAAACGAACTTTTTTTTGTGAAGTACACGATATTAACATACCTACTATATAAACCTCCGTTTTAAGGTTGGCTGATGACGTTATGAACGCTAAATTGATATTTGTTTATATTATTAATAAAATATATTAAAGAATTCTAATCATTTTAATATCCAAACTATACAATAACGACAGTGAAAAATGGGCTAGTCTAATAATATTATAATAAATAATATTTTTAGCAATTCTGTAACACATATATGTTAACGTAGGATTCTAGGTATATAAAGCACCGAATACAAAATGTATTTTTTTTCTTTCGATTTAGTCATTTTTCGGCGTGCGCCTGTATTAATCATAATATATAATAAATACAATAATCTCAATCTAATGTCCCCCCCCCCCCCGGGAAAAACTAAAACGGCGTATATCTTATCAAATGTAAACATATTATGTGACTTAAATAACTATGTTCAGCTATACAATTATACTATGTAGTGATGGCGTACAGGCACAAGTATAGTGTAAAAAGGCTGGTTCTACAGGATCACACCCGCACCCCACACAAGTAGGGGTGCCCCACAGCCTTTTGCCGCCGAACGAACCTAACCTAAATCGCAATGTCCACCACGTACACGAGCTATTTTGCACAAATCTGCCCGCCATCTAACCCTGACCCAACATAACCTTTTCGAGCGGTAGGGATGTGGTCAATATAATTCGAATACATGGTGAACGAAACGGGTTTGTATTCAATGTCCTCATTAAAAAGTAATTCACGGCCGGACTTTCGATTTTCGTGTTTTCCGGACGTCGCATCATGGCTTATGGGTCTGGGAAAACATGTCGGTCGGATTTGTATCAAGTGCAATATATGACTATATAATAAAGTACTAAATATATAGTAATATAGTCTATACTACTATACTCAGTACTTTGACAGTTGCATTTACCCGAATACCTAAGTAGTATCTGACGTCATCGTAAACGTTAAATTAACATTATGTCATAGCTATAATGCAGTAGTATTTTCTTTTCGTCTACTATTAGTAGTTTATTATTCCTACGATTCTACACTATGTTAGTGGAAAGATATATAAAGACGATAGAAAAAATGATGTTACATCATATATTACAATATTTTTACCTAATGCACAATCAACAGAATCGACCATCTGAAAACAATGAACCTTCGATAAGTAACATTTGAAATTTATTGGTTTTAAGGGTTTTACTGTGACGTCTGATTTTTTCTTTTCTTTCTGAGTACCTACAACTATTCTACGACCAAAAGACATGAACAATTATCGTAAATTACTTTGCAGTTACAAATTAATACATTTTAAATTCTAAACGGAGCAAGGAATCAGACGCGGTTCAATAATTAATTTGAATGGGAGGAGACTTACATAAAACAAAAAATTAACACATTTACACAAGTTCGATACGTCCATTTTTGGTTTTAACGGAAACGTCTAAAATGTTATCCATTTCATTCAAAATATTAATTTCTCGACATTACGTTGAGTAAATACAAATTCGACAACCTAGAAATCCTCTGGCATCTTTATGTGAAGCCACGTTTCCAATATCCTAAGGGTAAAAATTTGTATTTTAAAAAAATAGAAAAACCCTCAGACCTGAGCCGTCAGTTGTGCGAGTGATTCAATGAAAAAAGATCCATTTCTCAAAGTAGTAATAATAATAAAGATTTGTTTATCTTATGTATTATGTTTTACAATTGTACATAGTTACAAATATTTACAAATTTTACTGCATCGTCTATCACTAAGGATGAACCTGGTTTTGATAAGCGAGTCTCTATAAAAACGAAAAAAAAAATAAACATAGAAAAGAGAGAGAGAAAAAAAGAACAATACAATTAAATAGTAATAATAATTTAAAAAAAAGTTAATTTATATATTAATGACAGTAATTATTTCATAGAATTAGATTGTTGCCCAATAATCATCTCTTTACAAGTAATTTGTTGAAATGAATAAGTTTTTTACAATTTTTTATATAAGTCGGAAGTTTTCCTTTGTCCTTGATCTATTCCAGTGTTTCCCAACGAGGAGGGGGATTCTGTCTTAGAAAGGAATCTTAGTGTACTGGGTGTGGGGTAATATAGCGATGATGAAATTGTAAGAATACAATTTTAAATGTTCAAATTTACCATATCTAAAATTAAAATCAATAAGTTCACATTTTTAATTGATAGAGTAGGGATCTGATTTTTGAGAATTTGCAAGGGTAGATGTAGAATAAAAAAGTTAGGAAAAACTGGTCTACTCCATCACATACGTCACGCCTTGAGCTTTTTAATGCTTTAATTTCATCCAAATCGGACTAGCGACTATAGTCGTCACCAAGATATCATATTTAAATACTTTTAACTCGACTTCGTATCACTCCATTACCAACACACAATAAGAACCGTTTATAATTTTAGAAAATACTTTTATCTCTATTATCTTTAATAGCCGTCTTTCATTAGATTTTAAATGTCAACTCCGTTATATTCCTTCGAGAAAAAATGAACGTCCTTTTTTCATCATAATCGTAATAATTTATTTAATTCTTCCAGATTTGTTATTAAATGTTTATACGAATACATAGATCATTGCTTTAGTGCCTATAATGGTCTCATTCACAATGAATGATAAATAATAGTTTGGTCTTGGTCTTCATTCGTGTCGATTTACTTAATTTTATTCGTCCCGATCACATATCATTCTGGATACAAATTAATAATATTTATGTTCCGAACCAATCATTTCTCACTCGCCTTCTCACAACACACTATTTTTTATTCAAAATTGTTAGAATAATATTTTTTACAAAACGGCCATTTTGAACATTTTCCAAAATAAATAAATAAAGTTATTTTTTTTTTTTTTTTGTCTTTAGGGGATGAATCTAAAAATTTAATTTTTCTCCAAATCAATGTCCCCTTTGAAGACAAACCGATTAAAAGGAAAAAAAAATCGAAACAATTTTAATATTAACAGCGCAAGAAAAATCCGTTGAGCACGATGAGACACACGCTGTATGACTATACCATCAATATTTGAAAATTATGAATAAAAACTATAGATACCCACCTACCTATAATAATATTACCAATCACATTTCAAAATAAAAATAAAATTTTATCGTGAGAAACATTTTTCTAGTGACTCATCTCCAGAATTGTGTTCACAATGTTCAACGGACTATTGTAATGGATATTACCTAACACCAAAAAGTACCAATACACCATGCAAAGCTGAAAACTTATTTTTAAACGACTTGTATCATTAGAGGTATTCGCATAAAAGTGACTGGTATTATTATAGGTACCAACCCGATTTACTAGGTACAGGATTATTCTTCTTACAGTTTCAGCGCACTAACCGGACGACTCCATTTTATCAGTTTCTCGGTAAGATTTAATCAAAATAAAATGTATAATAATATCGCCCCGTTTACTATTTACTATAGGTATGTATTTCAATTATATTATGCAAGTTAATAATACTATTCCTATGTCCATAAACATTAATGGAAAACCTGTAAGAAGTCATCGGAATATTTTGCTGGAACTTTGTAGGTACTTACAACTAACCTTGACCAACCTACCTACATTTAAAATTTATTTGAAAAAAAGTTGATTAAAGTAGGCCAAAAAACGAACTAAATCATACTCGTTCATCATTTGAGGGGGTCACCGGTTTAAATAGATAGGTAGTGATGTAAGTCACATTAATTTTTAAAGTTCAAAAAAACAACCGGTTCGTTTCCATAGGTACAAATATTTTGCTGTCATCTAGTTGTAGTGATGGTTAGTTATGAGTTTATGACTTAATACACTTTGCCTATCGAACAATAATTATTGACCGCTAAATGCGTAAAATATTTACACCACTATGATCGTAACCTCCTCATTTATCTATGCAAGTACTAAGTGTTGTTCTATAAGGGACTTACGCCGCCTTGGCTATCACAAACTTTAAAACTGAATCAAAATGTAAGGGAATTTGAGAACTATACAAATCTAAAGTAATACGTCTAAAACGTATGTAGACATAAACATACCTGTACTATTATTGGCCATAGTCATTAATCGTTTCATACATTACCCATTTTGTGTGCACAGCCTCTCGTAGTTACTAACGAAATGAATAACGAGCGCTGAAGATTAATTTTCGAGCAAACCGATAAGCTTTTACCTGATCTGTGGTAGGAACCATAACATTGATAACAATAATAATTGTCAAACCACAATATAGAAGTAAAAGTTAATGTGGAACTATTAATAAGCCTGGATTAAAATGATTTTGGCCCTGAGGCCAAGGGATTTTACGGGCCCATAAACACATTTAAAATATTGGTGGCTGTACAGTACTACCAGTCAAGGCCAGAGACCCACAATATTACGATATCCAGGGGTCGGGCGCCTTCTGCCCTCCCCCCCGTTCTCATAATTCGGGCCCGACTATTAATGTACTTACTTAATTACCAAGTAATTTTTGGTTTTTTTTATAATTTTCTTTAAAGAAGAGAAAAAGAAAAACCTAAAAAAGCTGTTATAATCACACATTAACAGTTTTTGTTATATTCGATTTTTGGGTTATTTCTTCATCATAGTTAAGAGAAAAATTATCGTTAAGACTTGAATTTCACAGAATATGTACTTACTTATATTAGCTCTTTCCAGACATAGTACAATTCTCAAAATATGGTAACAAATTGTAAACTAGATATTAATTGATCATTATAGTCAATTGAAATTGCCGAGGTTATTAGTTTTTATTTGACATCCAAGTCGAGCACTGCGTAAATGTAAAAGCTATTTACAAACCTCTTTGCATTAAAGAAACATGGTCCCAAATTTTGCCAAATTATGTTATGCTTATTTAATAATCTGATTGTTGAGGTCTAAAGGGGCAAATTAATAGAATAAGCTTCTATAATTAAAATTCACTATAAGAAAGTAAGAAACTAGCTAAATGTAATTTATATTCAATAACATTTTTTGGGTCATAAAAACCTTAAAAAAAAATGTAATAGTATCTTCATTTTTTTTAAATAAAGATATAAAAGTTATAATATAAATACACATTTATTAACAGTTAAGAGATGAAGGATAACTGCATATTTATACACATACAGTGTCCTACAGTGTTATACACATGCTAATAACTGTTAATATTTATTTTTTTTTTCAATTAGGTTTTATGTCTTAAGGACACAAATGTCGAAAAAATTAAATTTTTATTTTCATTCTTTAATTTCAAGATTTCTTATCATGTATTACGAGTACGACTTAATATCACGTAAAGTGGTAGTCTCGCTTTCACACCTTCCTTTAGAGATACTCAATGACAATTACTAAGATTTTTAACTATTGATCGAATATGGCTATACATTAAACATTTTAAAATAATGTATTTTACTAAGACTATTTTAAATTATGTAAAAAGTTATTTTTATCAGTGATTAATGGATGAAAAAAAAATTATTTTTCCTCCATATTTATGTCCTCCCTAATACAATGTCATATTGAAAAGAAAAATGCATATTGACAAAGTTATAAGCATAAGGACAACAGTGTAGGACACCCTGTTTATGCATTTTTTTTTTAACAAAAAAGAATAATAACATTTTATGGTTATAATAAATGAGTATCAATATTATGATGTCATAATATTAGCAAGTATTTTTAAAAATGATTATAAACCTCAACATTATAGGCATTCAATTATAATTAAATATTAATATAATAAAATGTAAAAATGTGGAATTTTACTAAATAATACATTTATTTCAGTTACAAATAATTACCTAATAAATCTCACTTCACAAGACAAAATAAAGAATATTTTATTCTATTTATATTAGTCTAATAGTATAATAGTTAATAGCATAATATAATGTTCAATCTATGCGTAACTAATGTATAATAATTAAAAATAAAACCAATATTTAAATTAAAGACTAGATATATTATAGTAGATATTATATTATATAGTGTTTAATATTTAATGCTATTAGTTTAAAATATAATTTAAAGTATTCCGACTACTGAATGATTATAAAAAAAAATTATTTAATAATAATTATCATTCTTTATTTGTTTGTCTAAATTTGATAAAATAATGAATAATATTTATATTGCAATTTATATGCAATACATAAATACATTTTCAAATCTATGTTGTAATATAATAACTAAGGAATAATTTCAAATAAGTCAGGATAATCCAAATAATTTTATTTGATTATTATTTTAAGTTGATTTACCATAAGGTTTATGATGATCCTTGATGAGCCATATATGATCTATGACCTCGCCTTCCTAAATACAAATAAGTTTAGTAAAACACACATATTTAATTTGTATGAGAATATTTCTGAAGGTAAAATTTAAAAAAAATCATAAATGATAAATTATACCTTATCGTCAGACACTTGTTCTATATACAAATGAGAATTATTATAAATCTTCATACGACCATAACCATAATCACTACTTCTAATTGCCGACCAGTTTGGTGGATTTGGAATAAAATCATCAGTTTTTTCTTTGCAACCCTAAAACAACACAAGTATTAGATATCAAATACTTTTATAACACAGTGATTCAATTTTGACTACTGACAGCAGAACCAGATGTAATGTGAACTGGTGCTCCAGGATTTGTGTATGGTTCTAAGTAGGATCCATTATACACAACACGGTCATACACTGGCCACATTCTTTCATAAGTATGCTCATGTCCCCATAGACATAAATCAACTCCATTTTTGTAAAATAAATCTTCTAATCCAAACCTAGGTAAAAAACAAGTTAGACATAATTAATATGATGAGATAATTATACTAATCTATATTGGTTTCAAGCTTTTTATATGTAATTATTTCTTTGTAACATCAATAGAATATCTACCATGTTTAAGAAAAATGTTCTGAAAATAATATTAACTTTTACATATTTTGTATCACATATTTTTGATCAGGGGAAATTTTATTAATGTTTTTGTCCATGCATTTTTGTTTTTTTTTTTTGAAAATAATGCTATTGGATAATATCCAGGTTTTAATTAACCAGAGAACTGTATGCTTGGGACAAATTTAACTAAATTGTTTAATGCTATCAGAATTATTATTACTCAAATAGTTCATGATCCGAAAACACCTAGCAAGTATAGAATGTTCAAATTAGTATAATAATATATTCAAAATGGACAAATCCCAATTGTATAACTAAATAAATGTCAGTACCTGTTTATATATTGCTATAATCAAATTATTGAATACAGTATATTCAACACACATATATTTTTTTTACTCTCAATCCTAGTAATTTGGTTTTTAAATTACCAATGAAGTAAAGGGAGCCCAACTCTAGTGATTGTTTCATGAAATGTACAATCATCTTTATCATTATCTGAACAATACATTGGTCTATGACCATAGACAATTATCCAAGGTCTTTGTTCGCGATTTTCTGGTTTATTCGCTTTCTGAAAATAAAAATGTGTACATCATAAAGATAGTTGTAAAATAATGTTAATAATAAAATAATATGTAGATAACTTACTTTTAGGTCATTGACAAGCCATTCATACTGGAGTACAACTGGTTTGATTCCATAATAAAGGAAATAATAAAACTCTGTGGAGATACTAATGAAATGAGCTGGTCCAAAATTAAAACTATACATCATATTCTCATGACCACCAGGCATACTAAAACGGGCCTTGTAATTGCTAAAATTGCTACAAAATAATAAAATATTTCTTTAGTATATTTTTAGACATATTATTTTGTTTTAACATTAACTATTTTTGTTCGTGATTGCCAGGGCAAGTCATATATGGTACATATGAAGCAATAGGTTCCAATTGACGCATGAATTCATCTCCAACTTTAGCATTATCCTGAGAACAATTAATATAATTATTAAAATTAAACTTACACGTTTTTCAAACATTTGAAAAACAAATATATAATGTTGATGCAAAAATACAGTGGAATATCAATAAATCGAAAATTCAAAGGAAATTAAATTTTTTTCGACTTACTAAGGTTTTTGAGTTATCAAGGTTTAAGTACAAACAATTGACTAAAGAGTTTTTAAAATGTACCATGTACATATTATAGTTTTTAATTATTATTTAGTATACATGTATATATAATAACAGTGTATATTGTTATTAATAGTATAGAAAAATATGATAATAAACACAATAAACGCGATTAGATTAAATTACAGAATGTGCACACCCCAATTAGACAAATGATTATAAAAATTATCTGTCTATATTCGGAACACAACATGTTCGAGGTATATTTAGTTATTCTTTCGAGTAATTGAAATTTTTGCGAGAACGGCACTTATTTTGACTTATCAAGGTTTTCGACATATCAAAATTCCACTGTAAAATGTTAACTATTTGTAATTATTATACATAATTAAAAAGAATAATGTTCAAGAAAAATTATAAAATTGAGTAATTTAATCCCATACAGGTAGACCAATAAATAAATCCATTTAAAAAAATATAAAGCAATGATATATGAAAATATAATACAAATTTCAAATTGATTAAAAAAAAAAATTATGTTCCCATAAATTAATTTTCAATTAAAATACAAATTTTATAAACCACAAGAAAAACATCATAATTAATTAAAAATTAAATATGTTTAATAGAAAATTATAAAATAATAATGAATGTATAAATTCAATAAATAATAATAATTCTAGTCTAGTTAAATAAACAACATATTTTAACCTTAAAAATGTAAAAGCGGTTTTGTTCTGACTGACTGATAGAAAATTAATATAGAACCAAAAATAAAATATGCAAAAACTTTAAGTTAAAACTAGAAATAATAGGTATTTTTTATACCATATGCATCCACTTTTGAAAATTCTATATCTAAAGGGGTAAAATAGGGATGTGATTTTTTTTTATGAAAATCCTCTATTGTGTTTTTAAGTAAAATTCATTAAAAATTAGTATTTGCCTTTTTGGTTAGACATTAAGAAACACAACAATTAAAAGTTTTGAAAATTTCACTTCCAAACAGGTGAAACAGGGGGGTTGAAAAGTTATTCCTAATATTTTAAAAATGTATAATTTCTACGAATTTTACATCATTAGATAGAGCTCAATAAAGACTACCAATCTCTATCCTGATTCAACCACCTAAATCGCCATTGACTGAAAATTGTTACTAAAAATTAAAACCTAAAACTAAAATTAAAACAGTTCTATTAGATGAATATGCGTAAAATGTAGGAATTGATAAAACCTACTTCATAATAATTTATAAAATTGTGTAACACCCCTTGAATATTGAAAACAGATATCAATGTTAAAAAGGGTGTCAAGTTAAATTCTATCTAATTATAATGAATTAAAAGTTACATAAGTCAATAATAGATAATTTTGGACAAAAATATTAATGATACTTTGATGGAGTCAAGAAAGATAAAGAATGTAATTTGAGTTTCAAAATAGGATAATCCCAAGCACCCATTAATTGAACTCAGTTGGTTCTCGGGAAGGTCAAAAAGCTTTGGGATGATAGGTTATCGGAAGGTATTAATTCAGACAAAAATAGGGGGTATTACACATATGAAATTGTATGGACATGTAAACTGCACACGAATAAATTTGTGGACAAATATGCGAGTAATACAGCAAATATATTTATATTAAAAATGTTGAAAAAGTAGTCCGGTCAACGGACAGAAAATCATGAAAATGATGAAATTACCAATACAAATATTTACTAAGGTAAACAAAAGTAATAGGGTAATTTTAATGATGAATCGAATTACGTCACATTAATATTACTAAACTATTAAATACACTGTGTTGCCTAGTAAATCTTTGCTTTACTTACATTGTGAAGTAGGATAGTTATTAATAGACATTGTTAAAGTTACCAACTTAATTAGATTAATATAAAATACAATACCATCTGATTAGGTGAATTTGTTTCCATTTTATAAATTTCAAATTAAAATTAAATTAAACCAGTAATTACTATACAATATAAATTGTTATTAATTGCCTTTACTATTACTAAGTAAATTTTAGTTAAATTAACAAAAAACAATAAACTACAAATGATAATATGAGAAATCAAAAGCTAGTTATTGTTTAAAGGGTTTTTTATTAAATTATATACAGGTACAGCTAACTGATTTATTGTAGGTACTTATACTTACACTATCCATATCGTAAGCAAAATCACCAATATGCAATATCATATCATAAAGTCCACGTTGAGTTTCTTCCTGTAGCCTAGGAAGAGATTGAGCATTTTCATTACCCAAGTCGCCGAAAAAGGCAAAAGAAGGTGACCAATTTGTATAGGTTGGAATGGTTTTAAACCAAAACTGGGTAGACCAGCCTTGATCACTTCCACAGTAATAAACTAAATTAACATCAAATTATGTTAAACATTTCTAAAAATAAACCATTATGTTTTATGTATAATCACTATATTTGCTGGATGGTTGTAATCCCGTAAGTCTAACTCGGTGTATATACTCTGTGCGTTTTTGTTCACCACCATCTACAAACAGTGTAGAAGTGCCAAAAGCTTTAAGTATTGGTCCATTAATTCCATATTTAACGGCCGATTCATCTGTATCATTCCAGGTTGTCCATGTAATTACTATTTCACTATTAGATTCTATTGAACAATAAACACAACCAATAATTAATAGCATCAATAATATTCATCAAGTACCTAATTCTTAAATTCTATTAACATTTTATTTTAATAGAAATTGTATAAAAAAAAACTTTGAATTACAGAAATTAACAACTAAAAAGATGTATTTTAAATAATCGAGTATGGAGTGCAAATTATTATATAACTTTGTTTAAACAGTATAGAAGACTATAATTACAACATCACCATTAACATTATAACATTATATTGAAAATATATTTTTATTTTAATTACTTATTTCATTATCAAACTATAGATTTGAATATCAGTTAAATTTTATTTAATTTTAATACATTTACAGTTATCCAAAGTAATTTAATAATATTATTGTAGTATAATAATAGTTTAATGCTATAACTTACCACCCAAGGATAAATGGACTTGTTCTGGTTGGTATCTAACGGCAGGATCTTGTGTAGCACATAGACCAAAAATTGTGAGGGCAATTATTAACCGTTGAATAGTCTTCATTTTAGTTTAAACTGTATATAATTTTTAAGATAAAATGAAACAAATCATACCAGTAACAGATCTAAGTCTATTGTATTCAAATATATAAACTTATAAAAAAATAGTCATTCACTAATCAACACGGTGCAATAATTAATTCACAAACACAATACAATGTCTTTTTATTTTTTTAGTATTCATAGGTATTTATGTAATGTATATTATTCTAAGGCCGTAATAAGGCCGTCGAGAGATACAAAGAGTTTAATAGGTAAGTATGAGACAAAGAGAATAATAGATATCAAAGATTCTATGATAATAACATATTGCAAATACTTACGAGTATGAAGTTAGAACCAAAATGGTTATAATATTTCTCAAATAATAAATTTAATCGTTCGTAACTTCACACAATTATGTTTGATTTCTGCAAAATAGTTTACAAATGTTTATTGACTTTTGTTTAGTTCACATTAAACTAAATTTTTTAATAATCTGTCAGATTTTGACTACTTAATTTATTCAAGTATAGCCAGCATTTTACAGGTATGTCTGATAAATTCAAATTATTGTAATTGTTTGTAAATTCGTAATAAGCATGTAATACTTGGTATTTTTTTATTTTGTTTTAGTCATGGCCACTACCACAATTGAACCCGTAGCTGATGTTGAAATGACAGATGTATCAGATTCTCAAGAAAAAAAAGATGCTGTAGTTATTCAAGAAATCAGAGACAATATTCGGCAAATAGAAAAGGCTGTTCAAACCAAAGAAGCACGATTCATGTTACGTGTTTTGCGGTCATGGTCGGTCACTCGGCGAAAGCTTAATGCTGTAGTCCTGTGGTCTATCATTAATGGTTTCTACACGCACTCTGCTTCTGATAGAGACTTATTATTAACATATGTAACTACACCCACAGATATACCAGAAGCAATTAAGATGCGTACCGGTAAAAATGCAACTGGAGCTTTATTACCTGAAATCGATGGTTATATCCGCTTGTTAGTCTTAGTACAAATCATCGATAAAGAAGATTACAAAAAAGCAGTTGAATTTTCTGATTTACTTATGGCCAAACTAATTGATAAAAATAGACGCACATTAGACTTAATTACTGCTAAAGCTTATTTCTATCATATGAGATGTTATGAATTAACTGATCAGTTACATAAAATTAAAGGATTTCTTTATAGTCGCCTGCGAACAGCTACACTTAAAAAAGATTATGAAGGACAAGCTGTCCTAATAAACTGCTTATTGAGAAATTATCTACATTACAATTTATACGATCAAGCTGATAAGTTGGTTCAGAAATCTGTATTTCCGGAACAAGCAAGTAATAATGAATGTGCTCGTTTCTTATACTATCAAGGTCGTATTAAAGCTGCCCGCCTTGAATATTCAGTGGCACACAAAAATTTAATTCAAGCTTTACGTAAAGCACCCCAAAATTCAGCTATTGGTTTTCGACAGACTGTACAAAAGTTGGCTGTCACTGTAGAATTATTATTGGGAGACATTCCTGAAAGACATATATTCCGTCAAGCTAGCTTACGTAAGGCATTGCTACCATATTTCCGTCTTACTCAGTCTGTCCGTTTAGGAGACTTAACTATGTTTAGTGAAACTCTGGAGAACTTCAAGAAAAATTTCCTAAGTGATCACACTTACATGTTGATTGTGCGTTTACGTCATAATGTCATTAAAACTGCAATTAGAGCCATCGGAGCATCATATTCACGCATTTCTGTTGACTACATTGCTGAAAAGCTTGGATTGGATTCACCTATAGATGCTGAGTTTATTATTTCTAAAGCCATTAGAGATGGTGTTATTCAAGCCACCATTGATCCTGAACATGGTTATGTGCAAAGCAAAGAACCAGTTGATATATACTGCACACTTGAACCACAGATGGCTTTTCATCAGCGTATATCATTTTGTTTGAATTTACATAACGATAGTGTAAAGGCTATGCGTTATCCACCGAAATCGTATGGAAAAGATTTAGAATCAGCTGAAGAACGTCGCGAGAGGGAACAACAGGATTTAGAACTGGCCAAAGAGATGGCAGAAGAAGATGATGATGGATTCCCATGAATAAAAAAAAAAAACAATAAAATAATTTTTTCATAATAATCAACTTTATTTACCTTGTTTTTTTTTTTTTTTTTTAATAGGTATATTTGCATACATATATATATTATAAGAATTCTTACTATCATTAAGGTTTATTGTATTCAGTTTAAGAGTATATTTATTTCAATATGTACAAAATTAAAATACACAATTCAATAATAGTCCCACTAAATTTGAATTAAATCTATTCACCATTTTGCACGTTTAGACCAATCTTTAGGATTCCAGTGTAAACATTTTGAATCAATGCGAATCTTTCTTTTATGAAATGAATCTAAATGAGTGGTAATTATATCTTTATTAATAGATATAATGTATTGTCCTTTATAATAATTAATCAGATTAAGTATTTGTAAAGTAGAAACAACATCTTCTTTTTTTATGCTAGTCAGCTCACAAATTTCACTGTAAAAAAAAAAAAAAAAAAACTGGATAAATAAATAACAATGTATTAACAAATTATATTAGATTATTTACTTTATTGTGATTTGTGGTTTTTCATTTTCTGGTATAGGTTTTACTGTCAATAAAATATCAAGAATTGTTTGACTCCAATAACTACGATATGATAACAAACCCAAATCTGACAAAGGTTTTTCTGGCGTACCAGTTTTACCTTCAAATTTTGATAGCTCATAACCTGAATAACCAATGAGATTAAGTATAATTCACAAAAACATATTAATAGCGATCTACATACTAAATTCAATTAATAATTTTCCATAACCCTTTCTTTGGTAAGGTGGTAATGTAAGAATACAAGCAACATTGTAGTCTTCAGTAGATTCTTTTTCTTTAGAAAAATATCCGACTATATGAAATCCCTTCAAGTCATATTCAGTCATCACATAAAAGAGAAATGGATCAGTGTCATAATACAATGTTTTGTGATCCAAAAATAGTTTTGCCAATAAACATAGGTTTTGAGAGTATGATTTGTTCTTGCGACCATCAATCTCAAAAAATGATATTGATTCTTTTCTGTATATTTCTGTTCCAGGAGGATTTCTCAAGTTACATTTTATCTAAAATTACACAAACACTAAAAATTATAATAAATTGTAAAAACAGAATACGCGGGCATGTCCAGGAATTTTTTTTAGAGAGGAATAATCGATTACAAATCTCATTGTTACGTAACACAAATTATGTATTTTTTTTTGAAAACATTTAAAATTTCCTGAAATTTCAAAGCAATTCCTGGATATACCACTGGTGATGTAATATGACACTTACACTGTGACGATAAAGTGAAGTTCTACTTTTTTTAAACTTTAAACAAAATTCACAAATATATATGCATCCTAAGTTAACCATTTCCTGTATAAATTAAATATAATATACAAATTATAAATACATACAAATTTAAATATGATGTTTACCTGAGGATATGGTGAAAAATACCAAGGACTTATTCTATGTAAACCAAGTTCAATCATTTCTACATTTTTCATTCGGGTGACGACATCATCATGTTGCATAACCATTGAACCAGTCTGCCGTGGTGTTGGTGTAGGTAAATCTTGAGAGTCCTAATTTAGTTTATACATAGATTTTAAAAAATATTAACATTCAAATGTTATTCAACATGAAAACAAACTTCATTATCAACAATTTTTCTTTTCCTTGCAATTTTTTTTTGTAATGCAGCAGACAGAACTGTAGGATCATTATTTTGTACAACAGATGGAATACTCAATGGAGAAGCTGGTCGACTCTGGGACAATATGGAAATATTTTCAGCTTTTCGATTTGGTGTACTAGCACCTGTACCCGCAGTACCACTAGTCAGCCCATCTTTTCTGGGATATTGTACTTTCCGTGTATCTAATCGTTCTTCTGTTACCCATTCGTCTAATCTTTTATTATCTATAATAAATAATAATATAGATTAAAAATAATACATTACATGTTCACATTAAAAATTGTGCAAATTTTTATAAAATTGTAGTTAAGTCTTAAACTACCAAAATGAAATGAATAGTTATATAAAATATATTTTATAGGTAGATACTAAATTATAGGAAATTTGTTTAAATATAATTTGAATGATTCAAATGTCAATAAATAAATTTATATTTTTGTATTTCTTATACTTGGTTCGTACCTAAAGACAAAATCTAAAATAATTGTTTTGTTATTCTTTAGGTATGTTAAATTAAAGATAACAATAATAATAAATACAATTTTCAAATGAATAAGTTTTAGGTAGTGATATAATATAAATATTTTAGAAACATAATGTTATGTTCACACTTACAAAAAAAAGATTAATTTAAGCTTTTATACATATTTATAAGTTTAATAACTTGTACATGTACTTGCCTTACAACTATGTTTTTAAGTGTAAAGATTTAGATATACATTATTTATGGGAATAGTTCTGACTATCAATTATTTGTAATTGAGTGAATTGAATGTTGAAAAAAAAATTGAACTCTTATAGTAATATCAAAGTTTCCTAGGTAAGTATGGGGATTCAAATTAAACCCCTGGCCACTTTACTTACCTTTACCTCTGGTAGAACTTATAATTCCAATTCAAGGAAATATATAAATTATTAAAATGGTTAATTCTCGTATTATAATACACTTATCATAATACTATAGGCGACGCATTCATTCATTTATTTATTTTATTTTCACATATTAATTTTTTATTCATATATTTATTTACTTTATTAATTTGTATTATTTATAAATTTAACTTACAATCAATATAATGGACATAATAATATCGTGTGATTCCAACATCTTTGATGCTTATTATTTCTGCTAACGCTAAAACAATTGCATACAAAAGAAAATGAAATTCAATATTTTTTAATCATCTACATAAATGCTGTCTACATTTTACTTACGCCAGTCATCGCTACTATGCATTCGCACAGATAAACGACAGCCTTCCGTCAGTAAATTCTGAAATAAATTTAGTTAGATATTATATTTTATATAAGATTCAATCTATTTAGCAGTTAATTCACCCTCACCACCGAATCACATATAAAATCTGATTCTTCTTTCATGATGATATTTTGTTATAATTTCTACTTAATGATTATCATAACAATATCCAATACACTTGAAGTGAATTAATGTTTTGGTACAATTTTAAACATATAAATTACACTCTACATAGGCATTAAGACCAGCAGAACTCAGATTTTCTATGTGGAATGTATTATTATTTACAACAAAAAACATTGTCAAAAATTCAAACGTAAAGTAAGCAACTGCTAATCACTAATCATAACTTATTGCATATAAATGATTATAGATTGTTTGATTTTGTAAACGAAAACATAAATATACTCCTGGAAAAATAAATTAAACGCATGGAATAAAATGTTTATGGTTATTGTTTTCCTAGTACCAGAGAACAACTGATATAAATTGACAAACACATGCGTTTTTTCATGTTACTTTACTGCGGTATTATGATGTTTGTAATTTTGAATTTGAACGAGTATTAAAATTTAAAATTAATTAAACATTTAAAAATTTCTAGGTATGTATATAATTTGGTTAAAATAATTATTTTTTTCATATTTGCTATTAAATACTAGTTAGTACAATTGTATACTATTTTTATAGGTGGCATATTGAATAATGGAAGACGATCCATTTATTAAACATTACACCTACGATTTATCACCCGAATTAATTACTTGTTTAAACGATAAGCCTCCACTCGAAGAGAAAACTATATTAGAATGGCCTGAATTGGGTAAAATAATATTTAAAAAACCAAAATTAACTGTGATAAACAACTATTTAATTAAACCATTAGAAGAAACACAATCATTTGCTGAACTACCTAGTGTACCTGTTATTGTTGATAATATTAATAAATTTGTTTTACATGAACGATTAACATCAACTGTTAAAAACCACGTCAGTCAATTTGAATTAGAAGTACTGTCGATTATAACCAATTATCATGATTTCGATTACTCTGAAAGGAATTTTGATAATGCAGAATATCTGCGATATTGTTATTGTTTACATGCTATCAATCATGTTCTTAAAAGTCGAAAAATTGTTCTAGCAAATGATATTAAAAAGAATAGTAATGAAGATGAATTGCGAGATCAGGGTCTCACCAGACCTAAAGTAATAATTTTAGTTCCATTTAAAGATTCAGCGTATCGAATAATAAACATGATGATTAATTTTATGTCGCGTAGTGAAAATTTCAACGTAGTGCACAAAAATCGATTTTTAGAAGAATTTACTGGTGAAGAATTGGCAATGCCAAAAAAAAATCCTAAACCAGAAGACTATGAGAAAACTTTTGCGGGCAACATTGATGATGCATTTAGAATTGGTATGGCAGTAACCAAAAGTAGTTTAAAATTATATGAAGACTTTTATACCTCTGACATAATAATTGCATCACCACTTGGTCTACGTATGATTATTGGTGCAGAAGGAGAATCATCTAGAGATTATGACTTCTTGTCATCAGTGGAAATATTGATATTTGATCAAGCTGAAATATTTTTAATGCAAAATTGGGACCATGTATTACACATCATGAATCATTTTAATATTCAGCCAAAAGAAGCACACGGTACAGATTTACAACGAGTACGCAGTTGGTCAATTAATGGTTTATCAAAACATTATAGACAGACAATAATGATTTCGTCTTGCAAGTTACCTAATTTAATAGCTATTCTTAAAAATAGATGTTTAAATTATGGAGGTTCTGTCAGTGTAGTTAATCCAATTGTAACAGGTACTATAAGCCATGTTGTTTGCAGACTTCAACAATTTTACCATAAAATAATTACAAAAACTCCTACTGAATCCATTACACAAAGATTTCAATACTTTACAAATAAAGTTCTAACACAAATTCGAGCTTCAAATGAAAAACATGTAATGATTTACGTACCTTCATATTTTGATTTTGTGTGTATCAGAAATTATTTTAAAACAGAAGATTACAGCTTTGTACAAATTAGTGAATACACCAAACCAGGTAAAGTTGCCAGAGCCAGAGATTTATTTTATCATGGAGAATGTCAAATTTTGCTTTACTCTGAACGTTATCATTTTTATAATAGAACTAGAATCCGTGGTATTCAAAATATTGTTTTTTATCAACTTCCAACAATTGCAGGGTTTTACAGTGAGCTTTGTAATTCAATCGTAGAGAACGATAGTATTAATCAAACTATTACAGCACTCTATTCTAACTATGATTCATGTATGTTAACTTCAATAGTTGGTACTCAACGAGCAAAATATATGTTATCTTCAGAACAAAAAATACACATGTTTCATTCAGGCACATAATAAATATTGTTATTAATTATTCAAATAAAAAATATACCTGTTTCAAGTGACAATTGTAATTATTTTTATCAGAGGTTTGGATTTAATTTAAAAACAAATTACTGTTTTGTCTCCATATTTTAAAATTGCAGAGATACTATAACTTATATTTTACTCTTAAAAACTCACATTTTTGGTTATTTACCCAGATATTAAATGTTTTTGTATGTAACTATTTTTTCAAGATTTTAGCCTTTTAATTTTGTTTTTTTTATACATTATTCCATTTTTTTCTGAAACTTTAAATTTCTCCAATATAGTTTTAGACTTCGAGTGAAACAAAAAATGTATTGGTTCTACCATGACTTGTGTTTTTTTATTATTATTATGTGTGTTAGTAAACAGTTTTTCTACCTAAAATATTGCTCCAATCAAAAATTTAATGCAAATTTTCTTATCACATTTTTAATTCGGTTGATGCATTGAAGATATTATTTTTTGACTAAATCAACAATTTATAAATATCCTACATATCAATATTTGTTGACTCAGTTTGTGGTTTTATGAATCAAAATAATGTATATAGTTTTTAATCATACTGTAATCAAATCAATAGCAGTTTGACCAATACATAATTATTTCTACTTTTACTTTTATATTTGTCAAGATATTAAAATTTTTTGAGGTTTTAATAATACATAAAATAGTAATATAGGGTGATTGAGACATAACAAACACGTTATGTGATTGTGTACTTTATTTGAAACAAGATTTCTAGATTCCAAACAGTTACTCTATAAAATATATAAAACTGACAACAAATGTTGGTCAATTTAATCTTTGTTGTTTTTTAAGTTTCTTTGATCAGGAAAAGGCCACTAATATTATTACTCTGCTCAAGATTATTGTTAATTACGTCATTGGTTTAAGTATATAAATTAAATTATCCTTCATTTTTAAATTTCCACTTAAGTGGCCTACTAAAGGTGCAAAATACTTTCAGCTTATAAAAGTATTACATTTTTTAATATAACAGCGGACCATATATTTTTAAGATCTAATGTAACCCTAACAAACTGAATTAAATAACACAAAGAAAGATTAAAATATGTAGTACTATATAATATTTAACTACTTAGAAATATGTTTACATTAAATAATTATTCATTTATTTATCTGACACTTCAACTTTTGGCTGTTCTCCAAGAGACTTAGTTATTTGTTCATATTTTTCAGCCCTATATGCTTTCTTTGCTTCTTCCAATAGAACGTTATGTATAAAATTTCTTTGATCTAATTTCTGAGACAGTATTGGTGGAAACGGATTGCCTAGAAATTAAATTTTGTATTACAGTTCAATCCTTATTTTTATGATGGTATTATACTTATCAAGTAAACAAACCTCTAAGTTCTATTATAGATCGTGGATATACTATATCTGGGTATGCTTTTGGTGCTCGATATAACATTGTATATGATGTCTTGTAATCACTAAACCGTGGTGCCAACACTTTGAACAATTTGTGTATCAATTGCTTTTCTTCTATCCAATAATCAGCCATTTCCATCGTAGCTTTGTGTGTATCTCCATGTCTAATAGCTTCGGAAATTAACTATTTGAAAATTAAAAGTTAAAGCAATTTTAATAACAGTGTTATATGTCAGGTCCAACAAATATCTATATTTATAATAATTGCTTACTCTTTCTGCGTATCCTCTTGTTTCGTCTGCTAATGTATAATTCAATTCTAAACGTTCATATTTAAACAGAGCAGTTAAGGTTTTACGTAATTTTTTTAATCGGCCTTGTGGTCCTTCGGGATTTTTAAGGTTCTTATGGCGTGGATTTATGCGAATTCTTAGTTTTGATACTAACTGCGAGATTTCTGCTTGATTCATTGTACAATATTTTTCAGTGAACACTAATAATTAAAAAAAGATTTTTCACACACGAGATTTTCGGCGAAATTACGATTTACGATAAAAGGCTTAATGCTCATGCCTCATACAGTCATATCTCCGGTTTTATTATCATTCAATGATAACATAATCACATTTCATAATCCGTATATTTTATTCTTATCATATTCCGACATGGTTAACAAGAGTGATAAGTAGTCGTTTGTAAATAAGATTAGATAAGATAAGATTTCTGTGAAGAACAGGGTTAGGTGATTTACACAAATCGCGATTATAAAGAACTGTGGAATTTAGGTTTTTCCATAAATAAAACAAACTACCCGTTGACGAGATAATCCAGTGGATTAATGGGAGTTTAGCATAGATTAGTATATTACAAGGACCTTAGGAACACCTACGACATTAGATATTGATATCTATAGCCGTTTTTTAGTGCCTTATAGCTGTAGGAACACCAAAATACCTATTATGTGATATTACGAGTGAACAATCCAAAAATTGTGGTTGATACCATAAAACATATCATGGATATACATTTTATTATCATTTAATTACGAGTTACATTTATAATATACAATTTATTATTTTACATTTATTATAATTTCTTTTTATATACCTACGAATAAATAGGTACTTATAGGTACTACACTACTAAATCAAATGATGTACAAATTGTATTTTTATGTAATTGTTTACTATGAATACAATTAAAATTTCGATAGTTTCGGTTCATAAAAGTGAAACACGACACAAACTAACAAAAACAAAAAACAGCTAGAGCAAAACTTTAAAGAACATTTGAAAGACGACTGAGATTGGTAAAATGACACGAAAACAGAATAACCTTTAATAAAACCTTTGTATATAATAATTACAGAATATTAGAATTTGGCTCGTTTTTTTATCAAATCTATCAGGTTTGTCGAATTGTAGTGATAAAATATATAAATAATAATTAAAAAAAAAATATATGAGTAATCTAATATCGACATTCGGCATCTATATATTTCAACCAAGGGAATGCTCGATTCATTGATTAAAAATTTACTTTTAAATATTTAACCAATTCCCATAGTCGCGATTCTTATTTGCTACATCCCCTTTAATTTAAAATTTCCTGTTTACGACACTGCTAGTTAAATTTGTATGCTACGACAAATTATTACAATCAAAAAAATGATCCAAAGCGGAGCTTGGTAAAAGGGTAAAGTTATAATATTAGTCGTGTTTGTTTTCCTAGTAACCAAGGTAACTCAAGAATGACGCAAATAAAACCTACGTATCCGTGTAATTGTTAGTTTTTTAAAATTTGTATGAAAAACTATCGGAAATTTCGAACATATACAAAATAACGTACCTACCATCAGAAGAAAAATTGATATCTATGTATCTATGATATGAAGAAATCGGAGAATTTTTACTAACCTATAAAATGTTTTCCGAGAAAAAAACATATCTTAGAAAACACTACAATAGTTTCTTCGCTAAATTCCTAAACACAGAATTTAAAATAATTAAAAAATAATAATACAATTGACAAATAAATTAATATAAATAAAGAAAAAGTTAAAAATCTAGTCTGGAGTATTATTAGTCGATTTATGTTTGTATAAATTTTACCGCTGGACTCAATATTAAAAGTCATCAACAGAGACAAACATTTTACTTCTTCTTCTTCTTGGGTATTAACGGCCACGAGGCAGGCCCGGATTAAGGATGGCGGAAGCTCGGGGGTTCATGTTAATAAGGAGACTTATTCTATTAAAATGGAACAAATAGGCACAAAAAAATTCATCAAATATTTGATTCAACTCATAATATGGCATTTGTGGGCCCCTGGAACGTGACCCCCTCTGCCTCCTCCCTAAACCAGGCCTGACACTAGGACCATTCCGTCAACAACCAATCCTACAAGTCTCTCTGTCAGCTATTTTTTTTTTTAAAAACTTTAATTCGATTTTGCCATCAATTTAGGAACCCGCGAATAGTACAATATGGTGAACAGTGAGCGGTTGGACCAAACGGACACCGAACGAGTGACCGCGATTGGTGTTGGTCAGTTACAATGGTCACGGTCATAGTTCATGGCGAAAAAAAACAACACGAACGCGTAACACTGTTTCTGTGGAGATTAGGGAACCACGGGAACGTCTATAACCAGGATTTTCGTATGCATGTCGTGTAATAGTATGTAAATTCAAAGTGTTTTAGTGTTTTTTATTCTCTCCACTCATCCACCTAAGCATTCTCATCTTTGTTACACTCATTCTCTGATCTATTTTTCTTTATACCACCTAACACTCCGAATCATACAACATTGTCCGTTCAGTGTACCTTTTAGTGTCATTTTAATTTTTTGTGTCACTTCATCTCCACTTTATTCAACCACACTTAATTCTATGTTTCACATGCTCATGAAAGTCACTATTCTTTTAAATAAAAGATCTTTGGTACTTAAAACTTTCAACCTCACCTATAATCTAATAATTTAAAATCAGAAAATTATAAAAATAAATTATAGTTATGCGGGTTTGCCGAAAGATAGCGCAGTAGTATTCAACAAATTAATTTTTCTAAAACTGTATTATGTGGTATTACGGTAAAATAATTGATGAAGTACTTTATGGCATTTTTAATACAAACGCTAATAGAAAATTAAAAATGGGTAATGGTTTCATTTTCATAAAAAAAGGTGACAAAATATAACGTTAATGTAACATATTTTGATAGTTACTCGTTTCTTGATTATTCAAGAAAGGTTAATACTTTCCGAAATAACGATTGTTTACCTCATGTTGATCACTCTGTATATACAGAGTGATTCATTTAATGTAAAATACTCATTATTTCGATAAGTATAGATTTTTTTCACAAACAATTTTTGTAACAATTTAAAACATTTTTCAGTTAAGATAGAGGAGAAGTCGTGAGGCATTATTTGAACGCCTCATTATACCGTTATACAAATGATGCTCCATTACTCTTCCCCAACCCAAACTTAAACGTGGAATATCTCGTCAACGAAAACTAAATGACGACGTCAACTAACTAAAATCAAAAAGAAAAAAAAAGTCAACACTGAAATTTATTTAAAATAATACTATATCTATTTATGGAATTATTAATGTAGGTTATTGTTTTAAAATCAAAAGTAGGTATTCGTTTCATCCTCAAAAATAATAGGACATTTTAGAGCTGCTTGTATCGCCAAAACGATTTTTTTTTTTTTTTTATAAAAAGTCAATACTTTACGAAATAACGAGGAGTGATTTACGTTTAATGAATCGCCCTGTATTTATACCTATGTAACCTTTTGCACCGTAATATTGTATTAACCGTGGCGGTGACGTTCCGTTTACCTGCAGGTTTACAGATGACGCGCACGTATTAACTACCCACTTCCTTTCGGCAATGTGACCAATTTAAGTGCGTTAAAATGTCGCGTTCAAATAATAGCTGTAATCGTAATGTTATTAAAATATAGAATTGGTGTATTATTCGGTAATATTATTTTTAATATTTGTATAACCGTGTATTCGATTTTTGATCAGATTAAAAATCGCGTAGGTACCTAGATACCATCGCGTACCTATGGTCTGGGCAATATTAGGTACCTATTTTTAGGTACGCCTATTTTAGGCGTACCTAAAACACGGAACCTAATGTTTATATGCTCATAGTGTGAAACCTCGTTTCATAGTTAAAAATGTATATTGTTTCTATGTACCTATACCATCATTGTTATCGTATTACCGATGTGTACGCGAATCCACTTAACGAGTGATTAAAATATGATAACATTATGATTACAAAATGTTTAAAATATAATTTGTGTTCCGTTCAAGAATACTGAGGAGGTAATTTCTCGTTTTCGTTTTCGTTGTCTTAATGATTGCGAAAAACTGGTGAATTTTGTTAATTTTTGAGCGACCTCTGCAATAAGGGAACAAATACGATTAAACAATACTCGGCTCGGAATAATTTTTCATTAACAACGGATTATCGATGCGTACAAATATAAATTATTGTATATATCGCCTCTTCAAACTTCCCTAATTGAACAGTGGCCCATACCCATCAGCAGTATCATCTCTTTTCATTGTGTAACTAAATATTAAATAACACATACATCGTACAGGACATGGTCGTTGAATACAATTTTAAAATACAACGAGTTTCGTAAAATAAATAGTATTTTCACATTGGTAATAAGTGTCGAATTCAGTAATTTTCAGAAATTAATTTAAGTTACATCCACATATCGACATACACATTCTAATAGATTTGATAACGCTGAACAATGATAATTGTTAACTGTGGCTCCTTCGCGCCAAAAACCCATTAAGCCGCTTTCTTCGCACCATACGGGACACAGCACGTATTGTTATTAAACGTTTCGAAAGTCTGAAGTATACTAATATTGATGACGTCGGTCTGTAAAAGTTGCAGACCTGTAGGCTAGACGTTCTGCCGATAATTTACAAATCTGTAAGTCATCGCGGAACGTTTTTTATGTTTATTTTTATTGTTCAATAGAATTGACGTGTTATTTTTTGACAATTATAGAGAAACCTGTTCCCCTCTCGGTGTCCTGGATCTGCACCCGGCGCTAGTGCGCGCGATGGTTATCGATTGATTCACCACGCGCGTAAATATTTTGATAAGTGATTGCGATTATTTATCCGCGTTATATTCGAAAAAGTAAAATATTGTATGAAAACAATCGGCGACAACGGCGTACCCGGAATAAAATGTAAAGAGTCCCCTCTTTACAGGTATAAGGGAGGGAGGAAGGGAGGGAGGGTTTAATTTTGCGAACCTCTAGCACGCTTAGAAAAATTCGATTTTCCATTAACGAACACACTTATAACGAGCAGTTATGTCTGTGACATTTCGGTGGTCGGCGGTCGGGGGGGGGATTTGAGTTACGACCCCCAAGCCGATCCTCCCCCTTCTGGCTACGCCACTGATAGGCGATATCATAGTGACTATATTAATGTAATATAGACGTCCGGAATTGCGGGAGAGAGGGGTAATCAATCGTCGACCTTTGTTCGAGATGAATCGATGAGACGGCGGCGGCGGCGCGCGACCGCGGAGTCGGCGATGGCGACAACGCGGACAGCGGCGGCGGTGCCGGCAGAAATCGCGTCGATCGGTCGAAAAATTGGATACAAATTTATACCGATTAATCGCGGCGGCGGGCCTGTTTGTTTTTCTTCCCGGTGGCGCGCAAATGTATCCGCCGCTGCCGCCGTCGCGCGCGCCAACCGACAGGGGCAAAAAATATTGATCATTCGCGTTTCGTAATTTTTTTTTTTTCGCCTCTACTGTTTACACGACGCTCGTCGGATTCGAAGTTTTGGCGGCGAGCCTCTCGCGTACAGATGTCGTTCGGATCTGACGTTGTCGTCGTCGCCGCCGCCGCCGCCGCCGCCTCGCGTGCACCAGCAGCAGCAGCAGCGGCGAAATAATATTATATTCGTTGGGGTCGCAACAGCTCCCGCGCGTCCATAGGTACCGAACCGATACACACGGTCAGCCGCCGCCGACAGAGAGCCCGCGCGACGGTCTGCTCCTCGCCGCCGGCCACCAGTCGCTTTTACGCCGCCGTAAAGCGTACACGACGACGACTCCTCGGGACCGAAACCGGGCAGTCTCCGGGTATCGTTTGTCGGCGTGCCACCGCCGTATAAATGCGCTGCGCCGTCGTCGCCGAACCGTGTGATCGAAACGTCTCTGCCGACACCGCCGCCGGGGTAAAAGTACCGTCATGAACGGCCATGTCCGCCGCCGTCCGACGCGTTCTTGTCATTGCACGGCTGCCGACCACCGCGCTTGGACTTTCTCGTCGACTCGGCTGCTGTATTCGAAAAGTGAGTAATTTCGTTCTTTTTCAAAATTATTCGTTTAATTCTTTTTTTTTTTGTTGTTGTTGTTTTGTCTGTGGCGTTGACCGTCCGTCTTGTCGACGCGCCTATACCAATAACAATAATTAATGAGTACGCTAATGTCCGGGAGAGAGCTATAATATTATACACTGTTATCATTACAATCGTTTAAACGATAGGCATAAACGAGGGGTAAAACGGATTGTCGATCCGAAAAAAAAAAACAGTACCTACATAATATAATACACGCGTCTGTACAGTATTGGCGATTTTTAATTACGTTTCCGTTGTTTAACCAATGGTATTATTCGCACATACATCGGACGCGGAGCGCAACGACATTATAATATATAATTCGCTGTTCTCGCAACATACTCACATCAAATCCAAACGATAAAATATCAAAATTTGCATGTCTTTGACGGTACGGATATTCAAACGTCCGAAAATCGTCACGTTTATTTAAACCGGAAACCCCGCGACAAAGGACGGACATTTTCTTCGGTCCCTCGGGGTTCCGTTTCAGACGGTTTTCACATATATTCGCTATAATCGCGTTTAGATTTCGGTGCGTCTTCGCAAATCGAAACTCCATCATCCTGCCGTAGAGTTGCAGATAATATCCCCCGCATCAAACGGATAAGTAGGTGTCTATAAGAGTTTTCCGAAAACATTCTTTAATAAATAATAATGTATAAAACAGTAGAGGGAAAGGAGAAAGGGGGTATTGCATTTTTCGAGCACTCGGTTATATACGCGTGTACAATACCGCGCTGAGGGGGGAGAGGAGGGGGTGCAAAGGGGGAATTTTCCCTGGGACACATACGCACCTCAAGTGTATCAAGGATATCAATTTTGGGCACTAAACGCGATGATTGCCTCAGGCCCTAGGGCGACAATGATAGTTGGCACGGTACTGTGCGTGTACCTATCAGTGGCGTACTCAGGATTTCCAATGGAGGGAGACGTAAATAATATTCACGGTTCATGAATAAATCGTAGAATTCTTTTCAGCTGTTGTATACCTGACCGGACAATGATTGAAAGCCGGATCGTAAAACGCTAATTTGTATTTAATGAATCCCAGCTTTTTTTCTGGTGATTCAGCCTAAAATATAAAAATATCGAGATAAAATTACTAATCAAACACCAGTATTTGTTGTTTTTTAAGCAATTTAAGGGGGGAGGGGTTGTTATAACCCCTAAAACCCCTCCACCTGTGCACGCCTCTGATACCTATGTATTGAATATATTTATAGGTATCGATCGCAATAATGATTAAGGTACTCACTCTACCCCGGCAGGTTATTGCATTGTTTTTTTTTTTTTCCATACACCTATACGATTGTCGTTTTACGGAATCAATTCCGGTCGGAATACCGTGTAATATATTGGCAGTAGTAGTAGTAGAAAACCGCAACAATTCCATTCGCGACGACGGTGGCGGCGTTGTCGTCGTTGTCGTCGCCGTCATCGATTAATTTAATAATATTTTGTACGTGTCCGGAAAAGGCGCTCGTTAATTCGATAATATTATGCGCATTGTACATGTATATATATATTTATATTTATATTATTATTATTTTATGGGTACGTCGGTAAAGTTTGCGGGTGATAAAAGTTTCGATCGTTATTTTAAATTGCGTATCATTCGGCTTGCTGCGCGCTAGCAACGCTCGCATTCGTATATTATGTAATACAATAATGTCGGGCGATTTAAAAATTGTTCGACATAAAATAATGTCAGTTGACCGACAAAGCGGATAATCGCACACGTGGCACGAATATGTTCACATGCGAGCCCGATTTATAATGTCTTCATTGGTTTTCGTTATTATCCAGATGTTAATACTTGCTCAATTCAATTATCCCCGTAGTTGTGCATAATGGCATGTTAATAATTTTTTCGAGGCCAGCGATGATAACGCATACAGGTCTAATGGGTGTTGGATATAGGTAATGTAGGGATTATAGGTGGCAGAAATGAGATCGGAAAAGTGGACGCGCGGTGATGTGAACTGACACAGGTTGAATACAATTAGAAACGAATCTATATCCATCCATTCTAATGGTTAAATTCGAATTTTGATTTTTGGAATTTTTAAGTGTACTGAAAGACGATATTTTCGCATACTTATATGTATCAAAACGTTTAAGCGGTATACTGTGAAGATACCAACTTTGGTTTTGTCAAATGTGAACTTGCGCAAAGCGAAAAGTTCCTTAGTTATTCTGTGTTAAGTACTAATGATAATAGTCTTTTATAGGATTGGACACCGACCGTTTCGTAGAAGTCATGTATAAGCAATTTCTTGTTTTGATTAGTGCAATTATTGAAAAACCGGTTTTATGTTATTTTCCTTACTCCTCAGTATTTAAGTTGGAATATCTCAGAAACTTATCGTTTAAATTTCGATTACAATGCGTCATCTTTTCAGGAAAATCTAAGAATATTTGTATCAAAACACGTAGCTTCTCATTTGAAACCAAAAGTTGGTATCGCCACAGAATACTCCTTAAATGTTGTCAAAAGTCTAAGTATGCAAAAGTATCACCTTTCACTACACCAGGGGTCGGGAACCTTTTCGTGTAAATGAGCCATTTTTTAAAAAATTGCAAAAACATGATTTTCAAAAAGCCGCAATGGTTAAAATAAAAAAAAAGCATACCGTAGTACGCAGAACGATTAATATATTTTACTATATTTTACTTTTTTTTTTTATAATCAATTTCATTGGGAATTGGCAGGCATTAAAAACATAATAATACACGTATTAAATTAGAAACACAGATTGCATGTTAACGAGCCGCAGGTTTCCGACTCTTGAACTATATGTAGAAATTCCAAAAATTAAAATTTGAATACATGATTAAACAATAATACATAATACATAATTAAACCATAACAATGGAGTGAACATGTTTAAAAAAATCACCCCGCGTATAATTTAGATATGCAATAAGAAGGGATTTTTGGGAATTCACTCTTCGAGTTCGATCCGGTCGGCACGAAAAATTTTCCCTAAAATACGAACATTGTGTCTTTTCTTTTTTTATTATTTATTTCTGGTTTCCATTGGCTATACGGAAAAAAAATCTGGTGAGATTATTCTGACAGATATAAAATCGATATATATTAATGGGAAACTCGGTTAGGGATCGTGGTGAATACGTGGAGATATTTTCAATTGAATTTTGTCTTATTCATTTCTGCATTTGTTTTTTTTTTTTTTTACATCGTAAACATTACGGCCTTTCAAAACATGTACAACCGAAGTCCGCTCAAAATCGTATTTCGTTAGCAGTGATTTATCGTTGCGTACAGTTATACATTCAATTTCCCTCTACCTTCCTTACTTCTTATCTACAACAGTGGCCCATCCATCGTACGAAATATGCGTTTTTTTTTTTATTATCACGAACCGGTAATTTGTTCAGAGGATTTTAAGTGTATTTGATTTCTGTTTTTTTTTCAAACAAAGAAGAAGTTATTAATTTATTATTTAAACATAGATATGCAATTTATTACTCTTCCCTACTCTTTCGGTCAAACTTTAAACGATTATAACTCATAAACGGTAAATCTAATATTAGTGTTAGGCATATCAAAATGTTCAGGAAAATATTCTCTATTCGAATTTGTGTTCGAAAAGGGAGGTTCCTATTTGAAAAACAAAATTATATAAGTACTTAAGTTTAAGGTATATGGAGTACGAGTAAAAGTTTAAAAAAAATGTTTTTAAAACAAAGCTTAAACGATTTACAAAAATCATCCTATAAAACGGTTAAATCTTGAGTTAAATGAAATAAAACGCGGGCATTTAATTTGTCACGGAAAACGCCGTGCAAAATCAGCTAGTACACTGTAAAATATAGTCTATATAGGAGTAGTGGGTATAACAGTAAACAATGAGTGATGATGGAATGGAATGGCGGGCATGGTGGGCCATCGTCTAGATGCTATGAAAGGAGTATGCCATATAAAAAGTGGTTATAAATATTACGAGTGATATGAGATCATGTGGAGTATAAATGGAAAAATTATGTTGGATAGGGAGATGATGGAGATAAACAATAAAAGTAGTTTGTACCGTAGAGGAAATAGAAGATGAAATAAAGAAGAAGAGAAGAGAAATAAAGGAGAAAACGAACAAAATTCAATTTTCGCACCCTATGGCTATTATTTTACATTGCATTTTCGGAATTTATATAATTCAATACGATGCTTCGCTTGTACTTTTACAATTTATTTATTTATATCAACATGTTTTCTAAAATTATTTTCACACGTATAACATGTCTAACGTGTGATAGATAAAATATTATGTACCGTTAGTAATATTATTGTTCGTCGCGTGTAATGTATATAATTGTATGCCCCTATATACCTCGTGTATTATGCATTTATTGTAATTTGTAATAAGTGATCGTGTAGATATTATTATAAATAAATAAAAAAATAGTTATAGAAAACTGAATATGTTATTGTACGTCGCCGTCGTTATAAATCAAGGGCCACCATGTAAGAAACGATTTCCCCGAGGTGTGAAAAAAAATATTTTACCTGCAGGGTCATAATGAACGGTTAGATCACCTAACTGCGATATTTACCGTAAAATAAAAAATTCGCGTATTGCTTTTTAAAAAAAAAAAAAAACAAAAAAATAAAGAAAAGAAAAACATTCAAAGGGTTGGCAAAATTTGCATAGTCAGGTAGCGCCGAATAGTATTTTTTATTCATGTATTTATTTTTTTATTTTTTTTTTTTTTTACATTGTTTTAACGCTTTTCTCACATACGGTATAAAATTATTTTCACGGTTTTACACGTCTCGTTAGACGTACTTATACGCGCGTAGATATTGTCAACAAATTTAAAAACTGGCATTTATGTGAATTAATTTGCGGACTGTAATGCTGATTGTTGACAAACTGTCGATGACGGGAATATTTTTCGAGAAATATCCGTGAACATAATATTCAATTTACTCATCGATTTAGTATCATACTGAATTTTCGGTACACGGTTGATTATCGACCAAACGGATACACAAGGAAAAAACGACGTACAAATATCTGAATCAGACAGGGCGCATTTTTCAATTTTAAAAATGCTCAAGGAAGACAAAAGTAATTAATATCTGAAAAGAAAAAAAAAAATCGAAAAACAAATTACGTGTTCATAACTAACGGTATAGTGTTAGATATCGTTTATACGTTTCTACAGTCGTTTTATGAAGTACTAAGTTTTAATATTAAGGAGTTTTTGTCTTTCTTGAAAAATGTTAAGACTTAAACACGCTCACTTTCTGCATTTAACGGTTCGTCTATAAGAGGATTTTTTATTTTATTGTTTTCTTAGTACGCCCACCACTGTTTCGTCTTATTGGCCTTCATCAAACACCGGCCACGCTTATTTTCGTCTTCCACATTTCCCACGTGCCCATCAACTCCACACGTCGTCTAATGACCGTCTCTAGCCGTTATTTCGTTTTTGTGGCCCACCCCCTTCGATCATATCTGTCCACTTTTGCGCTTGTCTCGCCTGCTGTTTATCTCCTAGACGTATCTCCTACGCCCATCACAATGTTATACGTGT